TGGATTAGAAGAGTGTCCTTTAAACATACTGTATTTCCTTTGAGAAATAAAGTATAGAAGTCAAAAACATGCGCATGCACACGTGTGTGTCTAGAAATATTCACTAATAACAAATAAGGGCTGATAATAATAAAAAACTTTATTTATATAGTACCTTTAGAACAGCATTTATTATAATTACAATCATAAATCTTAATTGCCCTACAAAGTGTGCACAGGATTGGATCACAGCTGTCAGGTTGTCATTCACAGATCACTCAGTCAGCATGACAGCTGGACAAACTGTACTGTTTGTCTGTTGTGTTTATTGGGATCCAGAAAAACAAGCATAAAATAATCACAATCTCTAACATACAAAATTGAACACAACATTATATCTACCGCTATTTCATCCCACGATTCCTCACATCAGGTTCTGTAAATGTCTATTGTACCTGAATGAAGTTTAATGTGATTCTAATCCTCTCATTCTCTCTTGAAGAAGCTGACGGATGATAATACTGGTCATGGCATGGCACCTGGAATGAATGAAATCATGTCATCCCTTCACGGTGGGTGTTAGGATTAGAATTAGAGGGGTTGACATGTCAGAACACAGTATGTTTATTAAACAATGATTCAGGGTGTTTCCACATTATTTATTGTCCTGTATTGAGCTTAAGTACCATTACTCTTACTAACTTACAAACAAATGTTTTATCACTTATTATTACTTTCATCTAGACCTGCCAGAAATGATTAAATTAATGAGGGAGTGTGTGGAGTGTGTCCGGGTATTGATGTCCTCGTTTAGGGGACCCCTTCATCTGCAGTGTCATCATATTCTGTGGACAGTGAAATTGAAATGGTATGTTATAATTGAGGGATGAATGTATGTATTCATTACTTGACAGTTCATTCATAAAGAATTCTATATTTGCACTATGGACCTTTTGTCTTTGGCAGCATCATATTCTTGGTAATTGGGTCAGCAATAAAGTGATGGGATTTAATAGGTTATATGTGTCACAAATCAGTCATATGAATTATCTTGCTGTCAGTGGGAACTTCAACACCACTGGTCATAGCACTCCCTAGTGGTCTATATATACTAGCAGTAATCCAAGTAAAGATTGAATTAACATTTTTTAATGTTTGGATAATGTCTGTTCATTCCTCATAAGTAGGGAGAGATAATCTGTCCAATTTATCCTCTCTTTCTCTCCCATGCAGCACCCCTTGGCAGGCAGCACAGTGACAGTTTCAAAGAGGGCCTTCCTGCGGCTGAATAGATCTCGCATGACCGTTTTTGCCCAGCAGCTGGCTGTCCTGGTATTCATAAAGGAGGGCCTTGCACAGTCCACCCTAACTGGAAAGTCTGGGGGGGGAGATGTTGACAAAGTGCAGGCTATTACAGGTATGTAATTGTTTTGAGTTACATGTAGTCTATATAAAAGCTTCTGTGATTTCTATAGCAGCTAGATCACACGGAAACTGACCACCAGTAATTACTAAATACATGTTGGACTATTTACTGGTAGCAGTATTGCTATACCATACTGATAAAATTTCCAGAGTTCCAGGGGTATTGTAAAACATAAGTGAACCCTTCGATGAGGGAAACTCTGTTTTTTTTTTCCCCTGAATGAGAGGTATCTTTAACTCTGTGTCAGTCACCATGGTAACTGACTCTGGGAACCCAACCTGCTCGCTGGCGGGTTTACTTGAAGAAACCCTGAGTCTAACGGAGCTGTCCGACAGGGCCTGTCCTTTCCTTCTCAACAGCATCATGTTGAAGCAGAAATAATTCACATAGTTTTACAACAGGGGGATTATTTAGATTTGTTTAGATGAGCTCTCATTCCCTGAGCCGAACGGTACCACTTCTCATCAGTCCGACATTTATCTGAACAATATTCTCAGTCCGGCTGCTCATCGAATATCAGGCTACACGTCACCGCTGACATGCTCTCAGATCTGGACCTCTTCATTTTTATCACTTTGCAGGTTAATCAGTCACCTTCCAGCAGTCAGAAAAAGAGGAATCATTCACATTTCATTTGGCTTTCTTTATTTCCCACAGATAGCTACAAAAGTAGGCTAACCATCAGCCTGCATTGCCTCCAACAATGCAATTTCAAAGTACATGTTTCTAATTTGCTGCCGCATTTAGGATAATATTAAATAGTGTGTCTGCCTCTTGGGTCCTGGGGGTGAGTGACGCCCTCAGCTCCCCTGCCTCTGTCAGACGTGGTGGAGGTGGAGGTGACCACCACCTCTGCCTTCTTCCACAAGTTAATTTACTCAGCAGGATGTTAGGAGACAGGATGTGTGTTAATCAGTAGGTATCTGTTGGTGGTAAAAGCTGCTAAAAGCGGAAATATCCACTGAATAAACTTTTACCTTGTTTAATATGCAGAATATGAATAAAACCAGAGTGAGGAGCAATCACAAGACTGTTTTTATAGCCTATATTCAGAGTTTCACTTCACAGGTTAAGTCAACTCAGAGTTCATTGTTAGGCTTCGAGTTTGTTGAACCTCCTTTCTGGAATACCCCTTTGATGTACTGTTCAAAATACTATGAATATGCTGCGTGACTTACATTATCTCTTGTCTATTCGGTCAACAGACGCTGTTCTTCTCGAGTTTCCACAGACAAGTGTCTCTGATGTGCGCGCAGCCATCAGACGAAAGTGTAACAATGAGCAGTTCAGCCGAAAAAAAGGAACATAATGTGTGGTGTGTGTTTCTGTATGGTGGGAGGGGTTAGGCGTGCAATAATAAGGAATGTTGTTTTTCATTGTTCACTATTTCTCAGTGTTCTGTAAAATTTATTGTAATATTTTGGTCTTGGTCTTGTATTTCTACAAGGTGTACTAAAGTACCAATATTTGAAAATGTTTAAAAGCCATAATGTAAATGTTCATACATTTGTTGTATAAATGTTAAGAGATAGTACAAGTTTTTTGTATTTACAATGTACTATTCTAATTAGGATATGGTACAAATACATTTAAGTATATTTTTTCACCTGGAAGTAGTCCCACAAGTCTTTCAGCCTTTAGTATCCTAGTAATACATTTGCAAGTTTGTGCAAGGTAGAAAGTAATATAGCAAAGTATTGATAAAGTATATTGACTATTAATTGCAAAGTATGCTTTTTTAGTAATTGGAATAAGCCAAAAGTATAATTAAGTATATTATTAGCACAGTAAGAATATATTAAAAGTATGAAGCTTATATATTTTTAAGACACTAACAAATAATTTTTAATGTACTTATAATCCAGAGTACACTTTAATTTGACTAATTAAGCCTATATTAGTACATATAAAGCCATATGCTTAAGGTATACAAAGTATACTTTAAGTTGTTCCACTTTAGCATATAAAAGTACACTAAATACACTTCAAGTTGAGCTTTTCTACAATTTAATTACAATTAAAATATATTTAGTACAAAATGAGTTGTTCCAAAATACCATGCTTCAAGTTAACTAACCATGAACACACTTGAAGTATAATGATGATTAGTGTGGCTGCAAGTACACAAAAGTATGCTAAAGTTTAGTACACTTAGCACATTTACTTTTCAGCTGGGATGTTTACAAGTCAAAATAATACATTTGTCCACAAACTTACAACATCTGGACAGTATTAAAAAAAATGAAATTGGTCTTCCTCTTCCTCATTACAGAATCTCCATTATGAATCTGACCAATGCACACATGTCTCAAAATGAATGTGTTAAACATGGGGCCAGGCAAGACACTGATCCCCAAATTGCTCGCAATTGTAGTCTAAATGTCTTACTGTAACTGTTCATTTAATTGTTACCAGAACGAATTAAACATTCTCATAGTGAACACAGAAAGGACTTGAAATATGACCCTCAGCTAACAGGGAGCAGAGAGGCTGCCATTCTTCATCAACACATGCACACAGCTTATTTTGCATGTATATTGTGTACTTACTCAGACCCCAACTGTAGACCCTAACCTCCGGGAGGATGGAGGTAAGGAGGCGGACATGGTTTCAGGGGGCGGGGATACCGAGGGAGAAAATGTGGACATGGAGAAGTGGCCGCGTCAAGTTAGACAGAAAACGCCAGCGCGATACGGAAGCTGTTGAAAATTTACTATCAAAATAAAAGCATAATAGTTTGGCACCAATGAACACCAAAATGTAGCCTATGTGTTAAGACAGATTAATTTGAGATATGAAATACTTCCAAGCTGTCTGCTGAAGCTAGAGTGGTGTTTGAGACTTGGACAAGACAAAAATTGTTAGTACTGAAACTGATAAACAGTTGGTCACTGAAAAGATGCAAAACTGACTTCATAGACAGTAACAGACCTATGCTGAGACAATAAAAAACAAACAACCAAATCTTGACCCAAGTTCACCTCATTTGTCATCACATTATTTCCATGACAACAGAGCAAACTCCATCCCCTATAAGGACAATAAGATGCGTTTGAAAGCTTTGGAAAGGCTAGTTATTAGACCTTGAGATAAGTTTTCTTTTGCATAGTTTCCAAAGGCAAACATGACCTTTCATGTTCAGCTGTGCTGAGATGCAATACAAAATTTGTAACACCATTTTTTGACAGATATATATGATTCACAATTAATGGGAACGATTATTTTCGGGTCTGAAATTTCATTTTCACTTAATAAACTATTAAAATCATAAAGATGTGACATTTTTTAGGTCTGTAGTACCAGACAGTTTTCTTCAGCACTACATTTCTTTGATATGATGCTGTCACCCATTTTACCTTTATTAACTACAACTCCTGGGATTTGCATATTACTCTTGGATTTTGCAATTTTAATAATATTGTGATTAATTGTGCAACCCTGCTGTAAACCCATCTTAGTTCAGTTGAAAGCGTCTCTGAATCATATACGTTAACTACATCACTGTTACTCTCCCCCGCTTGAGAAGGCACTATCGCGAATACTGGTTTTATTTTGAAAGCGAGCGGAAGTGTTGTTTTCACTGCGTGTAGTTTGAAGGTGAAGCTGTTCCGTGTCTTCTGCGGAAAACACCCAAGACCAAGAGGGGTTTGTGTACCCGTCGAGGCGACTTTGCTTGAGCCATTTTTTAATTTCATCCCGACTAAGGTTGGACACATGTAGGCTACTCCTCCCGGCGATCCGAGGACACCCACATCTGTCTGATGGGACTAACGTTAGCACCCAAAGGAGACCGAATCTGTCTTTACACACGGTAAGCGTCCGGGATGCATCAGTATAGATTGTGTCCATGATTTTCACAGCATCTGGAAGAACGGGGACAAAATGTGAGCTTCCAGCAGAGCAGGTGATGTAAATGAGACAGCAGACGTTGGAAGTGGACAGTAGGGACAATGAGATTCAGATCAGTCCAATGTATACAGTTAACGTTGGGGATGCTAAAGCAGCCATTTAAACAGCTTTGTTGGATGACTGAGTGGGTGTCATTGGGGGCTTTGACACCGTGTGGATGTGTGTGGACAGCATGAGCCCAGTGTTTTCACAACCTGTGTATCTGACCACACGCAACATGTAGCTAGGTAGGCCTGCAGCACAGAGCTGGCCCCTGTGTGACGGACCCCGACGCCCACACTCTTTAAGGTTGCCTCGCTTTATCGACAGAAATAGCAGACCCACTAAAATAATACTCACACTCACATTTTTCACATTATCAGCCTGAATTGATTTGAATCAGCCAGCTGTCGGTCCCCTCACTGTAGGGACAGAAGACGGAAGATGGGGAAGATGATGCAAGGGGAACCCGTGGGTGAGATGCAGTTTTGGGCAGTAAGGAATGACATGTAACAACATTAATAAATACTTATAAATGTTAGTAATGATATTACAGTTACCATTTAAAAAAATCATTTGTTACAACATTACTTTTTTGTCACCCTCTCCTAATTTGAAATCCAACATTGCAGTCACATCCTCGGATTCATTTTTGTAAACGTTGAGGAAACACATTCAGCAGCAGGAAATACTTTGATTTTAACAAACAACACTGGAATTGAATTGTCATAAGTTGTACAATTTTGGGAAGAAAGGACACAATTACCAATTAGGGACTAGCAGAAAACTAATATTTCTAGAAATGTAACTAATTACTGTTATAATAAGTAAGGAATGTTACCTCTGGAAAGAGTAATTAGTAATGAAATGTATTTTCTGAGTAACTAGCCCAACACTGGTCAGATGTAGGATAAGTGGGTCTTACAATACATGAAATGTAGGAATATACCGCGATTTTCTAGTAACAAAGTAAGATTGAAGACATATTATGACTAAAGAAGATTCCTTTATTTCTATCTCTATTTTCTCTTTCTTTATCAAATTAAAGAATCCTTTTTTATTTCTGAGATATAAATTGTGCAGAACAATGCCTATTTCCTTTTCTTTGTAAAAGTGAAACTGAAGTCTTTATACCACAAATGATATCATGATTCATTTTTCATCTCACCGATTTGAGTCTTCACATATTTGTATCGTGACATCGTTACATTCACACACTAACTTAACATTTTCAACTTGAATTTATTTCTTTCAGCCAGCTGACATCAGCGTAGGGATATTTTGATAAAAGATGTTTAAGACGATGCTAAGGAAAACCTGTCCAAATTTGATAAAAAAAACATGTTTGGTGTATTAAATGTAGAACAAGTGTATCTTGAAATACACACATATATATATATATATATATATATAATAAACTGCTAGACATTGACATGGATGTTGGTGAGAGGAGAGAGCGGCCAGTAGTTGCCAGGTGCAGGATTTAGGGACTGCACTGTACCTACCCTGCTCATCAGGTTTTAGAGATGGAATGGAAAACACATGCTTCTGTGTGTTTGTGTGTCTGAGAGATTAAGCCATGGTGAATTTCTTCCTCGTGTCCTTTTTTCAGGCAATGTGAGGTGCGACTATGGAAGGCCAAAATGCAAAAAGTTGTCCAACCCAGAGGAATGACGGAGAGAGAGGACGCCATACAAACAACCCAGCTGATCCAATGTAAATGAATTCAGTAACTCTGACATGGTACACAGCTGTGGAGTACAAAGTTGGAAAGGAGCTGGCGTAAGGCTGAATGAGGAAACGAGAGGTGCACATTCTTTGGATCACGTTGCTAAAGAAGAGTAGGCGTGCTGATCTGTGCATACAACACCGGACTAACTGAGTCAAACAACAGCATTGGATGGAGTGAGCGCGGACGCAGCTATGTAAGAACATCTCTCCTGTGTACAGGTCGTGACATTCAACATACTGCTGGGATTCATGCCACACTTGTGGGCTCTCAGGGGAAAACGGTGGTCACTCAGCAGAAGACAAACAAGCTGATGATGTGTACCTGAGAGTTACTCCTGTAGGACGACAAACAGCTTCCCATTTTTTGATTGAAAAGAGTGTTTACCATGCCTCGGAACCGAGCCTTTTCGGAGCCGGAGTACTCAGCGGAGTATTCAGCGGACTGCTCGGTGACACTGCCCTCTGACCCCGGGCAGGCGGTGGGGCGGACACATGAGGTCACAGTTCGGAGCTCAGGATGCTGCCTCTGCCTGCCAAGGTTCATGCGCCTCACCTTCGCACCTGAGTCTCTGGAGAACCTCTACCAGACCTATTTCAGACGGCAGAGACACGAAACCCTGCTGGTGCTCGTTGTGTTCGCTGCCCTCTTCGACAGCTACATCATTGTCATGTGTGCAGTGGTATATACCACTGACAAGCTGGCTTCTGTTTTAGTGGCCTCTGTGGGACTGGCAGCGGATATTATCCTCTACCTGCTATGCCGCTTCGGGCTGCTGCCGGACCGCATCTCGAGACGGGTGGTGCCCTACGCCCTGTGGGTGCTCATAGCAGCTCAAATATTCTGCTACCTGGGTCTGAACTATGCCCGCTTCCACCAGGCCAGCGACACAGTAGGCTGGCAGGCCTTCTTCAGCTTCTCCTTTTTCCTGACCCTGCCTTTGAGGTTAACACCCATCGTACTCATCACTACTGTATCCTGCGGGGTCCACACCCTGGTTCTCGGTGTCACCATCGCCCAGCAGCAGCAGGAGGACATCCAGGGGGCAGCCCTTGGCAGACAGGTAAGAGCAGGAAGAGATAGAGGGCATTGGGGTGGAGGGACAGGTGGATGGTTGTCATTTACTTACCTGTGTGTAATCTCATGTTGCCAGACCCAGGCCCTTTGCTTCAAAATATCTTACCAGCATCATATCTGGCTGTGCCCACCATAAAACACACACGGAACTTTAACCGGCTGCATGTGAAACCAAAAGTCAACTATTTCTTTGAAGTAACATAAATTAAAGGTGCAGTATGTAATTTTTCTAAAAATATGTTTTGTCATATTTGCGGAACTTTTCACAATATCCCGAAAGTAGTACATGAGACAGATAATCTGTGAAGAAATCAGGTTGCTCTGGCTCCTCCTAGTGCTCCTAATGGCATTTGGAAGAATCCACCGGGCCTCATCAAAAATAACCAATCAGTGCCAAGAAAGATAGCTGATTGTATGTAGCTGAGTATCATTCCAACATTCCCAAAGTGTGTATTTGACACTCAACAATCAACTATCTTCAAACCGCCAACCTAAAGCATCTTTATATCTTTCTGAGCTCTGGTTGGTTGTTTTTGTCCAGGCCTTGTAGATTCAAATACAAATATGATTACGAATGCTAGAACCAGTCAGAGGAACATGCCCCACCACCCCACAATTCAATCAGTAACAATGATAGAGGAAGCAACTAATGACAAAGGAAGTTGAATTTGAGTGAAATGAGGGTCAGCATGATAGCATCAACAAACTTTCGTTTGTTTATTTCCCCTACATAGATCACATTCCTCCAACCTACTTTCACTCCATATTTTTACCCTGGCCATCTCCACCCCCCTGCAATGGCTCTCTGCCCCACAGTTTGAGAACCCGTGGCAACTCAGCTGACATCACGGTGACATCATACACTGTAAAATAAAGACAGCTGGGGCACCTGAAAAATACAGTAATATTGACTTTAATTTTACATAAAATCTTGTTTAATATTTTGGTCTTTTAATAGTAGTAAATAACACTGTTAAAATCCAAATAATCAGACTTAAATTTAAACTTTAAGAGTGCTGTTATTATTAGATTTTTTTTATCTTAACCTGAATTTGAAAAGTAACAAAAGTGTGAAATTACAGTAATTATTGCTGTTTTCAGTGATAAAAACAGTTTTTTAAGTTTAGCCATGCTTATACACTGATAAACAAGAAAACATTTTTGTTTGTGTTATACAAGATATCTGTAAATTAACAAAGAAATCCATGTAAAATTACAGAACAACTACTTTTTTTCTTTACTGTTGTCTCTAATTTTACATAATTTGTGTTTAATGTATTAACAATATTAAACTTGAATTTAACAGTTCAGTCTATTAAATAAACAGTAAATATCTGAAACAAATGTCTTTTTATGTGAAAAAAGGACATTTTATTTAAATAAGCAGCGTCCTATAAGAGCTATCGGCGAGTCCGCTCAGTCCATGCTGACTCTGACCTCTGATCAGCCGTCAATTCCCTCAGAAGCTGCCGCCCTGTCAGCAGCAGAATCTGACTGATGTCATAAATATACTGGACTAAAACAAGGCTCCCTGAGGAATATAGAGAACACAGCATTGCTTTTATGCACTGATTCACTGATTTTAATTCCCCACCCATCACAACGAGCAGGAAAAATCTGCTTATAATGAGATCTGAAAGCATTATTGATACACTTAATAAGTTCACAATATATAGGAGGAGGAGTGCAGGAGATCAGTGTGATTTCAATGGTTGCCATTTCCCTTCCTGTGCCAAAAAAACCTCAAGAGTCAGTGTGAATTGATACATTTGTTAAATGAAAGTTAAGGATGCATGATAACAATCATACCTTACTTTGAAAAAAATCTATTAACTGATAATATTTAATATTGTAAAAGTCTATTCTGAAATATGTTTATATTTAATTATTAAATATTATAATAATTATTATTTCTATAGTAGATTTTAAAACAATGTATAGAGACAGCAACATGCTTACTTGTACATGCAGTAATATGACAGACCTGCATGTGCGTGAATGGGCGTGGACAGTCATGGAAGGATGGCCTGTGTGAAGAAAGAATGAATGTATCTCCTAGGACAGTGGTTCCCAACCTTTTTCCTTAAGGGACTCCTTTTCTCTCATTGAGTAAACTGATGACCCCTGACTAAGTGATGTACAATGAACCCAAACAGTAAACAAAGTAACTGTAGGAGGTTCGTGTAAAACGAGACATTTGGATGAATTACAAGCAGATTATTTCCTGTGTATATTGCATCAGAGGTGAGGGCAAATGGTCTTAAACGCTGCTAAAAACAGACATATTGGATTGGGTTAGACTTTTAGTGATCTACCGGTTTTCTTTATAGCTCTTTATTGAAAGATGGAATAACCCAGATGTGGTTTTAGTCTTGTCATGGAATTTGTTGGCAATAACAGAAATACAGAATAACGCCTGAGTCTGAAGAGGCTTTCACTGAAAACAATGGAGATGGTGGTTGCTGCTGCTCACTGTCTGAAAGCACCTTAATGATTAATGCTGAGTCTAATCGTGATCTGTATATATGTAAATAGACATCACTGAGTGTAGAAGGACTTTTCTCGAGCAGAAATTGAACAATGGTGGCATGAAAATCAAAATGCATTCTTTTGTAAGCAGAAAACACTGATCCCTGGTATGCCATTATACAACATATCTGCTTGCTGTGTTCGAGGCCATGTACTCATTGGACATTGACATTTCACGATTGTTTACAGCTCTCTCACTCACAGTGTTTGGTTGTCAATAAGCCTCAGTCTGCCTCATCACTGGGCATCTTTTATCCTTGAGAGGCTCTTCAATAAAAGGTCACACACCCCATCTGAACTGTCTACAGTCAGAGGATGTTTACATGCACACAAGAGACCAGATTACTGTTAGAAATCAGGTTAAGTTTTAGAGAAAGTAATCAGATAACAGAGTAGTCTTAAGAGTGAGACACCTGGCTTGTAGTTTATATTGTCAGATCATTCAGTATCTCCAGCTCCAGTCTCCGACCAAGAACAACAGCCTAATAACTACTGTTTCATGCTGCTAATTTATCGACTTAAAGCTACTATAGCGTCAGTCATCTTAATGCTTCCCCACACAGCTCTTGAACCTGAAGAGAACCAAATCAGCTGTACTCCCTCTTGTGATGTAATTAGGGTATTCCCTTACTCTGGCAAAGTAGTTTCACAGGTACTTTGGGACATCATTATGAATAATGCCTCAGGTTCCCCCAGGAGCAGCAGGAAAATGGTAAATGGACTTTTCTAGCCTTTTCTAGTCTTTCGTCCACTCAATGTGCTGTACACCACATGCCACACTCACCCCATTCACACACATTCATACACTGATGGCAGTGGGTGCCATGCAAGGTGCCAACTGCTCACCAGAACAGAAACTAATCATTCACACACACTCATACAGTGATGCACAGCATCAGGAGCAATTTGGGGTTCAGTGTCTTGCTCAAGGACACTTCGACATGCAGCGAGAGGAGCGGGGAACCGCCAACCTTCCAATTAGTGGACGACCTGCTTTACCTCTGAGCCACAGCCACCTGAAAAAACTGCTGGGGAGAGGGACGTATGCACTACCTTGCATATCCCTGGATAAATCACAGCCTTGCGATCCAAAATTGTGTCCTATTATGAGTTAAACAGTAATGGTTGATAGGCCTGTCACTACTTTTGTTGGACAAAATATTGTCCCAGAGATAACTTTCATAAATTATGATGATGACAAGTCAATAATGTAGTTATTGTAACAGTTGATTGCTCGTCACGCTTCGATACCACAGTAAAAATGTACTGATCAAGTTTTTTTGGTTCCTGATCCCCATTTAATATTGAGTATATGCTGATACCTAGTCCAGATCCAATACTTGTATTTTCCTCAATAATACAGTTGAGTACCTCTGCGCTGCATTAAGAAAAAAGGCCTATAACCAAGCTGTTCCTTAATGTTTTTATACGTATATTAATAAATAACAAAACAGGCTATAAAGTTTGAGTTAATCTCCCTTTAAAAGCGTCCTGCAGTCTTTGTTGCTTCAGTGCAGCCTTTGCCTGAGTTACCTGAATTAACTGTATTCTGCTCAATGTTTATTTTCCATCTGTCTGTACATCTTTTGTGCGAATGACATTAATTAATAATAACCCTTATTGGCTTTTTGTTGGTATGGCTTTTGTTACACTTGCAGTGGTGTTGTGAGCGTCTTCAACATGTTCTTCCTATGGCACTTAAACGCTGACTAGAATATTTGCAGGCGTCTATTCTGCCTCTTCAGGTCTGGAAGAATTGCACTTCGATACCTTCAGTACTGCATTGATCCTTAACTGTTGCATTCTGTTTTCTTTGCAAGCTGCTGGCCAACATCGTGATCTATGTTTGTGCCATCACTGTGGGCGTCATGTCGTACTACATGGCTGACAGGAAGCATCGGAAGGCCTTTCTCGAGGCAAGACAGTCTCTGGAGGTCAAACTCAACCTGGAAGAGCAGAGCCAGCAACAGGTCAGAGGACAAACTGTACAATATTCTGAGTTTATATGAGCTTAGGGGAACATTTTCACTTCCTTGTACTTGTCTTCTTGTACCCAGAGTCAGAATACAAGGTCAATATCCATATCATCCCAATGTGTCCGTTAAAGAGTTAGTCTTAACCCAAATTTCCATTACACATGATGACTTTGGCTTGAGAAGCAAGCAGTGGAATGACATACAACACGGTAAACCTTAAATCTGCTGCATGTTCAAGCCCACCTGCAGAAATGGCTGTGCCACTGAAAAGGTCCAGTGAATGGTCCCTCCCCTAATATGCTATACCCATATCTATGCATGTGCATCTTATCTCTTTCCTATGTGACATGATGATTGCAGGCCTCCATGGTCTCCGGAAAACTATCGCCTTTTCCCCCTTCTGGAGGGCCCTGTGTATGTTAGCATGTGTTTTAGTCTGGCACGTTGATTGTAACACTGGATATGTATGAGGTCAAGCTAAACCTGAAAAGTAGTCTGACCAGGACCAGGCTAGGCTGGAGGGAGATGTTTCCATGGTAACTTCGGTCAGACTTATTTTAGTTAAATTTTATGTAAATGAGCCTGATTTAGTTCAGTGTGCCTACATATCTGTTTCATTTGGTCCTTTCTGGATTGTTTAGCCAGCAACATGTATTAGAGTTGGTCGATGTGACGCTCCATGCAGTAGATGTGTCCACCAGTAGAGATTTGGCAATACCGTGATCAATGGTTCCCAACCTGGGGATTGAGACCCCCACTAGGGGTTGCCAAAGTTTCACGGAAGGTCGCAAAGCCCCCTTAATTGTAACGGTTGTAATAAAACTTTTAAAATATACAGAGAAAGGCCTATAACTCAGCATTTTGTCTAATTCTGTGAAGAAAACTAAATGAAATTGTTAGCTTAGATACTATATATGTATGTGTAAAAAAAAAACACAATACAGACATAGAATTATATAAAAAGTTCCTATAAAAGGAAATAATCTGCTCAAAATTCACCCGATTAGCTTCTTTTACACAAACTTCCTACGGTTATTGTGTTCTCTTTTTGGGTTCATTGTACAATCAGTTGTTCTGTACTGTTATTGTTATGCATTGAATATAATATGAAATATCCATAAAATATGTCACTTAGTCAGGGGTCTTCAATCCACTTAATGATAGAAAAAAGGGGTCCCATAAGGAAAAAGGTTGGGATCTACTACCATAAATCCACAACGGGAGCCTCAGTGTCTCTGATATATATTCAAGACAAGCTATGTAGCAAATTGGCTGGATTCCTCTGTGATCTCGTGAATCCAGCTTGGAGTGGTAATGCACCTCTAACGGCTGTAGAAGAAGAGAGACTCAACTAACTCAAGTGTTACTGTATCGCGATATATATACTGTTACCGCTTTGGATAAATATATTGGCAAGAATGTAGCGATATGCTATGAATCACGACAGAGGTATCAGTTCAGTATACTGCGATACTATATATTGTGATTTTGTGATCTACTTTTAGGAAAATTGTCATAGTATAAAAACAGACCACAATATACATAAAATCTGAAAACAAATAAATAAAAACAGCTGACTTTAGGGTGCCTTGGTAGCTCACCTGGTAGAGCTGGTGCCCCATGTACTATGGCTAAAGGCAACCTCTCTTCCCCTTCTCCTTTCTTTATCTCAAGCTGTCACTGTCAAATAAAGTTTCCTTTTTTAATGCAACAGTGGGATCTGCATTTGCATTTGTCACAGTCCCTGTAACACCCAACATCATACCCTCACTTTACAACACAGCTATCTATCTAGCAGTTGGAAGTTTAAACACAAAAGTTGATATAATGTTTTTGAGAATTGATACAATACCACAAAACAAAATATTGTGATATGATATTTTTGGATATTTTCTTACACCCCTACTAACATGCGATATGTGATACGTGTTATTTCTTATCAAATAGCATAGTGTGTGTGTTGGTTTGTTTGTCTGGCTCATGTCTGTTTGAGCTCATACTGTGTCAGCAGTCAGCTCCCCTCCTCTGCTCACATCTGTGGCCACTGGGCATTCTCCATCACGACTATTTATGGAGCAGATGGTTTGCAGCGAGGGAGCAAGAAAAAAGAGCAGAGGGAAGAAAGAGGGAGAGAGAAAGAGAAGAATGGGGTGATTATGGAGGAGAATATAGAAGAGAGTGAAGGTGGAGATAGAGAGGAATAACACAGGAAGAGGGTTGATAAAACCACGAGTGGAAGAAACCCCCAGAATACTAATGGAGAAGCATGGGCTGCTGGGATACAGGGGCCCGCCAGCCAATCAAGAAGCATCCGGTTGCTGCTGGGTACCATGGCAACCAGCCTCCTGAGATGGTGTCAGCTGTAATCACAGAGCCAACCCACTCCGCCGTTTGCTTCTCTGCCTCTCTTCTTGATAAGAATATTGAAAGCTGGCATACTGCCCCCGACCCCCACCCCACCTTGTACACTGTGTGTATATGTGTGAAGGCCTGTTTTAAATATGTATTCAGAGGTCAAGTGTGCGTGTGTGTCCGACTGTAATGGAGGATTTTTGTTGTTTTTTTGGTTTGACACATCGGTTTGTCTGTGTGGGTCTGGGTCACTGTGCAGAATCTGTGCAGCCACACTGACTGACAGTTTGAGGCCACTCAGTTCCCTGTAAACAATGCTTTCTACAAGGACTGTGCTGTGTACACCATGTGCACTTTGCTTATTCATTATTTTTCTGATAGAACTGCGGTTAGTGCCTCTTGTCTAATAATTGTTTTACAAGACTAAGTAACTCGACCAAATGACAGTAAGCAACATCATTTTTATATTCTTTTGCCCTGTGTGCAACAAGTTCAAATCCTAATTCCAATGGACTGTACAGCAGAAGGAATATAATTTGTACCAATGGGGTTTCTGCCACTTATTATTGAGGGTGTAAATCGATACGATACGATACAATACGATACAGATGTTAAATGGACTATACTTATTTAGTGCCTTTCTACTCTTCCGACCACCCAAACTGCATTCACCCATTCACACACATTCATACAGTGATGACAAAGGCTCATCACAAACATAAAGTAATTCATTCATACACATTTACACGCCGATGTGCAGCATCTGGAGCAATTTGGGGTTCAGTATCTTGCTCAAGGACATTTCAACATATGGCAAGAGGAACCAGGGATATAGATAAGATATGGTACAGTGATACAGATACAGATACAATCAGATACAGATACCATACCATACCATACCATACCATATACAATATTATATTGATTATTTGGACAACAATGCAATATTTTCTGATATCACAAAATCTCCCAGGATATGATTTGATTCGGTTCAGGGGCCTGCAATTAATAGGAGATGCCGATTGTATGCTTGCCTATTTAACAAAATCAGTTTTGCTACATTATGACAGGGATAGCTGAATGTAACAGCTGTATTGACAGTTACAAATATGAGCAGTCAGTAACAGGTTTGAATAGCAGTTGTCAGGGAGAGGAGGGAGAAATGGTAAATGGTAAATGGACCTGTACCTGTATAGCGCCTTTCTAGTCTTCCAACCACTCAAAGCACTTTTACACTACAGGACACTTCTTCTCCATCTGCCTCCCTTCAACAACAAGTTATTATGCTTTTTTCTGATTCAGTTCATCCCTGTTATGAGATTTTAACAATAAAGTTTTGTTTTTGTGGCCGAGATTAACTTTTACTACGTCCCAGCACAGCCCTACCAGAAGTTATAACTTATACCCGTAACTCTGAACTTGCTTTATGAAACAACAAGCTGAAACACAGCAATATAAGCACGTATAAAACTCTCTATTTATTGTCAGGAATACTCGCTTTTAGTGACAGGTACTCCTTTAGCCAGCGGCAACACACTATTCACCTGATCTCACGTCAGAAATGCAACTGAAGATGAGGAGAATTAACCGACATCCTGCAGCAACAAAGTTGTTGTCCCTCAGTTAAACCATCGGATGTGTTGCTACATCTTCAGAATAAACTGTAATGGACACGGTGACAGACAACGAATATCAGCATACTCTAGGAGTGAGCTTGGACGGAGATGGTGACACAGACAAATGTTTTCACTCTCTCTTATCGATCATATTGGATCATTAATAATTACACTGATATATTGATCCAGATTTATGGATCATTACACCCCTACTTATTAGCAAGTATGTGTCTTGGTGACTGCAGACTAACAAAGTATCCCAGATGCCCTCTCTCTAGCTCCACCCTCCTTCCTTACTGGGTGATCTTAAAGTGTAGGTCTCCTCCTAGTTCGATGTCTACAGGGAGGCTTCCTGGACATACTTCAATACAATCTTGAGACTTCCATAACAGGGAGAATTTTAAAACCAAAGCAGGAGGTCTGCTGTAGATGACGGCATTGGGATTGGGATCCTGTGATCCATGAGAGCGGGCAGTTTTGACTTTGCCACCTGGCTTTGATTGTAATTCAATTCAATTGCCCTGGCATGACAGTAGTCTCTGCAGCTTAACGCTCAACCATCAAATGCCTCAGCAGTCGCACAGTGAGTGCAGGCTACCTCCGATCCCTGATTACATATTGATACAAGATGGTGTCTAACTTACAAAACAAGATACAATGCCTGTAACCGGGCATGGAGATGATGATTATTATTTGATTTGGCATCGAATGCTCCTCCTGACGCAACCCTCCCTATTTATCCAGGCTTGGGAATCCCCAGTGGCTGGGGAGAAACCCAGGGTTCTAGTGCCCAAGGACACGTAGGTAGGAGGAGGTAGGGATCGAACCCTGTGATCAGTAGACAACCCACTCTACTATCTGAGCCCCAGCCACCCACTTTTAATAGAAGTATGCTAACCGTTTATTAACAGCATTATCAGTTTATAATGTCCTGTGTGTGTCTGTCTTTGTCTCCCACAGGAACGTCTGCTGCTCTCCATCCTTCCAAAGCACATAGCTGATGAGATGCTTCAGGACATGAAGAAGGAACCCAGTCAGAAAGAGATGCAGCAGTTTAACACCATGTACATGTACAGACATGAAAACGTCAGGTAGCTTGGTACCTTATGTCGGTTCGACCTGTTTAACCACCAGAACAAGTTCGTTTTTTGCTGTGTGTTCATGAATCTTGTGTGGTTGAGTTTTGATTGTGTGTGCAGCAAGGTGCTCATTATCTACATGGATCCTCTATAGGGTTCCAGAGCAAAGTCGCACATAACATACATTCTCAAATTGAAGCTGTTAATGTTAAGCAAACAAGGGAACAGAAATTTTGTTTTAAGTAGACAAAAACAAACACTGATCACAATCAAAACATTTCTCCATTAAGAACATTTGGAACTGATACGCTGTTGTTAAGTTACAGTGCTTGACAGCGTACTAATAACCCAACACAAAAACAAAGCTATGACAAACCAATCACACAGCAGTCTTTTGCAGACAGACACCCGATTCAACAACAGAGTTAGTTAGTTAGCTATTGTTCAGCTATCACAAGGATGGAAGAGAAGAGCACTCTTTATTTTATTTCCTATAAATATTGAATATAGATGAGTTTTCCTGATATTTTCAACTTTTTATACAATTCTCTGTTATCCATTTTTATAATTTTTAAACAATCATACATACTTAATAGGCTTCTGTTTTGACAAATTCTGTGTTTCCTTCTCATTGTTCTATTAGCTGTCTTGTTTTTTGGGGGTTTTTTTGGGCTGTAGAGTGACTTGAAATAGGGGAGCAAGAGGGGATGACGCAGGGATCTGCATTTATCAGGACAAGATTTAAGAATTCATCTCATCTCATCTCATCTTCATCCGCTTATCCGGGATCAGGTCGTGGGGGTAGCAAGTCCACCAGAGGACCCCAAACTTCCCTTTCCCTGGCCACATCAGCCAACTCTGACTGGGGGATCCGGAGGCGATCCCAGGCCAGTGTTGAGATATAATCTCTCCACCTGGTCCTCTGTCTGCCCCGTGGCCATCCTCACCAGATGCCCCAATCATCTCAGCTGGCTGCTTTCTACGCAAAGGAGAAGCGGCTCTACTCCGAGTCCCTCGCGGATGACCGAGCTTCTCACCCTATCCCTAAGGGATAACGGCCACCCTCCTGAGGAAACCCATTTCGGCCACTTTTACCCGCGATCTTGTTTTTTCGGTCATGACCCATCGCTCATGACCATAGGTAAGGATAGGAACAAAGATCGACCGGTAGATCGAGAGCTTCGCCTTTTATCACGTGCCGTCGTAACACGTGCGGACCCCAACATGAAAATGTCACGTAAATCAGCTCAAAATCGCCACGCAGCGCTTATCTCCTGTTGCCAGAAGGTGGCGCTATCACTATGTCTGAATGTTGTCATGTAGACATGTTCAAGGCGAGAGTGTTATCAAACACGTGAAGTTTCATTGAGATTGGACAATGTACGCTGAAGTTATGAGGACGTGTTCAGGGCAAAACTGTTTCAGAATATATGAAGTTTATTGAAGATTGTACACTGCACACTGAAGTTATGAGCACTATTTTATGGCGAATCTGCTGAAATGGACAAGTTGTCACTGGCACGCCGTTTAATGTACAGTCACAGCTCAACTTTTCAATCAGTTTGTATGACGACAGAATTCAAAGTGGCCAAATTTGACCTCATGCCACAGACACGCCGTTCAACGTACAGTCTCAAATAGCACAACTTTTAATCAGCACCATTTTTTGACTGTACTGACCAAATTTGAAGCAGATCCGATAAATTCCCGAGGAGGAGTTCGTTCAAATACAAGGCGAAAAATTCACCGAAAATTCGCACGGAATTCACTATGGCCAACTTTGAGGGCACACCACGGACATGCCCTTTAATGTACATGCACAAATAGCACAACTTTTAATCAGCACCGTTTTTTGACTGTACTCACAAATTTTGAAGCATATCCGATAAATTCCCTAGGAGGAGTTCGTTCAAATACAAGGCGAAAAATTCACAGAAAATGCGCATGGAATTCACTATGGCCAACTTTGAGGGCACGCCACGGACACGCCCTTCAACGTACATGCACAAATAGCACAACTTTTAATCAAAACCATTTTGTGACTGTACTCACAAATTTTGAAGCAGATCTGATAAATTCCCTAGGAGGAGTTCGCTCAAATACAAGGCGAAAAGTTTGCCGAAAGTGAAAATGAAAATCAAAATGGCCGACTTCCTGTGGGGTTTCGGGTATGGGTCCAAGAGGCTTTTTTGTATGTCCCAGCATGTTACACGTGCCTACCGAGTTTCGTACATATCGGTGAAACGTGGCGCCGGGGCTGATGTTTTTTTATCCTGTAGGGGGCGCTACACACACAACAAACTCGATTTTTGGTATGTGAGCTTCAGGCACTACTCTACACGTGCCCTGTGAATTTCATATTCATAACTATTACGGTCTCCGCACAGTGATTTATCCTGCCACCAGAGCGCCACCCAGTGGCCTGATTTTTTTTTCCTTTTTAGGTGAGCATCAGGGAGCCATGGGCAAGCATCCTACCAAGTTTCATTTTAATCACACTTGCCTATATGGAGAGATTCAGCTCCATTCACCGAGCGCGTGGATATAAGTTTTTTGAATGTGCAACAAAATATGCAAAAGTTATTAAGTAACCAAAAAGTGAAAATACTTTCCTAAATAGTGGCGCCACCTAGTGGCAGTCAGGCAGGACCATGGCAGGAGGCTCTACCAGGATCCATGAGAACCTGCGAGACGAGAAAGCACAAGAACTCCGGGGAAGAAGTGAAGTTAGCAACATGCATTAATGGGACATGAATGTGTGCAGAAAGAGAGGGAGAGGAAGAGAGGAGCTCAGTGCATCATGGGAAATCCCCTGGCAATCTAGGCCTATAGCAGCGTAACTAAGGGATGGTTCAGGATTCACCTGATCCAGCCCTAACTAAAAGCTTAATCAAAGAGGAACGTCTTAAGCCTACTCTTAAATGTGGAGAGGGTGCCATCCAAAGTGGGATGGATGCCGTCTCTCCTAATCAGACCAGGGTTTCCCCAAAAAGGCTGCCAGTTATTGACAGCCAACGGTGGAATGACGACATGCGGCTATACATGTCACCACTGGTCATATTGGGCAGGGGTCCAGAGAAAACTACGGAGTCCGACATTGTTTTTGCATGTCTGCACACCGACTCCACATTAATTTTAGTGACTTCTGATTGGCGTAATAGGGTGTCATTACCGCCGAATAACAACCTTACCATATTTACGCTTATCTTTAGCCAGCAGTTTTAAATACGATTCAATGTCGCGCGCTATAGCCCCAGGGATACATTTAACTATGGTCGTATTGTTAACATGAACCTGTTGGTGGTGAGCTATGGGCTTCTGTGGTTTATATCTAGGCCCCCTGCCTTTACTGCCACCCATTTGGCATTGTACCCGACCCCAGTGGTTTCTTCCGTGAGTGGTGGGCCCGCGGGATGAAGATGTGGCCACGTCACTCTTTCGGGCTATTCCATGGCAAGTCCGGCCACCAGGTGCTCTCTTTCAGGTCCCCCTTCCAGGCCTGGCTCCAGACAGGGGCCCTGGGCTTCCTCCGGGCCGGGTGTCTTGACATCTTCCACATACTTCCATGGGGTCTTCTGTGAACCATTCTTAGTCTGGCCCCTCACCTGAGACCACTTTGCCTTGGGAGACCCTACCAGGAGCATATTGCTCCCGACAACACAGCTCTCAGGTTCATAGAAGCACCCAAACCTCTCCCCCGTGATAAGGTGATGGAGAGGGAATTTAAGAATTAATTTATTTAAATCCAATCTCTGTTTGCAATTCTCTGCTCATTTCCAGAGTCTGAATTTCCTTCTGTGATAGTAAATGTGTGAGGATTCAGTAGCATCTGGCGCTTAAGTTGCAGATTGCTACTTCTTTCACCTTTATTTAGCCAGATCGGTCACGTGAGAACCAATTCTCAATTACGATGACGAGCTGGCCAAGAGGCAGGGTTTTATTGGATCTATTCACACCCACCAGTGCAGGATGAATGAGTCCTCTCCAAAACCCAAGTGGCATAGGTGCCGGTTTGTGCCGGATGGATGTGGTTTCTATTCCAAGTTGGCACACAAAACAACGGCACGTCTTCATGCTGACCAAATAGCAACAGAGACAATAGAGATTTATTATTCACAGTTTTCCAGGAAGTACTTACTGCCCTGAAGTGATATCCTGCTTGCAGATTCTAATTCCGATTTGTAACAATATATGTTAAGACAGTGAAAATGTGTATGGAGGATGCTGTTTCTTACTGTAGCAGCGTGATGTGAGTACTAACGTGCTGTCTTGTATCTGTCTCTTGTTGTTGTGCAGTATTTTGTTTGCAGACATTGTGGGTTTCACCCAGCTGTCGTCGTCCTGCAGCGCTCAGGAGCTGGTCAAACTGCTCAATGAGCTCTTCGCTCGCTTTGACAAGCTAGCCGCAGTGAGTGACATTTACTTGTTCAGCTACGTATGTGCTTTATTGAATTGAATGATCAAATAATCTGATTTAGAATTTCTGTCCATCTTTCATTTGAATTATTTGGGATTATTTTAAGTTATTATGTGTAGTCATTCAGTCAGTTACATAAAAGACCTTACTTCTGGGGATGACTGTCCTAATCATAAAATCTTGTATCTAGAGATTTTATATTTATTTAAACTACCAGTGTTTTCCACGGAGAAAAGCCTTCAGTGTTGTTCTTTGTTCTTCTTTCAAAAAAGAAATGCTCTCCAGTTCTGATATAACTGATGCTAGCAACATCTATGCTAACCTCTTTAGTGGCCACTATTGTTGTTTTCCTTATAGATGACTTTGTAATGCAGTTATGATAATTTACACTTCAAAAATCTTAAAAGTGGTGGAGAAATCCCATTGGCTTTTGGTCGAAAGAATCAGGGCAATGCTAACTTCCGGGTTGGACTACAAAAATGCTTCATCCTTGCAGCACTCTGTGTGAATGCTGTATTTCTACTGTTTACCTCATGATTGAAGAGAGAGAAAATAATTGCTCCCATGACAGCTTTCCCGAGTTGTATTATAAACTACTGTTTGGTGTTTTGCTGTCTGAGAAACCCTACAATTTACCAATCTGTTACTCAAACTGGACTTCCTTGACCATATTTTATGTCTCTCCGGTATCTGAAGCAGCATGTCCCCACCAACGCAGCCAAGGTCACCCATTATTTCATTTTGTTGGACTTTGGTCCATCTGTCTGACTAAAGCTTATCTACCCTGTCAGAAATATCACCAGCTGAGGATCAAGATCTTGGGAGACTGCTACTACTGTATCTGTGGGCTGCCGGACTACAGGGAGGACCATGCTGCCTGCTCCATCATGATGGGCCTGGCAATGGTGGAGGCCATCTCGTGAGTACAGTACAGGGATAAGGTGGGGTGGGGGGGGGCAGAACTGTTCTAAAGATCAGTCAGTGTCAGCTACATTTGATGTGATGCAGTCGGTCACGTGGTCGACGGTGTGGAATTGATCGCACTGATGGGCTGATACTGACCTGTGAAATAGAGTGAATTGAACACCGGCTGACAATGAGAGCTCATTAAGCTCAAATCGATTCTAATGAACAAGCGCTTTGGTCAGACTCCGGAGAAGTGTGCATGAATGGATTTACTACAAATGAGATATATCAGAGTTTGAGAATGTATCTGTGGTGTCATGGTCGTCGGTGTTTAGAAACAGGAAGGAGCTGGGTTGAATGTAACAAAAACAGAAACTATTTGTTCTTTTTGTTTAACATGCTTTGTAAACCAACCACAGGTATGTAAGAGAGAAAACCCAGACAGACGTGGACATGCGGGTAGGAGTGCACAGCGGTACAGTCCTGGGTGGAGTACTTGGTCAGAAACGCTGGCAGTACGACGTCTGGTCCACAGACGTCACTGTGGCCAACAAAATGGAGGCTGGAGGGATACCAGGGTAAGAACGCACATTAACTCCATTCAGTACCTCTTCAATCAAGTTTTTAACTGGTTAAGAAAGGGAGTTGCAGTCTGCAACTAAACTACTTGATGCCACTAAATCCTGAATACTGTTCCTTATACTGACCCCTCTCTATGAGCTACATAAACAAACAAGACCATCAACAAGAAGATTGGCTTTTTCTATATAATTATTCTTAATGCCTCCACTGGGTCTGATTCCCCTTGAAATCAATGAAACAAGGCAGTAGAAACACTAATGCTTGAGTCCACAAGGGCCACCAGAATCAACACAAAATGAATGCTCCATGTAGGTGCTTTAATATAGAAAGATGTGCATTTAGGGCAACTTTAAAGAATTACCTAATCCAAAACAAAATAATATAATTGAGCATTTAAATGTTCATTCTTCACCAGCCTGACAAAAACAAATCTTAATTAAGTCAATTTGACTACGTTTCCAGAGCTTCCAGTCACATCAGCACATGTAGTTTGCTCAGATTTATACATATATAATATACATTTCTATGTGGAAAAAATACAATTTTGGCCACAATCAAACATTTCCACTCTGTGTTGTTCTTAAGTCAACTTAAATGTTAGCACAGATGTGCTGTTGCTGTGGAATGCTGCAAGTAATAGATTAAGTCAAAGGAAATAAACTGACACACAGCCAGCAAACAGACAAAATCATAGAGGAAGCAACTAGTAAAAAGGAACTAAATTGACTTTTAGTGAAATAAAGGACAGCATGATAGCATCAGTAAACTCTTATTTCCTCTATATGAATCACATTCAGTCAAATTTGTTCCTCTCCATACATTTCACCTGGTCACCCACGCCTACCTGCAGTGGGTCAATGCAGTGCAGTTTGAGAACCACTGCATTAATCTAACACGTTTCAGACCTGCTACATTAATAGCTGTGTTTTGATGGACATAGTATGTCATGTCATAGATGTGGTACTATAGAAGTTGGTTTGTGATGTTGGAGAGCTCTGTGCGTGTGCAAACTTTGCTGTTTGTGCTCTCTGCAATTTTCTTTACAGACCAATCTCTGTGAGAAAAGCCTGAAACCCTGGAGACAATTGCAGAAAGCACTTTGCTTTTTTACTGGTCTTATAGTACCTTGGGCAGTAGAGCCTGATTTCTTCACAGATTATCTGTCTCATGTACTACTGTCAGGGCATAGTGACATATTTTATGGATATTTCCTATTATATTCAATGTAAAACAAAAACACTTCTGGTAAACTGTACAATGAACCCAGATAGTGAATATAATAACTGCAGGAAGTTTGTGTAAAACAAGCTATTTAGATTAATTTTGTGCAGATTATTTCCTCCAGTGAATACTGATCAGAGATGAGATTTGCTGGTATTTTTAGCAACTTTTTATACCATTTTCTGACTGTATTATGTATTTTTATAATTTTTAACAATCCTACAAATTCATTCTCATTGTTCATTTAGCTCTTTGGTTGTTTTAACTGAGTACTTATGCAGGATTAGGCTGTTTACCAGAGAGTGAAGGCTCCGTGAATATAGATTGTGTTCAGCTCTTCAAAGTCAATCTATAAATATTATTTTTTGTAGTAGTTGGTGCATTAGTGACCTGTCTAAACTTTGTCCCCTGTTGTTCTGTTTTTGTGGACCAGTCGTGTCCACATCTCCCAGAGCACCATGGAGTGTCTTCATGGCGAGTTCGATGTGGAGCCAGGGAATGGGGGTGACCGCTGTGACTACCTGAGAGAGAGGGGCATTGAGACCTACCTGGTGGTGGTTCCTAAAGGACCTGTGGGAAAGAATGGGATCAACGGTGTAGTGAGTCAAACCTGCCACACACCCACACTGCAAATATTTGGATATTGAAATGTTGTTCTCACATTCAGCCATCTGATGCCCAGGGAAAGGGATGAAATGTTAACATGTAAAGTCATACAGTATTTGAATCCTGCTTGTTACTCAAAAATAGATTTGAATATCATTTCAAAATGTATGTTAGAAACTCAGCAGAATACATGGATATGTACAGGAATGTAAAAAAGGAAGAAAGATAAGTCTTATCATACTAATCACTCAGTGCTTCCTGTTTGCTTGCTTCACATTAGAAGCTGTCTGTAACCTCTTCCAATGGAAACTCCCCACTGTTGATCAACACCACAGAGTGTAACGGCAGTGTCAATACCGCCTGCACCACACCGGAGGAACCAGAAGAACTCGACACACGGGTAACCTAGAAGTCATTGCTTAGATTAGAATATAATGTTACAAGAGTAAGAGAGGTGTTTTTCACAACTCACAATTCCGTGCTATACCATCAATATATATATAAATACTAATAATTTAGCTAATCTTAGGGTCACAGTCGTATTTATAAGACAGCAATTTCAGCACTAAAGATTAGGTTTCCTTATCAAACCTTATCAACATCCACAGCAAATTTCATGGGAATCTGGCAAGTAGGTTTCTTAATAGTGAAGCAGCATGTGGATTAAGTGGTTGTTCAGAGGTTTAATGGTGTTAGACGGACATACCAGCCGACTGTCGTAATTGACCCTTTCTAAGTCCCACCCATTTTTGCTCTGGGCTCCAATAACAGTTAAGCAAGCCTCCGTATAAAAAAAACAAAAAAAACCTAGTTGATGATTTCCTGTACTTTCCCAATAAACAGTATTAGACAGTAAAAGAAAAGATCTGTGGCTTCTGAGTCCATCTGCAAAGAGAAAAAAAGGATAAACTGTCCATCTGTGGCAAACACTTCATCACACATGTGTGCCGATTGTGTCTGTAGATTGAAGTGAATCAAAAATGAGTCTTAGTGATGGTGGAAAAAAAGTTTTTACTGCGAAAAAATATGGCCCTACAACAAAAACATTTTTGGAACGCTTTTAGAATGGAGTTTGGTTTGGCAGTGTGGAGCAGAGGGTATTTTAACCTTAATAATTCACATAAATTGAGCATAAAGTAACATAGGAAGTGGAGATAAAAACCAACATGTTTTCTAAATCTCTCAGCTCGTAGTAAAAGGTCAATTTAACAAACACGAGCATTTCAAAAAAATAAAGGGTCTTAAAAAATATATGAGATTTAATAAGGTAGTTGTATATGTCATTTTGGTCAACTTGGATGCAGGCAGACAGAAAGACGCCGATCGTTGATTCACAATGCCTTGCTGGCCATAGGATTTTGGTTCCTAATATCTAAAAAGCAATACAGTATTCTTATTTTATGCTATTAAATTGGTAATGACCTTGGAATGTGCATTTACTGTCAGTCAATTGTAGGGGCTACTTTCAGCCAAAAGGGGGCAGGGGCACCCACATATAACCCAGAGGTGCTGCTCTTATCTATAGTAAATATTCTTAATTTGTTTTCTTTGTCGGTCTTCAGGTGGTGAATCCATCTTTCCCTAACCCTCGCAGAAGGCTGCGGCTGCGGGACCTGGCTGAAAGGGTGATTGACGCTCAGGAGAACGAACAGGAGCTCAACAAACTGCTCAATGAGGCTCTGCTGGAGAGAGAGACAGTCCAAGCGTAAGTGAGCAAAAAGCGCTACTTCCTTCTAGATGCAAAACAACTTAATGACATTGCTTTCATCTTTGTTAGCTTTTGTCATGTTAGTGGTCGTCAGGAGACCTGTAGCCAATGGCTACACGCAGCCAATGGTGTTATGACACATTGGCATACTCTGATTGCACTTTCTCTTTGTAAATACACTTTTCAAATGTGGCTCAACTGAGAACAAATGAGAGAGTGAATCAGAGAAATTAAATTTATTTTCATAGGAGTTATATCCTAAAGCACCACCACACCTCCGCACAATCCTGCAGAAGGTACACATTGCCAAATTTTGTGCTGAAGCTGCCCTGTCTGCTGTGTGTAGCTTACTCCCACCCCCAGTCAAACACAGAGTCCTGCAGCTCTTTATACATTCATATTCTCTGAGAGACTATGATCTGCAAATGTTGACACCCAGACACGCCCCGCACACATAACAGCAAAATAAGCAAATACGGGCTGTGGGCAGGGTCTCTGCAGATACAAACACGCTTGTAATGGGTCACAAGCAGACCCGGAATCTGCAGATTTTCTTCACAGTTTTCAGTGGTGATCCAGAATGAGACCAGCATAAAATGAAGGACACATGGCAACTATGCAAGGTTTATGGGGAACAGAGAGAGCAAAAATGTATTTGCGAAACCATTAATCAATTTATCTCCCAACAATTACCACTGCAACACAAACAAATAAATAGAAAACTGGTAAGGTGCTTGACCTTAACTTCACCAAATATTCTTTGAGAAACTTTACATGCTCAAACATAAAACTTTCTTAGATGCTCTAAATTAATACAGCTGCTTACATTTTTTAACTCTTTGGATATTAACAATATCTATATATCCGAGTGCAAATTGTCTTACAATATTCATTAAGTCAAAAATAAGTAATCTGTGTTGACAAACAGCGCATGTAAATCAAATTTTTGACAATTTTTCACACCACAAACTTTTATTCTAAAGCTAACTGAAAACAACACGTTTGGTAGTAAATTCTGCAAGCTTTACTTTTGTTTGTGCTGGAAGAGCAGCACCTTCCTCTAACACAAATTAATAAAGCTAGGTTTTGTTGGAAGTTTTTAGTGCAGATAGGGTACCAAATCAAAATAATACTTTTATTCTGTAAATTACTTTGTGAAAGTGTTTTTCCCAAACTGCAACAGAATGTGTCGTGTTGCTGACAAATGTTATTTGATGTAATTGCTGAGTGTCTCTTGTCTCATTAGTCTGAAGGGGAAACACACCAACAAGCTCTCCCTGAGATTTGTGGATCCAGACCTGGAGACCCGTTACTCAGTGGAGAAGGAGAAACAGAGCGGAGCTGCCTTCTGTTGCTCCTGTGTGGTCCTGCTCTTCACTGCAGTTATGGAGGCTCTCATAGACCCTTGGTCAGTTCACGAGGCCAGCACTAATGTTTTCACGCTTTTTTTATTCACCATATTTGGCTTAGACACCTATCCAAAAATCATGATCCTATTCACATAATAATTTCTCTCTACTGTAAGAATCCTCTACTCTTTTTATCTCAAACACAAGTCCCTTCCTTTTTGGAACTTCAATCAACTTTCTCCTTTCCTGTAGTAATCAACCCCCAGGAACTTTGAAGCCAATTTGACATAGTGGCCATCCGTGTAATTACAGCAGTGACATCCATCACAGGATGCACACTGACCCAAAAAGACTGTTTCCCATGAGCTTACATTGTGAAAGACGCGGCTGTAAAACGGTGGATGCATTTTTTTGAGCATCAACTCCCCCATGAAATATGTGTATTTGATCCATTCAGTCCAATAACATTTGTAAAGTTTAGAAGAGCCACAAGATTAAATAATTTTATCTCCATTCAAGTTAGCAGAAGGCTAAACCGGAAGTTAGTGGCTCAGCCAGTGGAGTCTCTAGTGCGCTTGCAATATGAGCCACATTATATACAAGGATATGCAAAAGATCTGGCTAATTTGTTGAAGTTCTTGGATTCCTGCACCACTGAACAGCTTCGAAAATGAACAGAGCCTGCCTCCAACTCCTCTGAGTTTGTCTATATTGAAAAGACAATGTCTCTTTTGTCTTTAAAACATCTTAAAATGTGGTATTCTTTCCAACATAGATTAGCTTAGCAAAAAGCATATCTAAGTACAGGAAAGGATAAAGTTGACCGAGGTTCTGACCGAGGCTTGCTCAACTGTTATTGGAGCAATAAGCGAAAAAGATGTTGGAGAATCTGGACTTGTTAACAGCTACCAGTGCTGTGTATTTCTCTCAAGGTTGTTCTGTGTGTTCATGTTTTGTGGAACAGGTTGATTGCAAACTACATCACCTTTGCAGTGGGAGAAGTCCTGCTGCTCATCCTGACAATCTGTTCTCTGGCTGCCATTTTCCCTAGAGTGAGTTACAACACATGTTTATACCTTTACACTCGAATGTGTCATGCTTTCACTACCTGGTAGGCCCTGGTACCACCTAATCACCTAATCTAGATACAGCAACTTTCAGGTCAATCTGACCAAAGCCCAAAATCTGTGTATGCATTCTGCTGCGGTCCCTTCTGAGGGCCAGGAAACATGTTGTTTGTTAACAGAGAGACTGCGTTCTCTTATGCACAAACAGAGAAACTCTACCTCGCTTACTGACAGTTACACCTAGAGCCGAAGGATCTGTCCTAGGTTTCTGCCTTTTAACAGGCAGTTTTTCCTTGCCCTTGTCGCCAAGTGCTTGCTCATGGTGGTACTGTTGGGTCTCTGTACGTAATGTTATAAGGAGTTCGGTCTAGACCTGCTCTATTTGAAAAGTGTCCTGAGATAACTTCTGTTATGAATTGGCGCTATACAAATAAAATTGAATTGAATTGAATTGAAATTAATGATCTCTTGTCGCCCAAAGTAATCTTGAGTTATGTTTATAGGAAATATCCTCAGAGAAATAGTTAAATGTTTTGGGAAATATGCATTCCCTTCCTTTCAAGAGTGAGATAAGATCAGTGTCATCACAGTGAGGTTGTCAGGTTTAGTACCACCTGTGCAAACTAAAACCTGTGCTCACAAACTTTTTCCGGAAAACCTCATCTCATTTATGTGCTCATATTATAGTTAAATAGCTTGGGTTTTTTGAAGTGGGGTTGTTTGAGGTACTTATTCAGTGTATTACCTACAGCAGACAGAGGTCAGCATGTCCCCAGTTTGGAGAATGTACTGCTGTGGGTGGGGGCACCAACAGAACGTATTTTAGCCACCTAAAAAAATAAATATTAGTTTAAGTGTATGCTATATTTAGAGTATTTTCACAACTAACTTGCCATCAGACAGCCTTGTCCAACAGGAAACTGTAGCCTTATATTCTCCAAAGCCACCAGACTCCTTTGACAAAAAGTAATTTTACCTCGCAGAGCATGGGACTCCCTGGTCTACCGCTGTCTCAATCCGCAGCAGCTAACATTAGTTAACATTTTTGATGCAAACTAATGTGTTAAAACACAAAGGTCACACAATAACACAACTAAGACGAAATTATTTGAGTTTCACATCACTAACCCTTTAAACATGTGCATCTCAAATGAGTCTACTGTTAACATTTAATAACGGTGCAGTTTTATTGCTATATAGAGGATAGCATAGTGGTGTACAGCAAGTGTGTGTGTGTGTGTGTGTGTTTGTTTGGCATGGAGCAGTACTTTTGATTCCACCTCGTCATGGAAAGTCAGATGTATTGATAACCAGCAGAGAGGCCAGTATTGACTGCTGTCACAGGCTGCACTCGGGTCAGTCAGCAGCACACACACAGTCAGCCAGTCAATCACTCAGAATGAGAAAATGCAGAGTTGCTGTAAATAATGCTCGGGGCTCTTCAGTACTTATCAATATCACATCCACATCAAATCACAGTGCAATAATAAGCCTACAGTACTGTTTCCACTAACACAGCACAGTCCATTAACAGAGGCACATGTCTCACTGCACACTGTTAGCAGCCACAGAGCTGTTTCAGTCACATATTCACATGTCATAGCAGGAAAAGTAAATGGGTATCTAATAACATTAATAATGGCTGCATTCCATTTATGAGTTGCAGGCCTACTACTCTGATATAGTGTAAGACTACTGAGACACTCAAAGTGAATGGAGTTATCATTCATGTTATTAGTTCCACTTGTGTTTTTCCTGCCAAGCCAAATGTATGCTGCAAAGAAGGCCTGTAGGTTTGACATATCCACCATCACCTGACTCTGTTTTTCCCATCACCCCACTAATGAGCACAGTGTCAGATGATGCAGTCACAAATGCGTGGACATTAATGGTGCTGTTTCCAAAAACATCTCTGATTTAGATTGAAATAAAGTGTAACAGATTTCCGGCAGCTGTGGCTCAGAGGTACAGCGGGTCGTCCACTAATTGGAAGGTTGCTGGTTCGATCACTGGCTCCTCCTGCATATCAAAGTATACTTGAGCAAGATACTGAAACCAACAAATCGCTTCCGATGCTGTGCATTGGTGTGTGAATGTGTATGAATGAGTTAGTTTCTGTTCATCTATCATCTATCATGATGATAGTTTCTGGCCATCACTGAGTGAATGTGTGTGAAAGCGTGAATGTGGCATGTAGTGTAAAAGCGCTTTGAGTGGTTGGAAGACTAGAAAGGCGCTTTACAAGTACAGGTCCATTTACCATTTACCATTAAAAAACAAACAAAAAAAAACAGCTTTTTCTGTCACAATAAGGAAAGAATTATCACTAAATATATAATTTACTTTTGGAAACTAATCAAGGGAAAACTAAAAGGTTAGTGAGATTTTAAGATGATTGCTGTTGAGTTTTAGTGTATTTTTGAGTGTACTTTTTCAGTGTGAGCCACTGGCACCGGCATGGGGGAACCAATGAGACTTTTTGTCCCCCACACTTTCAGGTGTTATGCTAACCTCTTCAACCCTGCGATGACCAATAGTATATATATATATATATAGTATAATAACAGTATTTCTCGCCTAAACTTTATTTAGAAACAGATTTTAGTGGACTGCTGTGGTGAAATAAGTTAAGGTTCACTCAGCTTACTACATTTGGAGCTCTACTACTCATGCTCAAACCCCATTGTTCGGGCCCTAATAAAATGCTATCAAACTCCATCCCATTATAGCGTGGAACTGGGATACAGCTTTAGAATAAAATGATTTGCTTTTCAGGCTGTACTGAACTGCAGCAGGTTGAGAGAAATAATGTGTGTAAGTATTAAGTAATAAGTAATAAGTGGTATTTGTGTCAGGTCTTTCCTAAGAAGCTGGTGTCTTTCTCCACCTGGATCGACCACACCCGCTGGGCTCGTAACACCTGGGCCATGGCAGCTATCCTTATCCTCACCATGGCCGACATCATGGATATGGTGAGCTGTTCTTTGCTGTTTCTTACAATCCACTGCGGGGATTTGTATTGATTCTGTGGCTGAATTTTGTGCACCCAGTTGCCAGTGAACTGTATGCTTCCTGTATGCCAGAGAAAAACCAGAGGCAGAAATTGGATGGAAAGAATTCTGCTCATAGAGCACTGTTTTGTAATTTAATTTAATTTAATTTAATTTAATTAATAATAGTAACAATAGTCTCTCCATTGTCTAGCTGAGTTGTCTGCCTCAAGTCCCAGACTCAGGCAGCCCCACAGTGGCTCCCTCCTCCTCCTCCTCCTCCTCCTCCTCCTGGTCTGGCCTTGATGGTTGCATGGACAACCCCAAATATTACAGCTACATCGCCGTGCTGGCACTGATGGCCACCACCATGCTGGTTCAGGTCAGTCACATGGTCAAGCTCACGTTGATGCTGCTCATCACATTGGCCACCGGCATCGTCAACATCTACAGCTGGAGGGACATCTTCGACCGCTACGACATGGCCCGCTTCCAGGACTACAGGTGAGGCAAAAACCGAAGCCAGGGTCCTCTGTGTCGGTACTGTAGCACTGGCTAGCTATAGGACAACAATGAACTGAATGATTAAACCTGGATGTGTGTACCTTATCACACTGGTTCCAAACCAGGGGGTCCAGATACCCACTAGGGCTCAACAAGGCTTCAGTAGATAACTTTTATAAAAACAACTTTTTGTCATATTTGCTGAAACTTTCACTATATCTTGACAGTTGTACATGAGACAGATAATCTGTGAAAAAATCTGGTTCTGGACTCTTTGGAACTGATCAATCAACTATTTTCAAGTCACCAACCTAAAGCATTGATATTTGAGGCCCTTGGAATGAGACTTTTTGTCAAGTTATGTATTGCAGCTTTAACAGGTCTAAGAAAACTTTAAATAATATATTCACAGTAGGCCTATATCTTAGCATTTCATTCAATTTTATGAAAAAGACATGGCTGTCTATTTCTCTGCTTATCCAAGATGTGAGACACAGCTGAACAGGTGCTCACTGTCATTGCTGCTACATGGAACACATTGGTGTTTGCATGCAATTTGTTTGATTGTTTCTCCTATATCTGAGTTGGAAATAACCAACACAACCTTTCACCAGAAAAAAATTGTAGTGACACAACAGATAAACATCAGCCTCTGATATTGGTGAGTGCCATCTATTTGTCCATGTCAGTCAACAAGGCGAATATCGGCTGACCAGCATTCACCCAATATATTGGTATATGCTAAAGTCAAAATTCAGACCTGAACACAAACTGTATTCACAGAGTCTGATAAACAGCGTTGTCCTGCAGTAGAAAAGGTAAAACAACCAAAGAGCTAATAGAACAGTGAGGAGAAAAACAGAACTTCTCAAAAAAGAAGCCTATTAAATATGTATGATTGTTAAAAAATCAAAAAGGTTCCTAAAAATATCAGGAAAACCAATCTCTGATCAAATACTCACAGGAAATAATCTGCTCAAAATGTATCCAAATGGCTCATTTTACACTAACAAAAGTGTACAAGTTGTTGTGTTCAATGTTTGGGTTCATTGTACAGTTTATCAATTGTTCTCTACTGTTATTGTTATTTATTTGTTAATATGAAATATCCATAAAATATGTCACTTTACTCAATGATAGAAAAGGGCTTCTGTATGGAAAAAGTTTGGGAACCACTACCCTCACATATAGTAACTGCAGGTTCAAACAGTAGTATCACAGCAGAAACTATTAATACGTCAATGTTCTTCTTTGCAGGTCATACCTGGTGCCCTCTAAGTTCACAATGACAATTATGATCTTCATCATGATGGTCAGCTTCTATTATTTCTCCCGACATGTAAGTTGATGCCTGCTACGTTTTTTGTACATTAAAACCATTACCACACTGTTAAACTGTTACTTTTTTGTATGCTGTTAGAGGACCCAATACAATTACTATTAATTAATCATAGAGGTACTCCAGAGCAGCTCTGTACTGTGACAGAGATAAAGAAAAGCTTTATATGCAGTCAGACACTAACAAATGTATTTTTAAAGTTACAGGAACATTTTTAGAATAGTTTTTTTCTATATCTGTACACACATAGACACACATTTCCGTTAAAAAAGAAAAAAATCCACAATTGTCACTGAAATAACTTGAAACTGACTTGAAAAGTAATAATAAATAAAAAAATACTGAAAATTGGCTAATGAAGATCAGACATTGCTTTTGTATTGTGGTTCAACAGAATCATTAAAAAAAAAAAATTATAATAATGAAACTGACCAAAAGTGATGGTACCCCTAGAAAAGATTGAAAATAATTTGACCATAGGGACATGATAAACTAAGATGTGTCCTTTCATTAGCATCACAGGTATCTTCAACCTTGTAATCAGTCAATGAGCCTATTTAAAGGGTGAAACGTACTCACTGTGTGGATTGGTATCATGGTGTGTATCACACTGAACATGGACCACAGAGGAGAGAGTTGTCTCAGGAGATTAGAAAGAAAATTATAGATAAGCATGTTAAAGGTAAAGGCTATAAGACCATCTCCAAGCAGCTTGATGTTCCTGTGAATACAGTTGCACATATTATTCAGAAGTTTAAGATCCAAGGAAAATTGATGACAAATTAAAGAGATAATACAAATGGTAACCAAAGAGCCCAGAACAACTTCCAAAGAGATTAGATGTGAACTACAAGGTCAAAGTACAACAGTGTCAGATCACACCATCAGCCACCAACAGCTGTTTGAGCCAAAGTGGACTTAATAGAAGACGACGACGAGGACACCACTGTTGAAAGCAAATTATAAAAAAGCGAGACTGGAAATTTGCCAAAATGCATATTGACAAGCCACAAAGCTTCTGAGAGAATATTCTTTTGACATATGAGACAAAACTGGAGCTTTTTGGCAGTCAAGTGACATCAGCTCTATGTTCACATACACAAAAATGAAGCATACAAAGAAAAGAACACTACCCACTGTGAAACATGGAGGAGGCTTGGTTATGTTCTAGGGTTGCTTTGCTGGATCTAGCACAGGGTGTCTTGAATCTGTGCAGGGTACAATAAAATCTCAAAACTATCAAGGCATTCTGGAGTAAAATGTGCTGCCCAGTGTCAGAAAGCTTGGTCTCATGGGTCGTCCAACACGATAATGACCCAAAACACACAGCTAAAATTACCCAAAAATGGCTAAGAGCAAAACATTGGACTATTCTGAAGTGGCCTTCTATTATCCCTGATCTAAATCCTCTTGAACATCTGTGGAATGAGCTGAAACATGCAGTCTGGAGAAGGCACCCTTCAAACCTGAGACAGCTGGAGCAGTTTGCTCACGAGGAGTGGGCCAAAATACCTGTTATAAGTCTCATTGAGAGTTACAGAAATCGCTTGATTGCAGTGATTGCCTCAAAAGGTTGTGCAACAAAATATTAAGTTCAGGGTACCATAATTTTTGTCCAGGCCAGTTTCATTAGTTTGTTTTTTAAATGATTCTGTTGTACCACAATTCAAAAGGATGTTTGATTTTCATTAGTTCATTTTCAGTCATTTTTTATTTATTATTACTTAGTTAAGTTATTTCAGTGACCATTGTGGGTTTTTCTTTGTTTAACGGAAGTACCAACAATTTTGGCCACATGTGTATGTAGGGTTTTGGTGGTGTGAGATTTTCACTGTACCATAATATCTCTCTTATTATAATTATTAATTAGAATAACTCAGAAGGATTTTTTAGTTGAACAAACTATTTATTACAATTTTCACAAAGTATTCATATCATTACAGACATGAAACTTTGATTTTATACATTAGAAATCAATACTGTAGATGAGAAAATGTACATGGTATGATAACTGTCAATTTTCATACAATTGTATACTCTGGTATTGGTATACTGTGCAACCCTTTGTAGGTATACATGTGATGTACTGTCCATAGGGTCTTAAATAGTCTAAAATCCCCCAAATGTTTGAATTTTATGCATTGAAATGTCATAAATGTCTAAATTTCTTTTTTTTAAACTTTTTTTCTGTTTTATAATACAGTAAACATGAGGACACTCAGTTACATTAAATGGTATACACAGGAGTTAATACAGAATGATTTATTTTCAGTCACATTTGTTTTTCTGTTTCGCAGTTGCATTTATTGTAGTTGCCGTTGTCATACCTTTTGGTAGACGGGTATGTGTCCCATTTAGACCAACACTCTTCTTCCTTTTTTTTCTTTAATCTTAAACTGAAGGTCCTTGCCGTATATGCTGCTTACAGTATCTATCCATTGGTTCAGGGTGAGAGGCTCTCTCTCCATTATAATGTTTCTCTGGTATCCAGATCCTTAGATATTTCCTAAGTAGAGGGAGATACAGCTGACATAGATTGGACGTCTGTTAACTCCCCATCCTTTACAAACAACAATTTTTGTCATATTTGCTGAAACTTTCACTATATCCTGATAGTAGCACATGAGACAGATAATCTGTGAAAAAATGAGGTTGCTCTGGGTCCTCCTAGTGCTCCTAATGGCATTCAGTGATTGTTGAGTCTCATTTCCAGGGCATCAAATACACTTTAGGACACTGACAATGAGACTCAACAATTAACTATCTTCAAGCTTCCAACCAAAAGTGTCTTTCTATCTTTTTCAGCTCTGATTGGTTGTTTTAGTCCAGGCCCGGTGGATTCTTGCAAATGCCATTAGGAGTATTAGAATGAACCAGAGGAACCTGATTTTTAGACAGATTATCTGTCTTATGTGTTAACACTCACTGTCAGAACACAGTGAACATTTCAGCAAATATGACAAAAAAACTGCAGCTTTAAATGTGATTTTGGTAAAAATAACCAATACTGATTTTCCTTTGTACTTCTTTTGCCAGTATGGACTACAGTTGTCATTTTCTTTGGCATCTGCAAATCAAGATTAATTCATAAAAATAATGCGCAAACCACTTTTTTGCATTAACATTGTCATCTCAGTCTATGGATTACCAATTATTTCAGTTGTATCTGCTTTAAAATCCACACAATGGTCAAATGCTAATGTCAGTCCCTGCTGTCACCCGAAGGTGGAGAAGCTCGCCCGCACCCTGTTCCTGTGGAAGATTGAGGTCCATGAGCAGAAGGAGAAAGTGTATGAGATGAGGCGCTGGAACGAAGCGCTGGTGACCAACATGCTGCCTGAACACGTAGCTCGACACTTCCTGGGCTCCAAGAAAAGGGATGAGGTAAGATCATACATCCACAGACACCAGGCCATGTCATTCTTTTCAAAAGTCATTACTTGTCGTAACTTCATCTTGCTCCTCAGTTTCCTGTTACTTTTCTTTCTTGTGAATTATCAGGAAACCCAGCATGTTTATCTGCAGTATTCTTGTCTCAGTTGCATCTAAAACCATATTGTAGTATTTCTTGGGACATTCAAGGAGGATTTCATAAATGTTCAGATCTGGTTCCACAAACCTTCCAATGTCTTTCTCTCTGACCTGTTCCAGGAGCTGTACAGCCAGTCCTACGATGAGATTGGAGTCATGTTTGCCTCAATCCCCAACTTCTCTGACTTCTATACAGAGGAGAGCATCAATAATGGAGGCATCGAGTGCTTACGCTTCCTTAATGAGATCATCTCAGACTTTGACAGTGTAAGCAGCTCTCTTCATTCTGTTCCTGTTTATAGCACACAGCATGAGACTGTAATAAGACCCAGCCTGATATGTTTTTACAATTGCTAGGGTGTGTGTGTGTGTATGTGATTAAACTCCGATTCACTTTTCTGCCTGTCAAACATCTGCTGACCATTAAGGATTTATTCCTGACCTAAAGTACAGTACGTGTTTTTGAATGAGTGAGTCCCACAGTGTGTGTAAATGTAACCTTTGGCCTGTGTCCATGCCAGCTGCTGGATGAGCCTCAGTTCCGCTGCATCACAAAAATCAAGACCATCGGCAGCACCTACATGGCAGCGTCAGGTGTCACGCCGGATATCAGCAACGGCTACAGCTGCATGAAGGTCAGTGGTCACATGACTTCTCCAGGCCTCAGTGACTATGTTTTCATGCACAAAATATCTGTTTTTTTGTCTGAAAAAGACAATATTCCTGCTAAGCTGTTCACATGGCATATGAAAATGAATATTCATTTATGCAGCTGTGCACCCTCTGATTAACCTTACTGTTAATGACGTACTATACGTCCTACAGAGGAATTTTCCTCCTTTTCAGACTGCATGTTGTCATGTTGTAAGGGTGGAGCTGCTGGAGCCATTTTACATCAAAAGAGGATTTGAGTTTTTCAGCAGTGGCAGGGTAATTTAGTTTTTAGCTTTCCAGGCAAACACCTGAAAATTAATTAATATGACCAAATGTCCTGGAAATAATCGATGTTTCTTAATTTTTTATTGTATTTTAGCCCTTACTGAAATTCGTAAACCCGCACAACTCGACTGTTGGTAGGATAAGCTGCGCAGTGTGACACTTAAAAGTAGGGGTGGGCGATATATATCGTTTGCGATAATATCGTCATTGTTGTTTTGACGATGTGCAAATTTCCATTATCGAGTATTTAAATTACTTCGCCAAAAATATTGAAACGCACGCGGAAATTCCTCACATCCACTTAATTCATACTTTGCAGTCACGTGATTACCATGGTTACCTGGCGGGCAAGAAACATATAACGTTTTATTTACATATATCCGTCACCTTACACCACACAAAAAATGAAAGCCTACAAAAGTACGGATAGCTATCTTTTTTTCAAGAGTGGATGGGTTAACAACGCTGTCGTATGGGAGGTGAAGAACAGGAATATCTTCATAATCAAAGCTAACGTGAGTGTTACTAGTTAGCTAACTTAGCTAACGTTACCCGCTAACGTTTGCTAATGTTTGCATGTTTGTAGCTATACACAAAGTGACATCTGTTCCGTCGTGTGATGAAGTCTTCATCTGAATATGTACACCCTGCCTGCCGCCAATGACAGCTTGAAAGTAACGTTGGTTTAAAAAACCTTATGCCAACAGACGTATCATATAGCAACAGGATGTCAAACATTGAGCCACCGCCATCCACCCACAAGCATCAGACAACAGACAAGAGCAGCTGGAGCAGTGAAATGTCTTTAACCCTGTTAGCAATCTGTTAGGTTGTAACGTTAATGTAGTAGTAATAACTGTACCATAGTAACGTTATGTATGCAAAGTAACTGTAAGTAAGTAGACACAGTACAACAGTAAAGTGTGTACTGTAACATGTATTCTTCTTCTCTTCATATCATATCAAATCACGTACATTTATATATATATATACTTTTGTATAGTAAAACGGGCGACGTCCTGGCAAGAACACATGACGTGATCACATGACCTCTTGTTAGCATCCTCCTTGCAACAGTTTAGCAGCGCGTGGTGATGGTAGAGGGAAAATGCAAACACCTCCAGTCCCTGAAGCTACCGGTACTTCAGATGATTTAGTGCCGAGACGTGGGTCTACCTCTCTGGCATGGAAATGGTTTGGTTTCGAAAAGACTGATAAGGGTCTGTGTCCACCAAACACGTTTTTAGTGCTAGCAGCGCCTATTTTGAATACAAATCCTATGAGCTTCAGTGCTCAGAGCGCTAAGCGCCGTCAGCGGAGACGTTTTTTAGTGCAACGGTCAGATTGCTTCAAGTTGAAATCTGTTCAACCTTTAACACCGCTGGGCGCTCGGAAAACGAGTTTTTGAGTTCTCACTAGCCCTAACTCAGACAATTCCAATCACATTTTAAAGGATATCGACTGATTATCGTTATCGCCAATCCCAAAAAATAACGAGGTATTATTTTTTGCCCATATCGCCCACCCCTACTTAAAAGCCAGTGTACCAGATGTGAAGTGGAATGTTCTTCCAATCATCTTTTTGGTGTCAAGTTTTCTATTTAACGGAGCCATGAACAAAATTCTCATATCTATTAATTCAATTCAATTTAATTTTATTTGTATAGCACCAATTCATTACAGAAGTTATCACTTTTTTATCACTTTTCAAATAGACCCAACAGTTCCCACCATGAGCAAGGGAGGCAAGGAAAAACTGTCTTTTAAGAGGCAGAAACCTTGGACAGTAGTGATGGGTCGGTCGCAAACGATCCGGCTCTAAGAGCCGGCTCTTTGAAGGGAACGACGGGAGCCGGCTCCTGATTGGGAGCCAGATCCGGATTTTTTTCCCAGTTTGTTCCTGTTAAAGCTGCGTGATTGGTCAAGATGTGTGGCGGCATCTATGTATCTACACTGAGCAGGAGGGGGAGGGAGGGGTTACAGACACGTGAACAGGTGGGAGGGAGACGTGAGAGCGAGAGACCTTGGCGCTACATAGACAGAGACTACACACTGGAAAGGGTGAGGAAAATGAGTGACAGGAAACATAATAAAGTTTGGACACATTTTAATGTGATAGTTCAAAGGCAGAGTGTAGACTGTGCAAAGTTAAACATTTCATATCAAGCAGCTTTTTGTCTAATTAAGATGGGTCTTGTGTTTTATAATTTATTTTTGTAGCACTCTGTTCCATGTTGAGTATATTAATAAATCCATATAAATACTAAACATTTGATATAATGCATGTATTTATATAAGATATTCATTTTACACATAATTTGGTAATAAATTAATTTAAGCAAAAAAAAATATGAGGAGCCACTTGGGAGCCGAAAGAGCCGGCTCTTTTTAGTGAGCAGAGCCAAAGGAGCCGGTTCTCTAAAAAGAGAGATGGTGTCTGCCTCCCTAACCACAACTGGAAGCTGGTTCCACAGGAGAGGAGCTTGGTAACTGAAGGCTCTGGCTCCTGTTCTACTTTTAGAGACTATAGGAACCACAAGTAGCCCTGCATTCAGAGAACGTAGTGTTCTAGTGGGGTAATAGGGTACTATGAGCTCTTTAAGATATGAAGGGGCCTGACCATGAAGAGCTTTATAGGTGAGGAGGAGGATTTTAAATTCTATTCTACATTTTACAGGGAGCCAATGCAGAGAAGCTAGTACAGGAGAGATGTGATCTCTTTTTCTAGTTCCTGTCAGTACTCGTGCTGCAGCGTTCTGAATTAATTGGAGCGTTTTAATGGACTTATTGGGGCAACCTGATAATAAAGAGTTGCAGTAATCCAGCCTTGAAGTAACAAATGCATGGATTAGTTTTTCTGCATCTGTCTGTGATAGTATGTGTCTAATTTTTCTAATATTACGTAAATGAAAGAAGGCAGTCCTAGAGGTCTGCTTTATGTGGGAGTTAAAAGACAAATCCTGATCAAAGATAACTCCAAGATTCCTGACAGTGGTGCTAGAGGCCAAGGTAATGCCATTATCTATAAAATAAAATAAATTAAGCTTAATTTGAACTGTTATTTGTGGGCTGTGGGCAAAATCTTACTATTAAATGAAAACTGTAGTAAATTGTATTCAGTTTTTAAGAAGCCCCAAAAAAAGAAAAATATCTATATATATATATATATATATATATATATATATATATATATAGATATAAAGAAGAAAGAAATCTACTGAGGTGAGAGCAACCTAGCACGGCACAAAAGCAAGCTAATGCGGAGTCTCCCATAAACACGGACCATCTACCTGTAATAAATCTGAGACACATGAATCTGCATCATTAAAGAAGAGATAAATGTGTAAAAAGTAGGCTTATTGATAAATTATATGACAGTTTGTGAACAAATGCTGTCCTGTATTGTCAAGAAAACTCTTGAAAAAAATCTCCTGGAAAGGTCTTGGAAAATTATTATTTTTAAAAGAATGGGAACATTGACGTGGGCTTTTCTTTGTGCATGCACCTCTACTCCAGCCTTGCAAACTGTGTTTAGAACGCACGGAGCTGTAAACAGTCAAACCCCAAATTAGATTAGATTAGTTTCAACTTTATTGTCATTGCACAGTACAGTAAGTACAGGTACTAGGCAACAAAATGCAGTTAGCACCCAAACAGAAGTGCAAAGCAGTAAAGTGCAGAGTAATGTGCATATGTACAAAAATATGTAAAAAAGTAATAATAACATTATATATATATATATGAATATACTGGCAGGATATTTACATTATGAACAGTATTAACAGAATGAACTGAGTGAGGTGAATACACTAATATATATACGGCAATTAAGTTAAGTTAATAATTACAGTATGAGATTGACATTATATACAGACCGCTAGATATGATTACACTATAGGTAGTTATAAATACACTATGGGTAGATATGAAAAAACACAGTTCAGTGGGAGTTACGGGGAAAGGGGGTCTCCTCGACCCAGAGTTTAGCAGGCTGACAGCTGATGGGAAAAAGCTGTTCCTGAGCATACTAGTTCGGGAACGGAGAGACCTGCAATGCCTCCCAGAGGGGAGGAGGGCAAACAGTTTGTGACCTGGGTGAGAGGTGTCCCTAGCAATGCTGCACGCCTTACGCAGACATCGCTTGCTGTAGACAGCCTCAATGGTGGGGAGAGGTGAACCGGTGATTCGCTGGGCAGTTTTCACCACTCTCTGCAGAATGTTCCAGTCCGAGGCCGAGCAGATTCCATACCAGACTGTGATGCAGTTGGTAAGAATGCTCTTGATGGTGCAGCGGTAGAAGTTCACCAGAACCAGGGGAGGCTGTGGCTCAGAGGCAGAGTGGATCGTTCCTTAATCGGAACGATCCCCGGCACATGTCGAAGTATCCTTGAGCAAGATACTGATACTGAACCCCAAATTGCTCCCGATGCCCGATTGTGTGAATGTGTATGAATGAGTTAGTTTCTGTTCGATGGACTTTGCCATCATTGAGTGAAGGGGTGAGAGGGTGAATGTGGCACGTAGTGTAAAAGCGCTTTGAGTGGTCGGATGACTAGAAAGGCGCTATACAAGTACACTTACCATTACCAGAATCTGAGGAGACAGATGGGCCTTCTTGAGTCTTGAGAGACGCATATTCCGAATGCACTGTATATATGTCAAAATGTACTCCTAAAAGCCGAATAATATCGGCACATCCCTCATGTCTTAATCAGAAAATGCTCCATTCACAATAAGTACTAATTAGGTATATCAAAATGCTGTTTACATGTCCATTATCCAGTGCATATTCTTCTATTCATATTCAGAATTATAGTGGAACATTAGTGTGCATGTAAACGTAGCCACTATGTGTCTCTGACTGACTGAACTAACATGAATGTAATGAACCAATCAGAAAATGATTCTGCTCTGCTTTGCTGATTTGAAAAAGAGTGTGATGATCTATCTATATAATCTGGACATCGGCTTTCTTGGAGCTCTCAAGTGATCTCTTGAGTTTTGCTAAAATGCTGTTTGTTTTTGTGAGGCATGATGATGTTGGTGTTTGGTTGTTGTCTGACAGAAGGAGGAGCAGTCTGACAGAGAGCGCTGGCAGCACCTGGCAGACCTGGCAGACTTTGCTCTCGCCATGAAGGTCACACTCATGAACATCAACTACCAGTCATTCAACAACTTCATGCTACGCATCGGTACGTGCTACTCCTGCACCCATCTCTCTGCTGAGTTTAGAACAGAATTTAGATTTTTGGACTTTTAAATTATGGCTGGTTTTTGCAAGTTTTGATTTCACAGTTTACGAAACAGAAATAACAAACAGAAAATAATATTACTAGATTAAAAGTAAAATTAATTATACAACAAAATATCTAATACAATAATAGTAATAGCAATAATATTTAGAAATTAAATGGTCTTTTAAGTGTCTTTTGTAAAATGTATAGAAGAACAGCTTTTTGCCAGGTGGGAAAAGCTATTGCATGATTTAGTATCCTAAATCTTGGGGTATGAGACTACATATAACTGAGTTAAAAAAAAAATTAAATATTTAGCAGGATTACAATTTTAAAATGGCAGGTTTCAGGCCTTTATTTGCTGTTTGGCTCCAAACAACAAACACAAACAACAATGATATAAAATATATAGAAACTACAGTTTGCATTTTTCTTTGTTAAGTAATGATGTCATATATAATATTTTCAGAATATTGAGATTTCTTGTACTACTTGAACCTACCAGCAGTGGCCCCAAGCCAATTTGAGTTTGAGACTCCTGCCACAGACACTAACAATTCAGACAAGATAACATAATATTGCTGTTTGACATAAATTCACACTGTACCAGATACATGAAAAAGCTCTATCCTAAGGCATTTATTGTTTTTTGGCTCTGGTAAAGTGGGAAAAAGTAAAATTCCCTATGTTTACTTTACTATGTTTACTGTATGTCTGAACTATTCCTTTAACCAAGTCTATTTTATGTGATCTCCCTTTGATATCTAATGTAGTAACTAATGCAATATTGTTTCACTTCCATTCACTGAGCCTCCCTTGAAACTTGCTTAAACATTGAGTTTCTAAAGAGCTGATTTTCTTCATCTGGAAGAGTAGGAAAATATATTCAAAAATCTAAAATCCAACAGCATGTGTGATGCACAATAAATATGCTAAAGCATGCTAAATCAGTGATAGCTCATTCAAGCTGTCTGGCGGTCTGACTGAGTAGCTGGTTCCACTAGATTTTAGAATAGAGCTGTGGCCACTGGTGTAACTGCCTCCCCACATCCCCACTGTGATATTCAACTGTTAAAATGATGAAAACTATAAGAACAAGATGCAGGTAGTTTAATGTTATGGTTAGCTAGCATAAGGAATAAAGTTGAAGAAGCTCATTTAGAATCAGGATTTAGGTGAGTAAATGATGAGCCAGGTTCTTACAAGTATAAAGTTAACAGTCAATAATCTCTCATAACATAAAATTCCATGTCACATGTGTCCACACTGTCCTCCAGGTCTGAATAAGGGCGGAGTGCTAGCAGGAGTGATCGGTGCCAGAAAACCCCACTACGACATCTGGGGCAACACTGTGAATGTGGCCAGTCGCATGGAGTCCACGGGGGTCATGGGTAACATCCAGGTAGAGCACTGGGCTTTGCTGTTGGTCTCTGTTTACACAACTGTCACAGTGATTGTTGAGAGTGCCAATGGCCAAAAAAAATCCAATTTAGCATTTAAATGGCAAACAGTGGCCCTCTTCCTGTTTTCTTCTATTCTTGCATATTTGTCCCCCTGGATTATTTCAGAACTTCAAACAAAATGGGATAGAAGACAACTTGAGTAAATATGTTTGGGGGGCTTTGCCTTTATTGGATAGGAACCCAGTGTTCTCTTTAGTGATGATTTAGTACATTTCTTTTGCAAACACAAATCCCAGAAAACCTGCATATTTAGAGACTAGTTTTTCAGTCATGAAAACACCTGGAATTGGATGAAAATGACAAAATATACTGGAAATAATCTATGTTGTCCTGGAAATTTCAATTGCATTTCAGACCCTCACTCAGATTGCCTACAACCTAGGTGTGTATTTTATTTGAAAAAGGACTGTTGGTAGGATAAGCTGTGCGGTGTGACACTTCAAAGCAGGGTTACCAGGCCTGAAGTCTGTTTTTTCCCGAGCCGAGCATAATTCTCAGAGAAGCCCAGTAGAAATGCTCTAGATGCTCATGTCTACGTGCATAAAGCCAAGTAATCATCATAAAGTAGTTGACAAATACATGCACAGTGATGTTAACTGTACGTACAACAAACACTTTCTAGTTCCTTTAAAGGAGTGAGTGTCCTGTACTGTCAACTCCTGGAAAATGTTCTGGAAAGTTACTTCAAAATTTAAAAAAGAGTGGGAACCCTGATACATTTTTGCATATACAATTTAAACAAATGTGCCTAATTTTCTTCTGAGAAACAGTCTAAAATATGTGTGTGTGCGTGTGTGCGTGTGCGTGTGTGTGTGTGTGTGTGTGCGTGCGTGTGTGCGTGTGTGTGTGTGTGTGTGTACGTGTGTTGCCCCCAGGTGGTGGAGGACTGCTACAACATCCTGAAGGAGTACGGCTTCCGCTTTGTGAGGAGGGGGCCCATCTTTGTAAAGGGGAAAGGGGAACTGCTGACATACTTTCTGAAGGGAAGAGACAAACAAGGCTCATTTATCAACGGCTCCTCCGTCACTTTGCCACACCAGGTGGTGGACAGCTAAGGACCACACACACTAACACATGCACATGCTACACAGCAATCACATCCAGTGTGTGATAAATGCAGAGAGGGGCAGAAGAGTGAGTTTTTGGAATGAGAAGTCATTCAGTCGATACCTGGACACTTCATTCAAACCTGTGACAACACACCACTCATTACTGCAGACACACACTTAAAACAACACAAATAAAAGCAATGAGACCGTATAAAGGCAAGGATAGGCTGGATAGACTGGCAGCAGCAAGGTTGAACACAAGTGCAACCATCCCATCTAGTCGAGTGATGGCCACATTTTTTCATTTATGTGCAGGAATTGCACCATAATGAATCACTCGTTTATTGGTCAATGAGATAAAAGCTGCAGTAGGTCATTTTTATAAAAATATTTTTTTTCATATTTGCCGAAACTTTCACTATAACTGGAGAGTAGTACATGAGACGGATAATCTGTGAAAAAATCTGGTTGAAAAATTTTATTTTTATAAAAGTTACCTACTGTAGCTTTAACGTTTCACTAAATGTAATTAAAGTCCGAGATATCCTGCTAATTAACAAACAAACCCCCCTTTTACACAAGGTGTTGAAATTTTATCTGCATCCAGACACCTTATCCTGATAATGAAAAAAACATGTTAATGCAATGTTTAGATGTGTCGTAATCAGATGCCTGACCACAACGTGGGGGCATCTGTACACAACATAACTGATACAGATATTTGTTTTTAGCTAAAATAGAATGGAGGCTGTTGTTGAAAGGCTTAATGAGACAGGCCTCTAATTACTGATTTTATGTCTATTCTGAGCCGTAAAAGCACCAAAAGAGGCCTTATTCAACAGAATTGCTTTAAAAATGAAAGGGATACGGGTGTATAATAATTATAGCATACAGTTTATCTAGCGATAAAGTGGTATATATGTTGGTACTGCCCACTGGGATGAACTGGCAGTATTCTTTTAGACAAATAAAGGAATAACTTATTACGTTTGCCAAATTTACAAGAGTGTTTCACAAAGTTTATCAAGTTTCCACTAATTCAACAACTCACAAAACTTCAGATAACGAGAATTCATTACATAATACCAGGGGTAAATGCAAAGGCAAGATCAGATTGTTTATTATCCAAATACCTTGTCTGGATCCAAATCACATGAAAAGATCTACCTAAAATGACAAAAAAACATCTTTAGGAGAGAATCTTTTGACATGTACTAACAGGCAGCAGGCTTTATGACCTATACTGCAAAAAATGTAAATCAAAATTTAAAAATATGTTTTGAATTTAACTTTTCAGCATGAGTATGATTAATTAACTGATTTAATTGAAATACAATGATGGGCTTTATCGCTTTCCATAAACGGCTCTCACATAAAAACATTATTCTCACACACACACACACACACACACACACACACACACACACACACACACACACACACACACTTTAGCCTTTTTGCAAACACAGCAGTTTTGATGCCATCACCATCACTACGTGGCTTTTGGACACCCGGCCTAAATTCTGGATGTGGCTCCATCATTTACAAAATAATTCCATGTGTGGGAAACTGACTGACTCTGATGAGGAAGAGGATTTGGAAGTGGACCAATGAGAGGCCAAGAGTGTGACAGTACAGACCCATCTGCCACCTGCTGCCTCTCATATGTGGCCGTGGGTGTGCATAAGAATGTGTGCATTGCTCATAGTGTATTTTTCCACAGTCGAAGTATTCTTTCTCCCTGGTTCTGATATGGGTATTGGGTAAGTACCATGCTCTCCTCTCTGCTCCTGGAGCTCGTGCAGCACACTACACAGCTGGCTCCTGGACGTTTCGGTGCCTCAGAGCTGCATCCAACATGAAGGATAACAGACTGTTTTAGGAGAGGGACGTGTGACGGTGTCCAAAGGGTAGCACACATGGCAGAAATGTTTTTCACGCTGATTGTGGATGGATGGAAGTGCCTATCACAGCTGTGATCGCAATGTTTAATTTATTTGAAGGATTCCATGGCCCTCTGCAGGTCCAAGTCCTCTCATGATGCTGTGAAAGGATCATTCCAGTTTATTACAACTTGGGGTTTATTTTTGTATCTTTACTCAGAATGGGCAGGGCTTAAACCAGACGTGGGTGGTGTTAAAACCATAAGTAGGCAGGGCTAACTGGAAGTTAATTTAATCCTGAAATTGATATGGCTTGATCAGAAGTCTCTATATTTATTAGAAAACTAGGTAACGCTTCATTTTAAGGTACACATATGAGTCCCTCCAGAATTTTGTGGTCTTTTTTTGGGATTGTTGCGACCTAAAAGGATTGATTTCACAGCGGCTGTTTTCACGCATTTTTTGCAGTGAATTGCGAGGGGACATGAAAATTGTGAAAATAGTTGCAATTTCACTTGTATAATTCATTTAAAATCAAAGGCAACTTGTTCCAGTAAGAACAGTATTGCTATTGGTCAAATTTAGGGAAACGTTCTGGAGCGACTGACATATTCACCATTAACTAGTGCTTATTAGCATGTATATCGATAGCATTTGGACTCTTTATTAGTCTTTATAAGGCACTTATTAATCCCTTATTCTGCATGACAATATAATGGTTTGCTCAGTATGGGCCTCATGAGGTTGTGGTACGAGAAGAATACTTCTCCCTTAAAGCTGCAGTAGGTAACTTTTATTAAAAAAATGACTTTTTGTCATTGCAGAAATTTCCACTGGGTTCTGATAGCAGTACATAAAACATATAATCTGTAAAAAAAAAAAAAAAAAATGTTTCTCACCAAAACAACTAACCAGAGCAGAGAAAGCTTTAGAGACGCTTTTTGTTGGAAGTTTGAAGATAGTTGATTTTATTGATTGAGTGTCATTCCCATGGTACCAAAGCGTCTGTATTTGACACCCTGGGAATGACACTCAACAATCACCCATTTTTCTCGGCTCTGATTGGTTGTTTTCATTCAGGCCCTGTGGATTCTTGCAAATGCCTTCAGGAGCACTAAGAGGAGCCAGAGGAACCGTTTTTTTCACAGGTAATCTGTCTCATGTAGTGCTGTCAGGAATATAGTGAAAGTTTCAGCATATATGACAAAAAGTTACTTACTTAAAAATTACCTACTGCAGCTTTAAAAACCTTTAATAAGCATGTTATATTCTTATGTAACAAAACACAGAAGTGTTAATAGTTTCAAAATAACTCTAAATGAAATCTTTCTAACTCAGAATATGCTCCACATTCTAAAGTGAACTCTTGCTCATAAGTTAGCAACACTTGTCAACACAAATTTAATATTTCAAAGTCTTGTGACTTACATATACAAAGCATATTAATTATGAGCAAAAGTTCACAGTTAGATTTCATGTAGAGTTATTTGGACACTATTATTTCCTAGTAGTTACGTAAGAATAGACCCAATTGTTATTAAGGGAGAATGAGTATTCTGGTATAGTATTGTGGTACTACCACCTTATAAGGCGCATACTGAGCAAAGCATATTAATTATTATTATTATAATTCATGTAGAATTCCTTACTTACTATCAATAAGCACTAATTAGGGGATTTTTGAGGGAAAACTAGGAAAAATCAATGACCTAATAGTTGTAGAATATGCTCATTCATTAATAAGTGCTTTATACTGACTGATAAAGAGCCAATATGCTAGTAACATGCATACTAATCAGCAATGAATTTATTTACACACAAGTTTTTTAAATAAAAGTTTATATATTTATGAGTACAGATATTTTACTCTGATGATACATACTCATAAAAGGAACATTATCTGTACTGGATACTCAAGTACTCGCTCAGTCCTAGTCTGTATCCAACCTGTTAGAATGTCTGACTGTTGTGTTTCTTGACCTATTTTAGGCGAGTAAGATGTTAGAAAAGCCAAAAAGAACGCACGTTGTAATAAACTGTCATTTTCCTTTAACTGCATGGAGGTCATGAAAAATTAAACAATCTGAACAAAATTTAGAAAGCAGTACATTACAGTCCATGATGTTAACTGACGGAGCAACAAAGCTACTATTTAAATATATTGACATTGAACTTATTGCAGCCTTTCTATGTTGTTTGCACAAGATTTGGATCAACCCCATTTCCACCTGGTGTTAACCTGTCTGTATCTGGATTATGATATCTGATTGATTGCCTTTGCTCTCACAGCTGGAATTAAGAAATGTTCTCATTAAGTCAGCTCTGCCCACACTGTGGTTGGATCTCAACACACAATTTAATTAAGTGAGCCAGCCAACTTTCTGTAATAACTTTTGTCTTTGCTTAACACTGGCAAAAACAATGGTTTCCACCTTTCTTCAAAACTCCACAAGTGTCTTACATTTTTAAATAGCTTCTTGCAGTGGAGAATTATACTTCCTGTAGTGTTCCCTGATCAAGATAAAGTATCTAGATACAGATCTCATGTTAAAGAGGCATATAATGCTCATTTTCAGGTTTGTATTTGAGGGTTCTACTATAGTAGTTTTACATGATTCAGTGATTAAAATAGGTGTTTTTTTCTCTTTGGTGTGGACTTTGGGTTTTGTCACTTTTCAGACATTTTACATGCACAAAAAATCTATACACACTATAACACACTAAAGCACAGGAAAAAAAAAAAAGCATAATATGGCCTCTTTAATACCAGGTGGAAATTGGGTCCTGCCATTTTCTAATGAATTCTGGCCGGAAGTTGGCTATCTTTTATTCTCTACTTGCTTAGTCACGTAAAGGGCTGCATTTTCCAGAATGGACATAGACTTCTGCATATGCCAATGTGTTTAAAGCTGCTGTCTGTAACTTTATATAAATATTTTACTTATATTTGCTGAAACTTTCATTATATCCTGACATATTATGTACTAGTACATAAGACAGATAATCTGTGAAAAAAACAGGTTCATCTGGCTCCTCCTAATGGTATTTGCAAGAATCCAATGGGCCTGAACAAAAAACAGCCAATCAGAGTCAAGAAAAATTGGTGATTAAGTATCATTCCCAGGTTGTCAAATACAGACACTTTGGAACCCTGGGAATGAGACTTAACAATCAGCTATCTTAAAGCTTCCAACAATCATCAAACATCATTAGTCACTACTATTAGTGTAGTTGTTGTTGAGCACTCTGTCTCTGTCCTTCTGTCGTTACCTCTGCTCTCTCTCTCTCTCTCTCTCTCTCTCACCCCAACTGGTCGAGACAGACGACCACCCACCTAGAGCCGAAGGGTCTGTCCTAGGTTTCTGCCTCTTAACAGGCAGTTTTTCCTTGCCCCCTTTGCCAAGTGCTTGCTCATGGTGGTACTGTTGGGTCTCTGTAAATAATGTTATAAAGAGTTCGGTCTAGACCTGCTCTATTTGAAAAGTGTCCTGAGATAACTTCTGTTATGAATAGGCGCTATACAAACAACACTGAATTGAATTGAATTGAATTGAATTGAATTGAATTGAACGAAAAGTGTCTATATATCTTTCTCTGCTCTGATTAGTTGTTTTGGTTTAGGCCTGGGCCATTCTTGCAAATACCATTAGGAGCACTAGGAGGAGCCAGGGAACCTGTTTTTTTCACAGATTATCTGTCTCGTACTACGGTCAGGATATAGTGAAAGTTTCAGCAAATATGGAAAAAAAAAATGTTTTAATAAAAATTACCTAGTGCATTCTTTAAGTGCATGTGCAATTGGGGGATATGGTCTATGTAGTCAAAAGAAAATTCTAATCCAACAGTACTCACAGCTTGGCCCCTGTAAAGCCTATGTCAACTAGAAAAATGCAAAGATCACTTGAAGGTAGGAAAAAGTTGGCTTAATTATGACATTACTGATCAATTGCAGGTGTCGGGAGACAGTCAGGCCATTTACTGTGTTTCTTTTTTGTCACAAAGAGTAACTTTGCTTGTGACATCACACCACATTTGATTGCATCTGGGGAACCTCTGACATTAGACCCCTACATTATTATTTCATATGTTCGAGGCTTTGACGTGACAGCTGTGACATGCAGAATAAGCACACCCACCTGACAGGAAACAGCTGTACTGTATGTGTGTTTCAGGGGTAGCCTCTGCTGATTGTAAAGCCTGTTAGTGTCTCTGTAGAATGGGATGAAAGTGCAATAGTTTCTTCTACAAATCTGATGTTCTCCTCTCTTAAGGAAAGGTTCAATCATTCCTTCCCCTTTAATTCATATTTTTATAATGTAATGTACACGTTTTGTTCTATTTAACGAAAGGACTGAGTGTCCTCGTTGTACATAGAGTTTAGACAGTGTTTATTGCTCAGATTTATTTATTGGAAATGACAGAGGTATTGTTTTGTTTTTCTTACACAGATGTGAAAGTGCCAATGATAAAGGAATGGTTTCAGATGTAAAAGCCAAAACATGGACCACGGCTGTTTCCTAAATTTGTATTGTAAAAGAATCTCAGGCTTGGGAACAAAATAGCACTTTGAATTATGTGTCATGATTCCAGGTTTTGGTCGCAACAGAGTTTTTCTTTTCTTTTTTGCAACACAAGAACACTGAAATGCCATCTGGAGAGCCCACGCCAGCAGGGCCAGCTGATGGCCTCAAAATGATTCAACCCTGTGGTTCTAGTCGTTGTTAGCGTTCCGCTTTTGTCTGAAGTTGATTCAGAAATTGAATTCCTCTTCTCAGTTTTTGTGGATTAAATTAGACATACTGTAGGTCTACTTAGAGCTGATCCCAATCTTGAAGAATTTCTCAGTCAGTGTACCCTCTTTCATTTCAGTTGTTTGTCATCATAACGTGAGTTGATTAAAAAAATCTAATAAAGACAAGCCTCAGTGTCATGATTACTGACTACGTGCTTGAATTGTCATTCATTTGCACATGCTATTAATCTGAATACACTTAGCTTGGTGCTTTAAAGGGAAATGGGGCCCTTCAGACACTGAATTTCCCCTTGGGGATGAATAAATCTAATCCATCTTCCATCTATCATATATTGTGTGTCAGAAAAACAAGCTTTTATTCAAATATTCCATACATTGCAAGACACCAAAGGTGAATAGAATAAAAAATGTATATATTGTATGTGTATAATACTTGTAGATATCACCATGCAACTTCCCCAGTTGATTACTGTATTACAAGTTTTCTGAAACTTCATGTGAAAATGTATGTCAAAAATTAGCTGCTGTGCCCCCATTAAATAGTGTTGACAGATTTTCTATGTTGGACTATCTGTTGTGTGGTAATTTAACATTCATTTACAGTTACAATTGTAAGCGCAAAGTTTTTAGATGGTTAGACAGGGATCCTCTTCAACAAAGGGATGACAGACATATAGGGCCCCAGGACAGCTGTCTGCATTGGCTGGTCATTAGATTTGATTTATTTTTTCAGAATGGGGCTTTAAAAAAAAAAAGATTGTTAATCTGATCTGAAATAAATCTTATTGCACAGGACAAATGTAGACAGCTTAAGTGTAATTTAAAGTAAATATGGACTATGAATAAGACACATTCCCCTGTTACATCAGTGGAGCTGAGGTGGAGCAGGTGAACAGTTTTAGGGTCCTGGGAATCAACACGATAAAGAACCAGTCATGGTCATCTCACATTCCACCCTGGTTAAGAAAGCACAGAAACAACTATATTTATTGAGGAAGCTTAGGAAAGCAAAACCCCCTTGCCAATAAGATCTCTCAATTCATTGGTTCATTTAGCCAACAGTTTTGTGCCTCCTGATTGTGTTTACCTGCTTGATCACTTTTGCCCCTACAAAGGTTTTTAATTTAGTCTTTTCACTACAAAATTGTAGCATAACCCACAAACAAACACAAGAGGTGAGGTGAATAACAAAGACTTTACATAAATTGATAAACATATAATTTTGTTATATTTTAACTTAACTAAATTCTTCTTCTTCTTCTTCTTCTTCTTCTTCTTTGGACATTAAAGGTGACTGTAGGTCAAGCCTGAAAACAGACAGACAGCGCCCCCTGCCGGTGACGCAGCGCGCGCAAAAATACGTAAAGGAATTTCCGCTGACGTCACTGCGTATGTCCATAACAGGGCTGCAGCTGTCTGAGAGCAACAATAACAAGCTCTACCCAACAACTTTAACGCGGCTTTAACGGTACCTGACAGCGGCGAATACCACCGAATTTCACAAAATGCGGCTGTCGGAATAACACTCGTTCGTCGTCCGAGTTGAAAACCGGGTTGTCGTCGCTGCCACCGCCGCGAAACACACACGGAGAGTCGGCCGCAGGGGGAACAGGGCAGTTCGGGGCTGCATCTGGGTCAGTGGGCCTGTCGGCGGCTGTAACGGTGGTTGTTATCCCCGCAGTGTCCCGTTGCGTCTGTCATTCGTTTCTGTATACACCGTGTCTGCTGTATAAACCGGAATAACATGCAGGCTAACGGGGCAGGACAGGACCGAGATTCCGAACTGTCCTGCCGAAACGGTGCGCCGAACGGTGAGTCGTCCTCCGCCGGGTTAGCTCACTCCAACGGACTATCAGTCACCAACAATGGAACCACTGTCAGCAACAACAACGGAGTGTCAGCCCAGCCCGCGGCCAACAACAGCAACAGCACGGCGGAGGCTAACTCGGCCGTCAAGAAGAAGAAGCGTCTGTCTCAGTCCGAGGAGGACATCATCAGGCTGATAGGACAACATCTACACGACCTGGGTCTCAAGTAAGTGAGCCGAGTCAGGCGAGCCTGGAAGTAATGAATGACCTCAGTCAATTCCTTGATGACCTATCGACAGTTCTCTATTGTAGAAATGTTGATAACATCACTTGGACAATCAGGCAGTTAAATCCTGTTTTATATCCCATCTTACATTATTAACATAACGGAATAAATGTTACAAGTCTGTAGGCCTCGCAGGTGAATTTGGCCTACATATATCCCACCTAGAAGATAAGTTTTCATGGTTCTGTTTACGTAGATGGCACGGATGACAGTCCCGTACCGTAACAGTATGTTAACAGTAATCAAAATATATGTTCACTACAATTAAAATTTGCTCCAAACATTAAAGAATACGTTCTCTACTTTGGACAAAAAAATTCGGGTCAAAACTGCATGACCTTTGAATGGAGTTTGGCATGGGTTTTCTCCACAGATCAGAGGAATACTGTTCCTTTGTCTTTGATTAGTTTTGTAATTGGCAGACTGTGGGAAAGGATCACAGATACATTAAAGCTGCACTAGGTAATTTTTTTAAAATAAACTTTCTGTTATGTTTGCTGAAGATTTCACTATATCCTGACAGTAGTACACAGATAATCTGTGGAAAAAATCAGGTTTCTCTGGCTCCTCCTAGTGCTTCTAATGGCATTTGCAAGAATCTCCCAGGCCTTAACAAAAAAGCCAATCAGAGCTTTCAGCTTGGATGATGTTATATGCTAGTGAACATTTTCCTTTCCACTGGCTCTAAATAGGGCCTCACAGTTACATTCTACACACTACATACTTTTAAATAATGTGTTACTTTATGTTGGGATAGAAGCTGGGGTGGCAACTGCCATGCCATCTAAGTCTGACCCTGCAATAGGTCATTGTATACAGTGAGGTCAAGTTTCAGAAAATTGCATGTAAATTACATTTTACATTTAAATTGCTGCAATGGGGATGAACATCATCACACACAAACACAATTGGGCTCATTCAATTCAATTCAATTCAATTTTATTTGTATAGCGCCAATTCATAACAGAAGTTATCTCAGGACACTTTTCAAATAGAGCAGGTCTAGACCGAACTCTTTATAACATTAATTACAGAGACCCAACAGTACCACCATGAGCAAGACCTTGGAGACAAGGGCAAGGAAAAACTGCCTGTTAAAAGGCAGAAACCTAGGACAGATCCTTCGGCTCTAGGTGGGTGGTCATCTGTCTCGGGAGAGAGAGAGAGAGAGAGAGAGAGAGAGAGAGAGAGAGAGAGAGAGAGAGAGAGAGGAGGTAAGGACAGAGACAAAGGTGCACAGCAACAACAGTAGCAACAACTACACTAATAGTAGTGACTGATGATGAACATGAAGATGATGATGATGATGATGACGACAACAACGATTGGGGACAATGAGCAGTGATTATAGTAATAATAGTAACTGTAGTAATAATGATATTAATAATAATAATAATAATAATAACAATATTATCAGTGATATTAGCAATGGCAATCTAGCAGGACCATGGCAGGAGGCTCCACCAGGATCCATGAGAACCTGCGAGACGAGAAAGCACAAGAACTCCGGGGAAGAAGTGAAGTTAGTAACATGCATTAATGGAACATGAATGAGTGCAGAAAGAGAGAGGAAGAGAGGAGCTCAGTGCATCATGGGAAATCCCCCGATAGTCTAGGCCTATAGCAGCATAACTAAGGGATGGTTCAGGACTCACCTGATCCAGCCCTAACTATAAGCTTTATCAAAGAGGAATGTCTTAAGCCTACTCTTGAAAGTGGTGAGGGTGTCTGCCTCCCGAACCACAACTGGAAGCTGGTTCCACAGGAGAGGAGCTTGGTAACTGAAGGCTCTGGCTCCTGTTCTACTTTTAGAGACTATAGGAACCACAAGTAGCCCAGCATTCAGAGAACGTAGTGTTCTAGTGGGGTAATAGGGTACTATGAGCTCTTTAAGATATGAAGGGGCCTGACCATGAAGAGCTTTGTAGGTGAGGAGGAGGATTTTAAATTCTATTCAGAATATTTAATAATTATTGTTATTATTATTATTATTATTATTATTAATAATATTATTATTACTACAGTTACTATTATTACTATTGTCACTGCTCATTGTCCCCCATCGTTGTTGTTGTCGTTGTCGTCATCGTCTTCTTCATGTTCATCATCATCAGTCACTACTATTAGTGTAGTTGTTGTGGGCTCAGAGGCAGAGCGGGTCGTTCCTTAATCAGAAGGTTGTGGGTTCGAACCTGGTGCCACATGTCGAAGTATCCTTGAGCAAGATACTGAACCTGATGCCGTGCATCGGTGTGTGAATGCGTATGAATGTTAGTTTCTGTTTGATGGACTTTGCCATCACTGTGTGAATGTGTGTGAAAGAGTGAATGTGGCACGTAGTGTAAAAGCGCTTTGAGTGGTCGGAAGACTAGAAAGGCGCTTTACAAGTACAGGTCCATTTACCATTTGCTAATGTTGTTGCTGTGCACATCTGTCTGCCTGTCTGTCTCTCTCACCCCAACTGGTCGAGGCAGACGACCACCCACCGAGAGCCGAGGTTTCTTAACAGGCAGTTTTTCCTTGCCCTTGTCGCCAAGTGCTTGCTCGTGGTGGTACTGTTGGGTCTCTGTAAATAATGTTATAAAGAGTTCGGTCTAGACCTCTGAGATAACTTCTGTTATGAATTGGCGCTATACAAATAAAATTGAATTTAATTGAATTTTCATTTAGATATCCTGAGGCCAGAGGTCAATAGCCATGACAGATTTTTCATTGCCACATTTTAGTATTAAATTTAGAGCATTATTTAGACCCCTTCCTGACAAGCTATCATAACATTGTTGGTAGCAATGGATGGATCATGTCCTCTAGTTTAGTATGATACCAGTACCTTCACTCCAATAGTATGTTGAGCTTGGCCATAATGATCTTGATATTAGGACTGCAGCAAACAATTATTTTCATTTTGCAATTAATCTGTCCATCATTCATTAATATAGATTAATTGATTGGTTGTCTGGTACGGAGCCCCTAAAGGGACATGGGGGAAAAAAAAATGAAACGTTTCTCGTGCTAAGTATACTTATTGGCTAAAAATGTGTGTCAAAATAAGTAATTTCATTGGTTACATTTTCCTGTCATGACCTATCAACACATGGCTAATTTTAATATTCAAATGAGCCAAGTGTTGATTGCCACAACAAGCCTCATGCAGTTGCTACCACCAGGCTGTCAATCAAGCTCTCAGCGACAGAGAACGTAACGTTAGCACAGGAAGCACAACTGCCTGTGCTTAACCTAAGGTTTCTCGTGAGCACGAGATACATATCTGGTGAGCACGAGAAAGTATCTCATGAGCACGAGGAACGTTTCATTTTTTATTTTTTTTCCCATGTCCCTTTAGGGGCTCCGTAGTCTGGTGCAGAAAATGTCAGAAAATGTTGATCAGTGTCTCTAAAAGCTTAAGGTGAAGTCCTCAAAGGTCTTGTTTTGTCCTTAACCGAAAGAAATTCAGTTTATTGCCATAGAGGACTAAATCAAAGCAGAACATATTCACATTTGTAAAACTGAAATCAGAGATTTTGGAAATGTTTGCTTAAAAAATGACTCAAAATGATAAAAGCATTATCAAATTAGTTGGCTATTAATTTAAAAGTTGACAACTAATAGGTTAATTGACTAATGGTTGTATGATGTTGATTGATTGTTATCCTGCTGTGTACATTGTTTTCAGTCAGACAGTGGACCTCCTGATGCAGGAGTCTGGCTGCAGACTGGAGCACCCCTCTGCCACCAAGTTCCGCAATCATGTCATGGAAGGAGAGTGGGACAAGGTGGAACCATCTGAAATACACATCCATGATTAATTTGATAAAAAAAAGATTGTATCTGTGCTTTACACCTCTATTATTGAACATTTGTCTAGTTATCAGTTTATCAATGTTGAAACCCACCCCTGTTCATTCTTTACCCCTTTCCTCATTCAGGCTGAGAGTGATCTGAATGAGCTGAAGGCACTGATGCATTCTCCGAGCGCTATAGTGGTAAGTGGCAAGCCCGGCAGTCTTTAGACACTGAAGGGGCTGCTGTGGCTCGAAGGCTAAGCGGGTCGTCCACTTATCAGAAGGTTGTTGGTTCGATCTCCGGCTCCTCCCCTGTGTATGAATGTGTATGAATGAGTTAGTTTCTGTTTGATAAGACAAGCTTCAATACAATACAATACTTTTCAATACAAAAATTAAATACAAGCCGTTTTTCTTCTTTGTGGTCAAAAAGGAAGGAGCGAAATTTAAAACTAGTTTCAATTTGCATTTTTTATTTTGTATAAAATAAAATCACTAGAAAGGAGAAACAAAAAATGTGGTCACTTACTAGACAAGAGCGCCAAAAGTAGGTTTGCCAGTATTGCTTTATCCCAGGCTAACATTCAATTCAATTTTATTTGTATAGCGCCAATTCATAACAGAATTGAGAGAGAGAGAGAGAGAGAGAGAGAGAGAGAGAGAGAGAGAGAGAGAGAGAGAGAGAGAGAGAGAGAGAGAGAGAGAGAGAGAGAGAGAGAGAGAGATGCACAGCAACAACAGTAGCAAAAACTACCCTAGTAGTAGTGATGACTGATGATGATGACCATGAAGAAGATGATGACGACAACAACGATGGGGGACAATGAGCAGCGACTACACAATAGCGACCGTAGCAATAATAACAGCAATAATAATAATAACAATAATATCAGTGATATTAGCAATGGAAGTCAAGCAGGACCATGGCAGGAGGCTCCACCAGGATCCATGAGAACCTGTGAGACGAGAAAGCACAAGAACTCCGGGGAAGAAGTGAAGTGAAGCTAACGTCTTTAGAACCCTCTGATATTACTTAAGACATTCATCAAATGTACAGAACACAGCTGATAGATGTTTGAATAGACAAATAAGCACATTGTTCAGTCATATGTGTTGGTACTGGAGTATTGGAATTCAGCTTATAATAATAATAATAATAAAAAGTGTATGTCTTGATCTCATGTGGGAAAATGTTGCATTACATACAGCCTGTGATGACCTTGGTGACCTCTCCTTGTCTTCCTGTACAGAGGATGAAGTTCCTGCTGCTGCAGCAGAAGTATCTGGAGTATTTGGAAGATGGGAAGGTCCTGGAGGCCCTTCAGGTCCTCAGAGCCGAGCTCACTCCTCTCAAGTACAACACAGAGCGTATCCACATCCTGAGCGGGTCAGTTCATCAGCACACAGAGAAGCTCAGACAAATCTGCAATGTTGATGATGGATTTTCATGTTGTTTTTAAGTTTAGCTTTTACCATGTTGTGTTAGAATGTGTCAGATTCCTCAGAGATATGGTAGAAATGATTGGCAGCCTCTGTGTGAATAGGAGTGATTATAAAGTATGAGTTGATTGACATTTTCAACCATTACTGAAGCTGTCAATAAGCTTTGTGACATAATTTCATATCCTTCAGAATTCCACGCCTACATGCCATCTGCAGGGTCTTAAAAACTCTTAAACCCAATAATCTGAATTTTAAGCCTAAAATTGTCTTAAATAGGATTTTGACAGGTCTTAAAAAATGGTTGGATTAACAAAGCTAATGTAAATTGTATAAAGTTCATTTTTCAGTCTCGCTTTTAAATGTGTTTTGGGGAGAAAATAGAATAGATCATGCAGTAACAACTAGGGATTCACCAATTGAGAAGTTGTGGGCTGCTACCGATGCATTATACTGAGGCCCTTTGTGCCAGGGGAATAAAGATATCTACAAAACTAAGCATCTCTGCCTTGTTGCAACTCTAGTTTATTCTCTATTTTTCTATGACTGTCTATTTCTCTGCTCATCCAAGATGTGAGACACCGAACTGAAAAGGTGCTCACTGTCATTGCTACTGCATAGAGCAAATTGGTGTTTGTGTGCAGTTTGTGCCAGTGCTGGAAAACGGAGGTGATTATTTCTCCGCTATCCAAGTTGGAAATAACCAATAACATATTGGTTATTATAACATAACAATTAGCCGGTACAAAATTGATGTGACACAACAGATAAACATTGCCTCTTACATCAGTGAGTGCCATCTTATTAGCTGATGTGCTGATGTCAGTCAACAAGGCAAATATCAGCCGATACTGATGTTCAGCTGATACATTGGTCGTCCATAGTTACAACTACAAAACCAACCACTGTCATGGAACCAATAATGATTTTCCTTCACATCCTTTCTACATTTTTGCCAGTATGACAGTACAGTCGTAAATTTGGTTAAACTGAAAAGTTGTCTTCTGATGTTTCTCGGCCAGTCCATGTCCTGCTTTCCTTTCAGCTCCCCAGGAGCTCTGCTACGGAAAGGAGGGTGCATCCACAGAAGGCTCCTGCAGAAAAAACAGTTGTCTGCGCAAATATTAACTCAACGTTTGTTTTGTAGCGCAGGGTGACATCAGGGGAAAACATCCTGATTGAGGTTCAGTATCTTGTGTGCAGAGTTTGGCCATGTCCCAGTCAGTCACCACAAACAATGAAAACATAAGACCAACATGAACACCCACAGCAAATGTAGAATCCATACAATATAACAAACATGATATTATATTTATATGACATTATGTGTGTGTCTTTGGTATATTTTCTTCACTCTAATGCTGTGAAGATTATACAACTGAAAACAACTTTTAAAAGCTGTCCTAATATATACATGTGTTGGCAAGAACACTGATGTCTTTATACTTCATGGGCAGCAATAGCAACAATAAGCAGGCAAACAGAGTGATACTGGTGTTGGAAAATGTAATTTACCTGCTTGTTTTTATGTAGTGATCGTGAAAAAATAACTTTATAAGGCCCAGTTTAGTGTTTGCAAGCTCACAGTATAAGTGTCTGATAGTAGCTAAGAAAATGTTGTCGTGTGTTACGAAGGTACCTGATGTGCAGTCATGCAGAGGACCTCCGAGCCAAAGCAGAGTGGGAAGGGAAAGGCACAGCATCCCGAACAAAGCTGCTGGACAAGCTACAGAGTGAGTACAGTGTGACTCACAGCCCGCAGTTATCCTACTGCACATAGTTAACATTCCATATAGTCCCATATACAGCAGCAGTGGGTCATTCTTATAGCTAGGATGTGTTTGAACGTGTTGCCCACTCTGAAATCCTGCAGCTGCTTCCTACATGACATTAACATTTGTGTCATGTCTCAATTTTGTGTGGGTATGATTCATTTGGATTATGATATTGGGAAACTCTCTTATACAAACTGAAATCAGAGTTTTGCTCATTTTCACAAGAGTTACATCTTACATAATGATCTTGGTATTAGGGCAGCAACTAACAATTATTTCAACTAATCATTATTGATTAATCTGTCGATCATATTCTCCATTACTCGATTAGTTGTTTGGTCCATAAAATGTTGAAAAATGTTGATCAGTGTTTCCCAAAGCCCCGAGGTAATAAACGTACTTGTAAGTGTAAAAAAAAACAGCCACACAATTATCTCCAAGCGACCCACATGTTCATCCGAATTAAGCAAAATTACAGCTTTAACGACCAGTGTGTAGGATTTAGTGGTATCTAGTTACAGATTGCAACCATCTGACTACAGCTCAACCTTCTAAGTGGGCAGGAGAAAGAACATTCGCCAAGAAACTTGCAAAAACCCCCACCAAAAAGGCCTTATCTTGAGCCAGTGTTTAGTTGGTCCGCTCTGGGCTACTGTAGAAACATGTTGGTTCAAAATGGTTGACCCTCTCCCTCCTGTTTTTTCTATAGATAAAAACGGTTCATTCTAAGGTAACAAAAACATAACGATTCTTATTTCCAGATTCTTATACATTAATGAAAACATACATATTATACATATAAACAAACATTTATATTAATATAAATTTCTGACGATAGATCCTCCTACATTATTATTAGGGCCCGAGCACAAATCGTGCAAAGGCCCTATTGAAATTGAAGGAATTCTTTTTCTTTTTCTTTTTCCTCCTAAACAAACGCATATTTGAAGGCTTTCCCATGCTCGAAAACTCATGAAACTCGGCAAACATGTCCGTCGTGGCGAACAATTTTATATTCTATGCATCGCTTTCGGGTTGGCCACTAGGTGGCACTAATATCATAAAAAGTGCGTTTAGGCTAATAACTTCTCCATAGTTTGTCACACATTCAAAAACCTTAAATCTGCGCGTTCGGGGAATGGAGCTGAATCTTCCCATATAGGCCACGCCCACTTCCGCCTAGTTTTTCGCCCATTTTTTTCCGTTAGAGCGCGAAATGTCCAAAAAATACTTTTTCGTGTTCCTCCTTTACGCTTTGTCCAATTCGCACAACATTTTTCACGTAGTATCTGGGGACTGTCCTGGCAAAAAAGAGTTTCAAGAAATTAGATTTTTTTCAAAATAAACAAATAAAGCTATAAAATTAGGGCTTCCTGTAGATTTTTTGTCAAAAAAGGAAGTGGACCATTTCTCCACATTGGTATGTCCGATTGACACCAACTTTGGGTCCATCGTTCCTTATGTCTTCCTTAGACATCATGCACAATTACAGGCCATCCCCACAAGGTGGCGCTCTTTAAAATAAAGAAGTTTATATCTATGCATCAGCATGTGTGATTGAAATGAAACTTGCTAAGATGCTTGCCCATGGCTCCCTGAGGCTCGCTAATAAATGTGTCAACAATCTGCCACTAGGTGGCGCTCTGGTGGCATGGTAAATCACTGTGCGGAGACCGTAATAGTTATGAATATGAAATTCACAGGGCACATGTAGACTGGTGCCTGTAGCTGAAATACCAAAAATTGTGTTTGTAGCGCCCCTACAGAATTTTAAAAAAGCAGCCCTGGTGCCACGTTTCACCGATATGTATGAAACTCGGTAGACATGTGTAACATGCCGAGACGTACAAAAAAGCCTCTTGGACCCATACCCCACAGGAATTCGGTCATTTTGATTTTTGTTTTCACTTTCGGCGAACTTTCACCTTGTATTTGAACAAACTCCTCCTAGGGAATTCATCAGATCTGCTTCAAAATTGGTCAGGACAGTCAACGTATGTTGCTGATTAAAAGTTGTGCTATTTGTGCATGTACATTGAAGGGCGTGTCCGTGGTGTTCCGTCAAAGTTGGCCGCGTTGAATTTCGCAGCCATTTTCGGCGATTTGTTGCATTGTATTGGAACGAACTCCTCCTAGGGATTTCATCGAATCTACTTCAAAATTGGTCTGTATAGATAGAAAATGTTGCTGATTAAAAGTTGTGCTATTTGTGCATGTACATTAAAGGGCGTGTCCATGGCGTGGCATCAAAGTCAGCCATTTTGACTTTTTCTTTCATTTTCTGTGATTTTTCGTGTTGTATTTGAACGAACTCCTCCTAGGGAATTCATCAGATCTACTTCAAAATTGGTCTGTACAGATAGAAAATGTTGCTGATTAAAAGTTGTGCTATTTGTGCATGTACATTAAAGGGCGTGTCCATGGCGTGGCATCAAAGTCAGCCATTTTGACTTTTTCTGTCATTTTCTGTGATTTTTCGTGTTGTATTTGAACGAACTCCTCCTAGGGAATTCATCAGATCTACTTCAAAATTGGTCAGTACAGATAGAAAATGTTGCTGATTAAAAGTTGTGCTAATTGTGCATGTACATTAAAGGGCGTGACCGTGACATGGCATCAAAGTCAGCTATTTTGATTTTTTTTTTTCATTTTCTGTGATTTTTCGTGTTGTATTTGAACAAACTCCTCCTAGGGAATTCATCGGATCTGCTTCAAAATTGGTCAATACAGTCAAAGTATGTTGCTGATTAAAAGTTGTGCTATTTGTACACGTACGTTGAAGGGCGTGTCCGTGACATGCCGTCAAAGTTGGCCAGGTTGAATCAAATGTCAAACATTGATAAAATTTCTGCCATTTCGCAGTGATTTTCAACGTTTTTTTGCGTTGTACTTGAAAGAAGTCCTCCTAGAGAATTTATCTGATCTGCTTCAAAATTGGTCAGTACAGTTAAAAAATGTTGCTGATTAAAAGTTGCGCTGTTTGTGACTGTACGCCGAACTGCCTGCCCGTGACGACGCGTCGAATTCCGCCGATTGGCCATGACACAGATGGCACTCATAACTGCAGTGTACAATGTCCAATGTTCACTAAACTTCACATATTCTGTAACACGTCCTCATAACTTCAGTGTATAATGTCCAATCTCAATGAAACTTCACATGTTTAATAAGAGTCCATCCCATAACACGTCTACATGATAATATTCAGCTATAGTGGTATGCCACCTACTGGCAACACGAAGTAAGCGCTATATGGCAACTTTGATCTGATTTATGTGAAATTTTCATGTTTTGGGCCGCACGTGTTACGATGGCACCTGACGCGGCCGCAGCAAACCCCGAGTTGCGTGGAGTGCGAGGGCCCATTCATCGCTGCTTGCAGCTTTAATTATTATTATTTATTTTATTTGAACAGGGACAGTGCACAATAAAACATTACCCCTGTATATAACAAGGAGAGATGCATTGCACTGGGTTTTAGAAAGTTGCTATTTTCCATCCGTAGTCCCTAGGCAGGTAGATGGAACATACAATAAATAAAAAACAGTTACTAAATTCACAGTTGTGCAAAATTTCAATTACAAAGTTATGAATACACACATTCCCACATACATGTTACACACTGGACTATCTAATCAGATTTGGCTGTTCAATATGAAAATTCAACTATTGCATCCTTTTTTCAGGGTCTCACAGCAGTTCCTGGGGTGGAAATGTGGTTACACAAGTCTCATATTTTAACAAATCTGATGTGAAAACATCAGATTTCCACAGAGACAGTAAAAGTGTGCATCCTGCTCATAGTCCAGGTATAAAATACAAGCACACCATGGAGTGTCTTCAAGGGGGTGCCAGGCTGTTCCAGCGCTGTCAGCCCAAGAGAGAGGAGGTTGGTCAGCACCAGAGCAAAGAGCATTGGAGCAGCCGCTGCCCCACTGTCCAGCATGCCCTCTGTTAACTATCAGTCTTCTTTGCTTCCATCACAGTTCGTTTTAGGGATTCTGGTCATTTTGTAAAGTTGGTTTGTAAAGTTTACAGTTTGCTATGCTGTCTGTCTGTGTACAATGAGTCAGCTGAAAAACTTCAAATTCAACCGTTGTGTTGACTCTGGGTCTTCTGCACTGATAACTCAAACCAGTTTTTTTGGAGCAGTCTTACAAATGTGTCTCTCTGGTTAATTCCGTACTCAGAAATACATACAGTTTCTTACTGTAGTTGCTCACTCTGTGTTCTGGAATTTTTTGTGTGTGCAGCTTATCTGCCTCCGTCAGTGATGCTGCCTCCTCGCCGCCTGCAGACTCTGCTGAAGCAGGCGGTGGAGCTGCAGAGGGAGCGCTGCCTCTACCACAACACCAAATTGGACAGTGGACTGGACTCTGTGTCCCTGCTGCTGGACCACGCTTGCAGCCGGTAAGAACCCACATACACTGTACCACATCAGGGCTCCACCCAAAGTAAAAAAACATTTTCTACTGTGGAACACTGCCACTGTATCAAAACTGTATTTTTGGAAAAATATTAAGTCAATTGAACACTCTCTATAATCATCTCCATAATGATGTTTACATATGTAATAATACAAATCTGTTCAGATTTCAGATCAGGGTTTTCTCATTGCCAGTCAGTGTGCTATTGATGTAGTTTGCAATAGATACGTAATGATTCCAACTACATCAGAACCAGTCATATAAGATATTTGCCAATATATTTGACCATGAATGCTGTTTTATTTGCATTAAGAAGCTTTGTGTGTGTGTGTGTGTGTGTGTGTGTGTGTGTGTGTGTGTGTGTGTGTGTGTGTGTGTGTGTGTGTGTTCCTAATCGTTAGGAAACAGTTCCCTTGCTACACTCAGCAGATTCTCACTGAACACTGCAATGAAGTCTGGTTCTGCAAATTCTCCAACGATGGCACAAAACTGGCAACTGGGTCCAAAGACACCACTGTCATTGTGTGGCACGTCGACACGGTAACGGATCATTTAATTAGTTCCACTTCAGAGCAGGTTGAATGAGTCAACATGTGAGAAAAAGAAATAACTGGATCATTGACTAGTTTGTCTTTCAAAAGGAAACCCAGCAGTTAAAGTTGATGAAGACTCTGGAGGGCCATGCTTATGGTGTTTCCTACCTGGCATGGAGCCCTGATGATGTCTATCTAATAGCCTGTGGTCCTGATGACTGCTCTGAGCTGTGGCTGTGGAACGTACAGGTACAGCATCACTCACGCTGGTGCACAATACTTGTCAGCTGGTCAATGGCCCCTTTCTGTGTCACTAAATTGTGATCCACATTTAGAAAAATCAAACAATCCCTGCAAGAAAAGGCAGCATTTTAGCATCAGTTATGCCACTAGATGACGCACTAGAGCACCAGTATCGCAGACCAAAACAATGGACACTATGGCCATAAGGTAATTTTACCTCAGATAACAGTAAAAAGCACACTCTGGACAGAACTGGACAGAAACCAAATAAAACTCACTAGAACCGTCTATGTTAGTCTTTCTAACTATTACCAACTCTGGTTTGGATGAAATAACCCCCTGATTCACCAAGTTAGATGTGAAAATATTCATGAAAAGTGAGCTATTGGTCATAGCGTAAGCTAACATCAATCGTTGAGATAAAATTTTCCGTCAAAGTGTGTCCACATAAAAGCTATATTTGTGTTTAAAATCTTGTATTCATGAATTGATTCAAAGGTTTTGGTTATAAGATAATGTTGAAGATCAGATCTTATCAGCCTTCAGTGTACAGCACAGTTCAAGTCCATCCCCTGCAACTGACTGAATAATTCTGTGAATTCAAAATATTATTACTTAAAGGGGAACTTCGGCAGATTTTTACCCTAGTCTTGATCACTAGAGGTCACCGAGTACTGTCGATAGGGAAAAGAACGACCAGAATTGGTGCTAGCAAACTGGAGTTCCTGCAGCTAATGGCCAGAGCTCCCAGTTAGTTATAATACACTTCTTGGGGGCATATCCTAAAGAGTGCCTTTTGCTCCTCTTAACAGACACAAAATGCAATTAAAATGTCTGTGCAACATGATCAGGGCCCTTACGTGACAACAACATGCCTTTTCAACTCATACGTTGTGCAGAAACCGTACAAAACAGTACTGTCGCCTACCTGTTTTTCCACCGCTCGCTTCACTGAAAGCCCAGAATAATCGATCACAGAGATAATGCCTTTGCGACGAAAAAAAGTTTATTTTCCCCTCAAAAATGTCCATGTCTTCACACACTACTCTCCGATTTGCACACTTCCTGCAACAATTTCTTCTTCTGCGTTTACCTGCAACAAGTGAAATCCCACGGGACTTCAGCGCGGGACTGCTTTCGCGCTGAAGTCCCGTGGGATTTCTTGTTGCAGGTAAACGCAGAAGAAGAAGAGATTGTTGATCAGAGGTGTTTACAAGGGAAGAAGTTTGGAGTAAGAATAACGTGTGTTGATCTACTGTGGAGAAGAAATGGTTCGCGTTTGTGCCTTTCCAAATGGTGGCAACAGAATGAGAAGGTACAAGTGCCTACACTTTTATCGTCTACCTTTCCATGACCATGAGATACTGCAGTTGTGGCTAGCTGTTCTTCAGCTGGATGTGCAAACTCCCACTGTTACTGAGTTTATTATTTGGGCTAATTGTACAGAAAATGGGTCCCTTTAGGGAAAAGGTTGGGAACCACTGCTCTAAACCAAAACAGTGCGCTAAAAGGAGCTGATATAATATGACTCCTTTCAGCTGCAATACTCAATAAAAATATTTATTAGTTTAGCTATAGACAATCCCGGCTCAGTGCCTTACCAAAGTCGGTGTGTTGCTCCAGTTGCTTTCATGTAAAGACGAACCTGGACCCTGTGAATGCAGACATACTGTACTCTCAGGGAGAACAGTATTAGTCAATAAAAGATCACAAAAACCTTTCAATTAGTGTGTTGTAGAGTGTGTGGTGTCTGATCTTCTCAGTCATGTTTCTCTCTGTTGTTTAGACGGGGGAGTTGCGTACCAAGATGAGTCAGTCTCATGAGGATAGCCTGACCAGCGTAGCCTGGAATCCAGATGGCAAACGCTTTGTCACTGGTGGACAGAGAGGCCAGTTCTACCAGTGTGTGAGTATCTTTTACAGCCCACACTCTGTGCTGTCAGTGCCCACAGGTTCTCAGCATTGCATACTGCGCATACACACCAGACTCACTTGCATCAAACACATTCTATAGAGCCCAGCCCGGAGGCCTCATTTGTAAAACTTTGTTAAGATTCTGTCCTAAAACACTGCATAATCCTAAACCACAAAATCTGCTTGACAATATCCAGATCTATAAAACCGTGAGAAAACCTATATCATTCGAAACTGATATTATTCATTCATCAAGTACTTCAATTGAGTTTTGGGATAGATATATGATATCTGTGAACAAAAATAGAAATAGATGTTAAATAGTTGAATTGTTTCTGGTTTTCTGCACTGAGAGTATGACATAAAAATTAAACCTTCTCAAAGCCCCTGGACGTAAAATTGTACTGTGATTTTTGCAACCTTTAAATTATCCTAATGGCTCAAGTTTTTGTTTCTGAAAATGAGACATCCCACTGGTAATTAATATGTGGCTTTAAGGCCATTAATTTAGTGTCCCCAGGTGTTTCAGTAAGGGACCACATTGTTGCAAATATTCAAATGTGCAGTACTTGCTTGCTGTTAACTCTGTTTTCAAATGATAAAAAAGAAAATATTGACCCAAATAAAATATATAATCTGCAGTTCCTGTGCAGCATTCTGGTGTTTAGGGTTTTCCTGAATGCACATTGTTCCCTCCTGACTTCCAGGACTTGGATGGAAACCTGCTGGACTCATGGGAAGGAGTTCGGGTCCAGTGCCTGTGGTGTCTGAGTGACGGCCGGACCGTCCTCGCATCAGACACCCACCAACGCATCCGTGGATACAACTTTGAGGACCTGACGGACAGAAACATGTAAGTCACAACCCTGACTGGGCTGAGGAACCATAGAATCATCTCTTCCTGATCGTTCTGTAGAGAGAGCACAGAATTTCTATTCAGTTTGGCTTGTGACTCATTAATCATCACAGAAATCAAATCAGACATGGTGTTTGTTTTCACAGCCTGCACATGTATACAATGTTAATATTATAATATTATATAATTGCAATGAGTGAACTACATAATGTGTTATCATGCATAAAGCATTCAGCAGCAGAACAAGAGTAGAGAGAGTTTTTACAAGAGTAGGTAACACTGAAAGCTTCAGTTGACATTACACAAACTATAAGCTGGTTACAGAATTTAAATTTCAGACCTTTTAAGACCAATATGAAAGCAATTTAAGACCTATTTCATGTCCACACTGGCAAAAAGAGTACACAGGATACAAAGGAAAATATGTATAAATTAAAAATCTAAAGTTTTCCCAAAAACCCATTTAAAACCAAAGCTAATAACATTTTCCGACATTTTAAGGCCTAAAATTCAGATTATTAGATTTTAGACTTTGTAAGACCCCACCTGGCTCCATGCTGCTGGAAAGTTACAACAAGGAGTCATGGCGGAGAGGAAGAAATGGTCCAAAGTGGTGTCAAACTACTGTAACTCTACTCTGTTTCTACACTGTATTCACACTCAGAGAGAGAGAGAACAGCTGTGTTGATGCTGAAAACCTTTGTAGGCCTACTTTTTTTCCACAAAGAACATTTATCATTAATCAATAAGGATATTACAAAGAATCAGACCGATAAGCACAATCGATAAAGGTATTGTTACCAATAAAATGTGAGCGATTCCTATCCCTAGCTGTGCCTGCATGCCTGCATCTGGGAGACTGCTGCTAACAAAGCTAACCAGAATTTTACCATTGGTTATCATTAAACTGTTTCATCCAGACATTCCTGGTTAATTGAATAGGTTGCATTACACATGTTGATTTGTGTGTTTAACCTGCAGTATTACAACACTGTTTTGGGACATAGCTGTGCTGTATTGATGCAGTGGGTGTCTGTGCTACAGCATTTGCTTCGAGGATGATGTTGTGTGTTGTGTCATTCCAGAGTGCAGGAGGACCACCCCATCATGTCTTTTACTGTTTCCAAGAATGGAAGGTTAGCTCTGCTCAATGTTGCTACTCAGGTGAGCAGCTTGTTACTTTCTCACAGTTCAAATCACAATATACTCTTTCATTTGAACTTCAGCTAGTTGCTAAAGTAGCAGTTCAGTGTTGATTTTGAAATGTGTGTCTCAGTAAATGCTGTGTGTCTGTAGGGAGTGCACCTATGGGACCTGCAGGACCGGGTGTTGGTGAGGAAGTACCAAGGGGTGACGCAGGGCTTCTACACCATCCACTCCTGCTTTGGAGGCCACAATGAAGACTTCATCGCTAGTGGCAGTGAAGGCAAGTCACTGTAATGTTTAAAACTCAGCTACTTTCTGTTCTGGACCGAGACAACAGACTGATTAAATAAAGAATGGTCAACATTAAATGATGACATCATCAGGGTTTTTACTGAGGCCGCCATTGTTTCGTGCTTCTGACGAGTTGTAACTAAGCACAGCCAATGAGAGCAGCTTAACTCGCAATAAGTCACCTCAGCTTGTTCCGAAAAAAGGCGACATGGCGATAATGCCAAACTCAAGACTTCAAAATAGTGCTCCACAGACCAGTGGATGATGTTGTAATAAGCGATACATATGACAAAAGTATAAAACAAACAGCCACACGGTTGTCTTAGAGCATAAATGAAGTATAATTCCAGCCTGAGAATGACTCCACATCATGAGTAAACAGATTTTTATTTACAAATTCTGTGAAGCCATTTAAGTCTAATCCAGTAAACTGGCTGCAGTTGATGAAGTGTTTTGTCTCCTGTCAGACCACAAAGTTTACATCTGGCACCGGCGCAGTGAGCTGCCCATTGCAGAGCTGACCGGACACACCCGCACAGTCAACTGTGTGAGCTGGAACCCCGTCCTACCCGGACTGCTGGCCAGCGCCTCTGACGACGGTACCGTCCGAATTTGGGGACCCGCCCCCTTTCTGGATGTCCAGGATGCAGAAGGGCTCAATGGTATGGACATGAAAGCTAGTATGTCTAGTTGTCAGTATATGACATCAAAGCATCTCTCACAGTGGTATTTGTTCAATTATCTTTCAGCCACTGTTTTCATCAGACTCCTCAACAGTTTACATATAAGTAGGGTAAGAATCCACAGTTTCCTCTTACATTTAAAAATAATTAACAGCAGGGACATTTCAAGTTACAGGTTCATTAAATGATCAATGCACTGCATTTTTCTACCTTAATGGACAAAGTGCTTTACAATTTGCCTCTCATTCATCTTTTTACACAAGCAGGTGGTGCCTAGACATTTAACCACCAACCCTGAAATTTAGTGGATGACCTGTTCTATCTCCTCAGCCACATTTATTAGAGGATTTAAGTATATATTAATAAACTATAATATACAGTATATTTGAGAGCAGTCAATCACAAGACACAGAATAAAAACAGTAAAAACATATCAAAGGAATGCAATTCTAAGACAATGAGCTAGTCTCCTCTAGTGAGTCCATGGGCCCTGACTCCAAAGGCCCAGAATCCTCTGGTTTTTAGCCTCCACCTTGACACTACTAACAGATCACTTCTGGACGATCTAGGTTGCGTTGAATCAGATAGGAATACAGCAAGTTCTTTAATCTAGCTGAGACCTAATTTCCATGTTATTTGCAGATTTAAAGGACTCCCCTGATCCAGCCCTAACTATAAGCTTTATCAAAGAGGAATTTCTTTAGCCTTCTCTTGAATGTGGACAGGGTGTCTGCCTCCCGAACCACAACTGGAAGCTGGTTCCACAGGAGAGGAGCTTGGTAACTGAAGGCTCTGGCTCCTGTTCTACTTTTAGAGACTATAGGAACCACAAGTAGCCCAGCATTCAGAGAACGCAGTGTTCTAGTGGGGTATTAGGGTACTATGAGCTCTTTAAGATATGAAGGGGCCTGATCATGAAGAGCTTTGTAAGTGAGGAGGAGGATTTAAATTCTATTCTGAATTTTACAGGGAGCCAGTGCAGAGAAGCTAGTACAGGAGAGATATGATCTCTTTTCCTAGTTCAGACATCCAGGTTTTTATGTCCTTAAGACATGCTTGTAATTTAGATAATTGATTAATTTCATCGGGCTTGATTGATATATAACTGGGTATCATCTACATAACAGTGAAAGTTAATGGAGTGATTCCTAATAATGTTGCCTAAGGGAAGCATATATAAGGTAAACAGAATTGTGTTGTGTTGCGTCTGTCTGTGTCTCTCTCTCTCTATTACCCCAACTGATCGAGGCAGAAGACCACCCACCTAGAGCCCAAGGGTCTGTCCTAGGTTTCAGCCTTTTAACAGGCAGTTTTTCCTTGCCCCCGTCGCCAAGTGCTTGCTCATGGTGGTACTGTTGGGTCTCTGTAAATAATGTGTTCGGTCTAGACCTGCTCTATTTGAAAAGTGTCCTGAGATAACTTCTGTTATGAATTGGCGCTATACAAATAAAATTGAATTGAATTGAATTGAATTACAATTGATCTAAGCATAGAACCTTGTGGAACTCCATGACTAACTTTAGTGTTTATGGAGGATTTATCCTTAACATGTATAAACGTATCGTATCCACCTCCATCAAAATTTTAAATAGATCTGTACCCTGAGGCCTGGGAAGTGTGCAATAACTTGGTGTTCTGTTTGTTTTGTTTTTTATTTGCTTTGTTCTTTCATTGGATGTGTCATGAGTGTGTATGTAGCCTACGTGTACGTCTTTAGCTGTTATATGTATTTTATGTGTATTTATTGTCTGTAAGGGCAGCGACTACTATGCACTATGCACTTTGAGTCCATGACTAATTTCCCCTAGGGGACAATAAAGTATATTCTAATTCTAAACGATCTGATAATGAATGCACAGATAATCTTGACAGCTATCTGCTCCCTCCTGTGGAAAACCTCCAGCTGAACATGACTGAGTGTGTGTGAGTTCGAAAGCAGCAGATGATGATGATGATGATGATGATGATGATGATGATGATGATGATGATGATGACCTCTGTCTTCCCCTCCTGTCAGAATGTTGCAGCATGGACAGCTGATGATCTGCTGTTGTAGACCTGAGGAGCATTAAGACTCTGTAGACACTTGAATGGATGAAGCGGGGAAAGCTTTGTTGATTGGACAGCTGCTTCCTGGAGGCAGGGCCAGCAGTGCCATGTCACAACATAAGAGATGTCAGTCACATTATTGAGATCTGAGTCGGCCGGATGCAGCCGGGGTCCACGACCTGCGGTGTCTGAGCCTCCTCCTCCTTGCCTGGATCCGTTCCCTCAGCACTATCCAGGACCAGCCACTTCCTCTTATTTATTACCAACTACATTATTTATTCATGAGTAGTTCACTGACTTGTGCTAGGCTGTGACGTACCAGCGTCTGTGGAGGGTGTGTGTTCTTAGTTTTCTTTACGCGAAGAAGCTTTTTTTCCTCTTTCACTCCCTGAACCTTTGAACAGATTTTACCTGCAAGAAAACATTGGATGGATGTAACACCCCCTTGAACAGTATCTTTTAAATGCAAATTCTACGTTATCTTTTTTTTACACAGAATACATTTTTTCCCTTCAGCTTTCCTGCTTATAGCCAGAGAAAGATTAGTGTTTTATGAGCATGTTGCATAGGATTGCACAGGACAATGTATTTGGTGGCTAACACGCACTATGTCCTGCTATATCTATTAAAGTAAGTAAAATGCTTGGCTGCCTTAGAGAGTATACAGCAGCTGGTATGTGGAACCCTATAGAGTTCAAAGGATTATCCGTCAACCCTTACCTCTGAAACGTGGATTATCTGAGTGTAGTTTCCATCATGCCGTCAGTGCAGATTTCCTCTTTATTTTTGCATCTTTGCTCTGCTTTCACTTTTTGCTGTTTGTTTCCCTTGCAGCCTGTTGCCACCTGTCTGCGTACCAACAGCAGCCTCCATATGGTTATCTTTTGGTTTGGGTTAGTTGTTACATGTTCTAAGTTTTATTTTTCACTGTGTTAATTTTTTATTTCCTACAAGTGGAGCTTAACATTTAATGAGAGACGTCCAGCTCAACTGTGAACTGTTTTAAAAGATAAGGCTGGTGTTATTCTCTATGTTTCATATTGTCAACAAATCCCATGAAAAGACCAGAACCGGTGTGTTTTTTTAATACTTTTTGACTTGCTCCAAGCCCATCAGTTCCTACTGAGGACATAAATCAGCTCACAGATGTATCATTTCTTTTTAAAATGGTTCAGTAATTTCCTGAAACTGCTGCCGACGGTAGGTCTTAACAAACGTAACTGAAACAGGAGGAAATAGCGCATTTGTTAGGGACTATTTTCAGCGGCAGATTCATCCACAGCAGCAGGACGGTGTATGTGGAATTGAGTCAAAATATACTAGTGTGTGTGTGTGTGTGTGTTCATGGTAATGAATGAACATTGTGTCTCAATGTGTTTTTAACCCAATAATGATTTACAACTGTATTTACTACGTTAAGGAAAAGAACCACAGAATTCTTTCTGGTTGAGGTAGGAACACAAAAAATTTGTTGGGTCAAAATCAATATTTTAGATTTTAAACATGTACCATGCCTTAATTGGTAGACAAAGTTGATATTTCATAAGTTTAACATTAATTTAACATGTTCAATATGTTAAATAATATTTACATTTGATAAAACTCCTTCTGTATCGTACTATATCTAGTCATTAGTCACTAGGGGTTACTCATTTTCAGTGTTGGGCTCCTTACTCAAAACATTTTATTTATTACTTATTACTCTTTTCAAAAGTAATATAACTGTACTTGGGAATTGTATCCTTTCTCCCAAAAATTAACTTAACTTAAAATACAGTTTTTCGTTTCCTTGTGTTTAAATCTACCAAGCTTGTGTCGCTTCATGATTGGATTGGTCGGATTTCAAATCAATAGGAGGGTTCCAACAAAATGAAGGTTATATCTAATTATGTTTTGGGGGGGTAACTGTAATATAATTACTGATATCTATTAGTAATTAACCTACTAGTTACTGGTTAATGTAATTATTACTAGTAATGCCTTACTGCCCAACACTGCTTATTTTACCCCATCGGAAAACAAAACAAAAATGTCTTTTAGGTCTGCACAGTGGACTGGACCAAGATTAAACAACGGGTTATTAGTTTTCTTTTTGAATCTATATTCTAACAGTCCACTATGTGTGTGTTTTAAGCGTTAAGAGCCTCATACTTTAACTGATTTGAAGTTTATAGACAAATAATCTACATCTGGCTTTGATACATGCACAGTACTTGTTAGCATATACATTCATTGTTTTTTGGTCAGTACATGAGATTTGTTCATTATTTAAAAAAAAGAAGAAAAAAAAGATATAGAGAATTGCCAGCCTTATGACACAGGAAACTGAGTAACAGAATGATGGAGTGTATCTTTAACAATCAGTGGGTAACACATTTGTACACAAGTGTAACATAAACTTATGAACTTCTACAAAGTGTTTCCTTTCAGAGAGTCAAAAGAACAATCTTGCCTGATATGATGTTCTATGTAATGTGCTGTATATTTGTATGTTCTGGCATGTATTCTGAGGCTGTGTACAAACGGCAGATAGGATGTTTCACAGGGTTCCCACGCCTGTTTTTTACATGTCAGTCTCAAAAAGCTACTCTCTGACAACTTCATACCAAATGACTGCACTACTGTTGTAATATAAAGCTGCAAGTTTACACTCACAACTGCTACCACAGGCAATTGGTTCTGAGATTTACGAACTGCAATGCAGCCAAAGTCCCATTTCAGCCTGCTTCTTTCAAACTGCTTCTACAGATTCTATTTAGAACTTTATTAGAGTTATTTTTCCAAAAGCATTCTTGTCCTGGACGATAGCTGCAGGACTGTCGGGACAGTGGGAACCCTGTTTATCTGCCCAGACAACATCACAGCCATCACCAGCTTCAAACTCTGCCATCACAGAACACACGCTAGCAAAATAACGATAGATGTCACACACACACACACACACTTGATTCAGACACAGATGTGGTGTTCTAGTTTCTGCCTCTGTGATTTTCTTTAGTTTGTTTCTTCTGTGTATTTCAGGCTTCTCTTCTTTTCTCTTCTCGCTGTAAGAAGCCAAAGTAGGAACTTTTGTTTGCTTGCAGGCAGTTGCTGCCAGAAACCATTTTACATTTTAAATGTGTTATTACAAAAAGTGATTGTACTGTTCTGTATTGTTCTGTAGGAGAAGTGATATGTATGCATATTTTAAATAAAGCATTCAGGGTTTTAAAATGTACTTTACTTTGAAATGTCCCTCACTTGATCTGTACTTTTTATGTCTTGATCATAGGGTGTCCAGAGGCTGGCATGGTGACTTTAAGGGGTGGCACAGATATCTGCTGATTTAATTACAAACTATTACATATATCAATATTTGCATGTAAAAGCTACCAAATTAAGATATTTGAACAACTTTGGCACATTGGTAAAGCCTTGAATAGAAATACCCAGAGGTGGCATTAGAAATCAATACACTGTTTAAATACATCTTTTTTATTGAACTTAAGCCTATCTGCATCTAAGTGTAGCTATAACAGATCATTAAATTATAGGTGTTATTTCCATTATTTTAATTCATGTGTTAAATTTGACACCAAACTGGGGTGGAAGAGTAAGTTGACTTTTAAACATCCGTTTATATACAAAAGTAAATATAATATTAGCATGTTTACTTTTTTATATTAAAGGTCCAGTGTGTAGGATTTAGTAGCATCTAGTGGACCACTAGATGCTAAATCACTAGTAGTGGTTTAGTTGCAGATTGCAATTCCCTCACTTCACCCTCTCTTCCAAGTGGAAGGGAGAAACTATGGTGGCAATAAAATGCATGAAAAATGCAAAAGGCCCCATCTACAGCCAGGGTTTGGTTTGTCTGTTCTCGGCTACTGTAGAAATATGGTGGCCGTCACAGAAGAGGACCCGCTATTTTTTGTATAATTCCTTCAAAGTCTTTACCACATATACACTACTCACAAAAAGTTAGGGATATTCGGCTTTCAGATGAAATTTCAGAATGTACATAAAATGCACTATAACCTTTCCAGGTGATCTTAATTTGACCTTCTACTTAAATGCCCTACTTTCATGATATAATATCACTGTAGCATCAACTTTTTACATTTTCCATAAATTTCACCCGAAAGTGGAATATCCCTAACTTTTTGTGAGTAGTGTATATTCTGGACAGACAGGATGGAACCTGAGTGGTTGGTGGGGGCATACACTGCAGGGCGGTAATTCTTAAATGGTAAATGAACTGTACTTATATAGCGCCTTTCTAGTATTTCGACCACTCAATGCACTGTACACTACATGCTACACTCACCCCATTCACACACATTCATACACTGATGGCAGTGGCTGCCATGCAAGGTGCCAACTGCTCACCAGAACAGAAACTAATCATTCATAAACACTCACACACTGGTGCACATCATCAGGAGCAGTTTGGGGTTCAGTGTCTTGCTCAAGGACACTTCGACATGCAGCGAGAGAAGCCGGGGATCCAATTAGTGGACGACCCGCTCTACCTCTGAGCCACAGCTGCCCCTTCTCACCTAAATGTGTTGATTTTGTCATTGAAAATGTCTATTTAAATTTTAACAAGCTAATGTATTGAATTCCTTAGCATTTTACATGTACAGTATATAGTACTTAGCTAGAAAGGTTTTTTTCAGCTTTTTGTTCTCATAAATGAAAAAAAAAAAAATCCCCATTAGTTTTGGGGATTGAGGAAAACATAAATACAGGGACAAAACAGCCAAAGTGACTTCTCTAATAGTTGCCAAAGATTTCCGCTCAATGCTACACGAAGAAAGAATAAAAGATTTAGGAGTTATAGCAAAATGAAACACGATAGAGGTACAACCTCAACTCCACTTCTAAAAGATGATTAAACATTTATCCTTTGTGGTTACTTACATCCTGTCTCAATTCATAAAGATTATTTCACAGTGAAGAGCTGCAAGGTTAGCACTTCTTCAGAAACCACTCATTAAAAAACCAATAGACAAAAACAAAGTTGCCTTTGATTTTTATTTATGAAACACCACACTTCCCTCCAAAAACAGAAACTTAACACTGCGTACGACAGTTTAGTGTGATATCAGACATGAGTTTGTTCACCAGCAGTCCTCCCAGTTCACCCACACTGAAGAGAGAAATGGCTCCAGAATACCTGCACATGGCTCACACAAAAGGCTGTAACACACAACAACAGTCTGTAGAGGAGTGCACACACACATCCATTGTCCCAGACAGACGAAACAGGGAATGTCAGACTTTAACATGCGGTGTGTGTTCGATGCTGAAGTCAGTAAACATCAGTGCATGATTCAAATTCTTAGTCAGAATACAACATCAGTACGTACACACAGTATCATGATTTCCAGACTGAATAGAACAACCTTTTATATAGCAAAACACTTTGTGTGTGTGTGTGTGTGTGTGTGTGTGTGATTGTCTTTCCCTCTTTGCTGTAGCTGACTGATCAGACAATCACAATTAATGATACACATACTGAGGCAAATATGACAAACTTTTGTGTGTGTTTGTGTGATTGCGGCAGTCTGGCAGGTCACATACAGTATGCATATAAGGTCTCAGAACAGGATCTGATCACTGCTGTTGTCAAGAGTTTTACGCTGCAGTACCATCACAAGCCGCTGGTTTCAACATCTTGTTTAAAAAACTTTGATCCTTCAACCAAATATAACGTTATGTAAGCTTCATGTGAAAAGAGCAGGAGTTCAGGAACATGTAGGAGCAATAACAGGAAGAGAGCAAGGCCATGACACACAGACAGGTAACACAGAGGGGATGATAACAGTGATGTGAGTCACCAGATAAACCCAGCTGTACACCTATGGCAGCGCTCTCCACCTCTGTACCCTCTTTTACATCTCATCTTCAACTTATGGCTTTTTCTTAACTCTTTTAATTATTTCATATATTTTTGTCTTATCTCGTCCAAACGGTTTAATACTCACATATGATCTACCTAAACAAACAAGAACATCAGTGAGAAGACTGGCTATTTCTATGTAGTTATTCTTAATGCCTGCCACAAGGTCAGATTCCCCTTGAAATCAATGAAATATGTTAAGGAAACAATACCTCTTTTGTCCATAGGGGCAGCCAGAATCGACACAAAACGAAAGCTCCTTGTAAGGGCTTTATGTTTTAGATTTTATTTACCTTTGTTGATTGTTTATATTGTTACTTAACTTCTTATTACTTAAAGCTGCAGTCGGTAACTAAGATTAATTGATTGACAGATTCTAAGGAAGATTGGTTGTTTTCGTCCAGGCCCTGTGGATTCTTGAAATGCCATTAGGAGCACTAGGAGGAGCCGGAGGAACCTGATTGTTTCACAGATTATCTGTCTCATGTACTACTGTCAGGAAGTTTCAGCAAATTTCAAAAAGCTGTTTCTATTAAAGTTACCGACTGCAGCTTTAAAGTTGGATTTAACTGATATGTTAACTTGTCACATATCTGTATGCACTGTGCCTGTGCAAGAGGAAATACCTTGCCGTGGTCTTGCCCAAGAACAGCGAGGAGTCACAAACATTTCATAGTCTCATTGTAAGGGTTTTAAACTGCAGCTGCAACTATAAAGTATTAAACAAGACAAAAGAAAAAGCACAAGTGGAAAAAAAAAGGAAAAACACACAACTGACTGGCCAATCACAGAGCCCCCCAATGCAACATGCTTAGTCAGCAGTCAGAGTGTTCACTGATATAGAACAGCTTGAGTGAAGAATAAAGGTCTAATGTGAAACAAAACAGCATTATAGTGACATACTGTACCTGGCCTACAAATATAAACATGCTTGTTTGGTACAGACCCCAACAAATCAGGGTTTTAATAGCTGTCTCAGTAAGAAATGAAAACTGCGATGCAAAAACAATCATTAGCATTAATGGTGAATGATATCACACTTGTAATATCTGCCAGGAAAAAATGACAATATCTGTAAAATGATTGTTTTAGCATACCGTGCAGCTCTTGTTTGAGACAATAATGGCCTTTTCCCAAGACCATGCTATGACTCAGTATTGTGCTTCGTAACAGTATTTCTTCTTACAGTCACTGGAAGCTGTTGTAATGACTCACTGCTGCAGACAGAGGTTGGAATAAAATTAATTACAGTCCACTTCACAATAACACCGCAGTTGTAGGAGATTTTGTCGTGATGGTAGTAGAGTGTTAAATGTTTAAATATACATATTGTTTCAAAGTCAAAACTCTGGGGTTTTGACAACCCAAAGAACAGTATTAAGAATGCAGCGATCTGGTGTTCTGAAAGATTGTATGCATACAGTAGAGGAGCAGGATGTGAGGGGGACACAGCACACCCTGGAGTTTGGAATTTGGCAGCTGGGGGTCTGAGAGCTTGCTGGGTGCTTCAGTCATTGATCAGAGCCAGGATCATGCTGGAAAAACAGATGAGAAAGATATGTGTCAATAAAAAAAACTATTATACAGTGTATGCTGCTTTCTAAACATTTCACTACATTAAGGTTTCTGCAGATTTCAATGCGTTACATTTCAGACTTTTTAAGACCATTACCACTGTCTCCCATTAATTAGACTGTATTAATTACTAAATTAGACTGTCGCGGCCCACCTTGTTCTACCCCTCCTGTACTGTCTAATGACAACTGCCCAAACTTTGCAAATAAACAGAGAGAGGTGGGTTCTTTGACACAGTGAATATTTAACAAGCAAGAGTGAACAGCAGTGAAACCAACAGCTGGTGCTGGCGTCATTCTGTCCCACATTGGTTCAATCAGCTACATCATTAACAATGAGCCTCCTCAACACACAGCTCACCTGCTCATATAAAAACAGAATTTTGGGTGAAAACATCAAAAATACGAGTTGTTTGTTGGGTGACTGAAGGAAAAAGCAAGGTGAGCAGATTAAAGTAGTTAAGTAGTGAATTAAGTCAATAATAAAATAATCTACTGGAAAAGGTAATTTAGTCTATTTTTCCAAATGTTTTCAAATATCTGTCACAGTTACGCTGTCATTCTGTGGGAAACACAGACCTATTTTACCACCATAATTGTAAATGGACCTGTACTTGTATAGCGCCTTTCTAGTCTTCCAACCACTCAAAGCGCTTTTACACTACGTGCCACATTCACCCTTTCACACACATTCACACAGCGATGACACAGCATTGGGGTTCAGTATCTACTATCTTGCCCAAGGATGATTCGACATGTGGCAGGGAGGAACTGCGGATCGAAACAACAACCTTCCGATTAGTGGACGACCCACTCTGCCTCTGAGCCACAATGCAATTTGCTTTAGCCCAAAGTAGGTGATTTAAATGACCTAAAAATAATAGATATTAAAGTGGCACTTCAAGGATTTAGTATTGCCTTTCCTTTTTAAAAAAAGCGTATAAATCATAGTGGCAGAAGTACAGAGACATGCCGCAATAACAATCTTGTAGAGTTGATAAGATAAACTTGATGAAAAGAAAAAAAATGTCAACAAACTGGAGGGAAAAAGAAAAGAAAAGACTGCAATTGATATCTTGTAATAACACTAACAGCATCAATTCAACTAAAAGAGCTATACGTTAATACGTCAAATATTTGGCTGTTTTTCTGTTCTCCCCATTTTGAAAATATGGCAGGAATAAAGCAGCATTGTATCTTTCATTCGAGAAAGGATAAGAAAGAAGAACAGTAGTGGTGGTTTGTTTTGTAGTTGTAACTGTAGTTAGTAAACATTATTCCCAAAAACAATTAAAAGAAACTGAAAAATTATATAAGTAATGTTAACTTTATACATCTAATCCATTTGAAGACCTGTCAAAGTCATATGTCAGACATTTTAAGGCCTAAAATTGGGATTATTGGATTTTAGACTTTTTAAGACCCTGCAGACAGTGTGTAAATATCAGTGAGTGGGTGTGTGTAGATGCTGCTGCTCTCACCTGTACAAATAAATGAAGAAGCAGAGCAGGTGGTAACCCAGTTTGATCATGGCCTCCTTCATGTGGGACTTGAGCTGACCTCGGTTGTGGATCTCAGTGGGGTCAAACACACCCATGTTGCCCATCGGAACCTTTGCGTATCTGCAGGGACAACCGGGGCAAGAGAGAGTAAACCCAGGAAGATCAGCGCACAAAGGACAGTAGGAGATGGCTAATCTGGTGAACTAAATTCACTGCCATAAGGAAGTGCTGCTCATTGTTTGCTTTCAATGGCCCGATTCACACAGAAATGTTAGAGAGATAGCTACTGTGATATAAACTGTATAGCTACATTTCTACTGCCTGACAGTGCATGTTGCCGTATTACCCAACCGTACAGAAGAGCATGTCCTCTGACAGCCGCTGCAGCAAACTGCAGCTGTATAAACATACCTATAAATGTTCCAGACTGCTACAGGCAGGTTGAGGAGGAAGATGAACCAGTGCATGGAGACCAGCATCAGCATGGTGGAAAGACACTGGCCAACCATCTCTGGAATCACCCACTGCAAACACAATATCAAACACCAAAATCAGAAATCATGGATCAGAATAGTAATGAACTTTCTCTACGGCATCTATGATGAGCAAATAGCCACTATCATAAAATACATTAGTAAAAAGGCACCACAAATAAAAGGCATCATACACAAAACAATTCTGATGTATGTGTGTGTAAATGTCTCCTCTAAGATATTCAGTTTAGTCATAGAGGGCTAAAGAAACCAGAAAATATTCCAGATGAGAAGCTGAAATCTTCATTTTCATTCATTTTCTTAAGAAATGACTTGCACGATGAATCCATTATCAAAATAGTTGGGGATTATTTTAATGGTTGACAACTAACCGATTGATCGACTAATGGTTGCAACCCTGTATGACTTACTTTGTTGAGCTTGGAGCAGCAGGCTCTAGCATTGATGTAGTCACATTCTAGATCAGACAGGGTGATGATCTGAGCTTTAAGTCAAAGCGCCACAACCTTACAACTGTTGAACAAAGAAAACTGATGTTTGTCAGCACCTTCATTCAACTGGACAATCACCAAACCTTTAAGAATTGATCATACCCAACTGACAGTGACACCCATGGAAGAATTCCAAAAAAAGGATACAGGTAGCTGTAAAACTTTACACCAAATCAAATTCATCAGATTTTAGTGCATTTGTTTTACTCCATCTGATGCTTGATTGCAGACGAAAAGTCAGTTTGATTTATTATGCCAAGAACACCAAAGGGAAGCATTCAAAAGATGTGCCACAAGAATAGACGTACTTCACAGCAGCCATTTTGACTTTTTTTATATTTTACTTTAGTGAAAAAGTATTTAGTCTATTAATTCTATATATTAACTATGAGCATATCAAACATTACATTAACATTAAACTATATAATGAGCAATTACTGTATATTTCATACTTTAAAAATAAATTAAATTGTACAACTTGAAATGTTCAAATAAAAAAGAATGTTTTTGACAATTTATGAGTTTTGAGTTTTAAGTTTTCAATAGTTGTTAAATATGTTGTAAAATCGTTATCCATAAAGATGTAAAAACAGGGTAATCTTTTCTTTTGACTTGAAATAGTAGGGTAAACACAGGGCCTAATGAAAGGCTACATCCTGTCTTATGAATCGGTCTCTGTCAGAATATAGTGAAAGTTTCAGTGAATATAGCAAAAACATTTTTGGATGAAAATGAACTACTGCAGCTTTAAGGCACAACAACAACAACAACAACAACAACAACAACAGCCTGACTGTCTGAACTGAAGGGAACTCAACCTGAATTAAAGCCATTGCTATCACCTGTGTTTACCATACTATTCCACGTCCATGTGAAACGCCAGCGGTATACTGCTTCAGACAGTGACGTTAGTGGAAATAGTCGGTATAACACGAATAACTTGAAAAAGGCTTCAACAGTAACGACACGGCAAACACTGACAGGCTAACATCACAGTCACATATCTCGGCGGAGAGCTGGCCCTGGTTAGCAAGCTGAAGACAACACTTTCTAATGTCCCACTGTCCTGAGTTCAGTCTGTCCATGTAGCTTCAGTTTGGTCTTCTTGTGACCACACATTGTCGAACGGTTAAAACGAGCTTCAAGTGAACTTCACGCTAGCATGTCACTGACACTTGTAACAAGGTGGCTAACCGGTTAGCCACTTAGCATTAATGTAATATACTAACAGAAAGAAAAGCATTCTTCAGGGCTTCCTGCTAGCCAGCCGGGTCGGCGGATAGACTCGACAAGCATCTGAAAACACAGAGAAGAAAAGGATACAAAGTAGACCGAGAGGAAAATCAGTGCACAGCAGTCCACCAGAGACAGAATGAACACTGCCGCCTCCATTTTTCTTCTTCCGTCACTGATTTTATTTTCATTTCCGGACAGTCTGATCCTGTGCGCATGTGTGACTGAGATAGTGACAGTTTTTTTATTACGGTGCTGCCACCTAGCGGAGTGGTGGAGCTGGTATGAGCATTCTCCTCCCTCTTTCCTGTAATTGCATTATTGTACAGACAATGTTGTTCTTGTGTTATATGTTAACACTTTATTTAATATCAAAAAACCTACCTTTACTGTAAAACGAGTCAGTTCAGCTCGAACTGTTTGAGGAAACGGATTGCCTTAAATTTCAATTCAATTTTATTTGTATAGCGCCAATTCATAACATATAAATATCATATAAGTTATCTCAGGACACTTTTCAAATAGAGCAGGTCAAGACCGAACTCCTTATAACATTAATTACAGAGACCCAACAGTACCACCATGAGCAAGACCTTGGAGACAAGGGCAAGGAAAAACTGCCTGTTAAAAGGCAGAAACCTAGGACAGATCCTCCGGCTCTAGGTGGTTGGTCGTCTGTCTCGACCAGTTGGGGTGAGAGAGAAAGCAAGAGAGAGTTAGTAACATGCATTAATGGGACATGAATGTGTGCAGAAAGAGAGGGAGAGGAAGAGAGGAGCTCAGTGCACCATGGGAATCCCCCGATAGCCTAGGTCTATAGCAGCATAACTAAGGCATGGTTCAGGATGGTAAAGGTCCAGTGTGTAACATTGAGGAGGATCTATTGTCAGAAATGAAATAGAATATTAAAGTTGAATGTTCTCATTAGCATAAAATCACCTGGATATAAGAATCGTTATGTTTTCATTACCTTACAATGAGACGCTTTTATCTACAGATTCCAACATCACCCTTCATGGAGTATTGACAAACCAAACCCAGGCTTTGGATTCAATTCAAATAAATGTTTTAATTCATTTTTATAGCGCCAAATTGTCTAGAAAATTATCTTAAAATGTCTACTTTTTTAACAGACAGAAACCTATAGGGACCTTCAAGTTTTTTTAAAGTTTACAAAGTTTTCCATATTCTCATTCTCCGATCAGACACAAGCAGTGTTCAGTTAGTTGCAATCTGCAATGTGGTACCTCAAGTATGTATTGTTAAGATAACTTGGGAAGTTGCTTGTATCGATTACATTCAGTTAATTGAACTTAAAATAGCAATGAGTATATAATATATAGAATATATATTACATAATATACATTACTCACTTGCAGGATTTCTCCAAACGTATTTATAATGTGTGTAACAGAATTTATCCAAATAAAGTAAGACTAATGTAATTGCATCTTCTTTATACAATTGTTACCACTTAAGTTTAATTTTCTTCCAGTATTATCCAAAATTATTACAATATACAATACTAAAATAGCTGATGTACAATAAAAACAATTTACAATGAATTGATTATCATAAGCAAATTTATGTGACTCAATCTAATTGTTACTGCTGTAATTAAAACTGCTGTAAAAAAAAATGACTGTGTGTCTGTGTCTATGTGTGTGTATGTGTATACAGGGTGTGTTTATGCAAACTTAAACTATGCAGACTGCTCAAGTGCAACAACAAATATGATGGATGTGTCTTCAGCAGAACAGTGACTCAGCCTGCTGTCACTCATGAAGAAGTGGGCAGGGCTGCAGGGGAGAATATGAGAACAGTAACCTGTGAAGGAGGAAGCAAGGGGGAAATTCTATTTTATTTTTGTGAAGATGCTTAAAAAGGAGAGTATCACCCTGCTGGAGGAGAAGAACCGCAGAGAGGCCGGTGAGAGAAGGAAAGAGAGCATAGCAAGCAAACACAGAGCAAAAGCAAAGGAGAAAGTAGCATGGCCCGGGCTGCTCTTCTAATCTATTTGCACATAGCACTTTTCCTCAATATTCTGGAAACAGGACATGCCAGTGAAAGGAGTACCAGAGTGCTGGAAGCTACAGCTCCAGGAGATATCATCATTGGAGGGATCTTTCCCATTCATGAAGACGTAGACAAAGAGAACACCTTCTTTGAACCCCACATACAGCCATGCATCAGGTGAGATCATTCAACCTAATATGAATGACATTATGATAAACAGCCGGGTTTTCTTTTTTTTTTTACTTTTTCAAGTTTAACCTTGACTCTTTGGATGAATCACAAAAACTCCCGAAAGGTCTCCTTTGAGTGTTAAGAATGTTAAGCAGATAGTTCAGTCCTGTACGAGACAAAATAACATGCTATTCAAGAGGTCAAAAGAGGCTTTACTTAAAGGATCAGTGTGTAGGATTTAGTGGCATCTAGTGGTGTAGATGCAATTCCCTCGCTTCCCCTCACAGTTGATGCGAAACATCCTATCTAGAGCCACTGTTTGGTTTGTCCATTCTGGGCTACTGCAGAAACATGATGAGGCAGTCTTAGCAGACTATTTGTTTAAATATCTTAATACATGTCATACAGGGGATTTTTAAAGATTGTTCTTAAAGGTCAAGTGTGTAACAGGATCTATTGTCAGAAACAGAATATTATTTAATATTCATAGGTATGTTTTCATTAGTGTATAATGACCTGAAAATAAGCGTCGCTCTGTTTTCGTTATGTTAGAATGAGACATTTTTAGCTACAGACACCGCAGGTAGCCTTCCGTTCCGTCTGCCATGTTTAACCACTGTGTTTCCACAGTAGCCCAAACCAAACACTGGCTTAGATATATTCTTTTCACAAGTTTAGCAACCACCGTAGTTTCAACTGCAGTCGGAAATAACGCCTTTAGATGCCACTGCCACACTTTAACATCCACCTACTAACTCATTTTCTGGATCTCTCAACCACATCTCAAGCTTTTCATTCATTCATGGACTTTGCTCAAACCACAGATGAAAAACGTTACATGTGATTCAAAGCTCTGAAAGAAACTTCCAAGTAAACCTTGAGTTAAGATAATTCAGTCACGCTTAAATTTACAAGATCAAAAACTAGCCTCCACACTCTTCTTTGGCTGTTGGGTAATTGACTCTATAATGCTCATAACTTATGGCTTATTTTTCATAAAGTGATAGTATGTCTGTTTGTTACATGATAACCTGCATAGTAACTAGTAGATATTACTATCAGATAATGATAGTAGAGTAGAGTGAAAAGTACAATATTTCCCTACAAAATGTAATGGAAAAAAAAGGATAGGAACAGGAAAAACAGGAAAAACAGGATAAAACAGCCTAAAATTGAAATACCCCCCACAAAACCACAATATTTGAGTAAATGTACATAGTTACATTCCATTCTACTGCTGATGCTTTTTTCTTCAAGATGTCATTTGGCTTTACAAATTTAACGTTCCTTTTTGCATCTACAGTATGCAGGTTTGACTAATTATAGTGAAAATACACAGAAGGACTGGGTGTGGGATACAGGTGTGACGTTAAGGCTGTAGCCATGGAGTCACCATTGGGGAACCAGATCAACCAGGGGGGTCTGCACTCAAATTTTGAAAACTAATTTTACTTGATAATGATGATACTGATGATGTTGATGATGATGACAATGACGACTACTATAGCTATTTCTATTAATATCATTACAACACAACTGATTTTTTTCATTAGGATGATGATGATGGTTATCTACTACCACAAACTCAATGATTATCATAATAAATTATTAGGATTTTTAAAAAACAACAACAACAACAAAGAAATCCTGGACTAACCCAGCTGTCTTGATCCGTCTGGGTTCTGCCCTGGTGCCTCTTTGTCCTCGGGGCACCCCTGCCTCACTTCTCTCCCCTCCCCTTACCTCTTTGAATTTAATTTGTGTCTCATTTCTCACGCATTTTCTCTATCTTCTCCAGTTACCTCAACCTTGAACACTACACAATCTCCGCACACACACCTACGGATATTTTAAAATTACATCTCATCTCATCTCAATTCTTAAAATATTTAAAATGTACAAACCCATGGGATGAACATTTTGACAGTCATAAACATAACACATATTACATTATATATATTATATTATAATGAAATACAGGCAGGACAGTGTTTGACATTGGTTGATGACACTGTTCTGTTCATATAGGTTTCAAAATGAAGGTCTGGCGAGGGCACTGACTATGATCAATGCCATAGAGATGATGAATAAATCCCCTCTGCTGGCTGATGTTAACGTCACTCTGGGCTACCGGGTCCTGGACTCCTGCTCTGATGTCAGCACAGCTCTAAGAGCCACAGCGGACCTCACTCAGCCAGCCAACTGCCACAGCGGGAGCCACACCTCAGCCTCTGCCCGGTCAGTCATGGCTGTTATAGGGGCCTCTCATTCTGAAACGTCCATCGCCATCGCCAGGCAACTGACTCTCAAGATGATACCTCAAGTAAGTTGTGAGAAAGAGGAAATGCTGTTAACCCAGCGAGAGAACTGAAGCAGCAGAAAAGGTTTGCATCAGCAGCTGATAAATGTTAGCTTTATCATTAAAACATTACTAACTATGTAATTAAATAAAACAGACTAAATGTGAGGCACCACAGATAAACATAAAGATAAGCTATTCTACTCACACATGTTAAAGAATAGAAATAATACTTGTGCTACAATATCTAACACAATGTATAGAATATATATATATAAAATAAAATAAAATAAAATAAATAATAAAATAAAGGCTAACATAAAATAAATCTAACAATAAACTAAATGCAACAGAATGCAAGCACTAACAGGTAACATAAGTAGAAAAGAAGAAAACAAGTAACTAAATGTGACAAAATGCAACCAAAATTTTAGTTAAACGTAGGTATATACAATATACAACAATACGCACCTTGCAGTTTAGCAGCATAAATTGAAATAAAATAAGTACAAACTAAATAAGTGATAAGGAGTGATTGGATAAAGTGGTAACAGTGGTAAAGTCATAAGAATTGTAGCAGCATTTGTTAGCAGCATAAATCAACTAAGGTACAGTACAACTAAATAAAGTGATGAGGTGATGAAGTGATGAAGTATACATACAAATATACAGTACATATAAGTAAAAAGTAAAAATAAAAATGGAAATAGAAATATAATAAGGCAATAAGAATATATACAAAGTAAATGCAACTCTACATATACAACATATTTCACAGTATGTGCTGACAGAAATTAAATAGTAATGAATTTAAGATTGTGGTGTTGCAGAAATTATATATAATTACAAATTACTGATACACCCCACCACAGCAGAGTCATCAGAAAATTTCTGAATATAAGATAAGATAAGATATTCCTTCATTTGTCCCACAGTGGGGAAATTCCAATGTTGCAGCAGCAAAGTGGATAGAGAAAAAACAGTATAAAAAACAGTAAGAGTAGGAAAATAATAAATAAAAACACTATGTACAAGAGAAAAAACAGTAAGAATCCACAAACAACAGGTAACACAAATAGTAGCAGCAGCAGTTGCACATGGGCAATAGATTGCACAGTGAATATGGAATGGTATTGCATAGTTATTATTAGCTTTGCTATTATCCTCCTCTCTCCCACCACCTGCACTGAGTGGAGGGGGCAACCCAGGACAGAGCTGGCCTTCTTAATCAGTTTGTCGAGTCTCTTCCTGTCGACTGCTGAGATATTGCTGCTCCAGCAGACCACTCCAAAGAAAATGGCTGATGCCACAACAGTATCAAAGAAAGCTATGGCAGGACTCTGTGTGGTAGTTGAAGTCTGTGGTGTAGAGGATGAAGAGGAAGGGAGAGCAGGTGCACATACTGGTCTGCCAGTCAGGTAGTTAGCGATCGAGGACACAAGGGGAGAATCCACGTCGATCGCTGTCGGCTTCTCACCCAGCAGAGCTGGCCAGAAAGTGTTGAAAGCACTGGAGAAGTAAAAAAACATGACCCTCACAGTGCTCACATGCTTGTTCAGGTGGGTGTAGATGCGATTGAGCAGGAAGATGATAGCATCCTCAACTCCCAGTTGGGGCTGGTAGGTGAACTGGAGTGGGTCTTTATATTTTGTGAACTACATGACCTGGCAATTGACTTGTGAAAGAAAGTACAATAGTTCCTCCGTTCAAATACAACGCGAAAAATTCACCGAAAATGAGCACGGAATTCACTATGGCCAACTTTGATGGCACGCCACGGACACGCCCTTCAACGTACATGCACAAATAGCACAACTTTTAATCAGAACCATTTTTTGACTGTACTCACAAATTCCGATAAATTCCCTAGGAGGAGTTGAAAGTGAAAATGAAAATCAAAATGGCAGACTTCCTGTGGGGTTTCGGGTATGGGTCCAAGAGGCTGTTTTGTACGTCCTGGCATGTTACACGGGCCTACCGAGTTTCGTACATATCGGTGAAACGTGGCGCCGGGGCTGCAGTTTTTTCATCCTATAGGGGGCGCTACAAACACAACAAACACAATTTTTGGTATGTGAGCTTCAGGCAGTACTCTTCACGTGCCCTGTGAATTTCATATTCATAACTATCACGGTCTCCGCACAGTGATTTACCATGCCACCAGAGTGCCACCTAGTGGCGGATTGTTGACAAATTTTTTAGCGAGCCTCAGGGAGCTATGGGCAAGTATCGTACCGAGTTTCATTTCAATCACACTTGCCGTTATGGAGATATAAACTTCTTCATTTTAAAGAACGCCACCTAGAGGCGATGGCCTGAAACTGTGCACGATGCCTAAGGAAGACAAGAGAAACTAAGGACCCAAGTTTGATGTCAATCAGACATACCAATGTGGAGAAATGGTCCACTTCCTTTTTTGACGAAAAATCTACAGGAAGAATTTTATAGCGTTCTTATTTTTTGAAATTTCAAAAATGTTCAAATTACTTTTTGCCAGGGCAGTCCCCAGGTGCTAGGTGAAAAATGTTGTGTGAATCGGACAAAGCGTGTAGGAGGAACACGAAAAAGTAGTTTAAGGATATTTTGCGCTCTAACGAAAAAAAATTATAGGTGGAAGTGGCCTATATGGTGAGATTCAGCTCTATTCACCGAACGTGTGGATATAAGTTTTTTGAATGTGTGACAGGGAGTTATTAGCCTAAACGCACTTTTCATGATAGTAGCGCCTCCTAGTGGCGGACCCAAAAGCGACGCATAGAATACCAAATTTTTCACCAGGCCTGACCACTTTGCCAAATAAAATTGACTTTTCGTATATGCTCAGGGGGGCAAAAATGCAATCAAAAGTGCTAAAAATAGGGAAGAATAAACGAAGCAAAAACAATAGGGACCTCCAGCGGTCGCTTGCGAGGTCCCTGATAATATCAGTAATATCAGTGGGAGTCAAGCAGGACCATGGCAGGAGGCTCCACCAGGATCCATGAGAACCTGCGAGATGAGAAAGCACAAGAACTCCGGGGAAGAAGTGAAGGTAGTAACGTGCATTAATGGGACATGAATGTGTGCAGAAAGAGAGGGAGAGGATGAGAGGACCTCAGTGCATCATGGGAGATCCCCTGGCAGTCTAGGCCTATAGCAGCATAACTAAGGGATGGTTCAGGACTCACCTGATCCAGCCCTAACTATAAGCTTTATCAAAGAGGAACATCTTAAGCCTACTCTTGAATGTGGAGAGGGTGTCTGCCTCCCGAACCACAACTGGAAGCTGGTTCCACAGGAGAGGAGCTTGGTAACTGAAGGCTCTGGCTCCTGTTCTCGGAGGTGTTTGGGGCCAGGTACAAGAACTAATTTAGATAATTGATTATTTCATCAGGCTTGATTGATAGATATAACTGGGTATCATCTGAATGACAATGAAAGTTAATGGAGTAATTCCTGCTAATGTTGCCTAAGGGCAGCATATATAATGTGAATAGAATTGGTCCAAGCACAGAACCTTGTGGAACTTCAAGACTGACTTTAGTGTTTATAGTTGTACAAACTGAGAACAGTCTGATAAGTATGACTCAAACCAGTTTAATGCAGTTCCTTGAATGCCAATTAGATGCTCAAGTCTCTGTAAAAGAATATGATGGTCAATGAATAACCAGAGCTGTCTCTGTGCTATGATGAACTCTTATTCCTGACAAAATCCTCAAATAAGCTATTGTTATATAGAAAGTCACACAACTGTTTGGCGACTACTTTCTCCAGAATCTTAGAGAGGAAGGGGAGGTTAGAAATCGGTCTATAGTTGGCTAAAACCCCTGGGTCAAGAGTGGGCTTTTTGAGAAGGGGTTTAATTACAGCTACTTTAAAGGACTGTGGTACATATCCTGATAATAAAGAAAGATTAATCATATCCAGTTAACAAATGTGCCAACTAAGGGTAAGACTTCTTTAAGCAGCCTAGTTGGGATGGGGTCTAACAGACAGGTTGATGGCTTCGATGTAGAAATTACTGAAGTTAATTGATGCAGCTTGATAGCAGAAAAACTAAATATATATCTGATTTTACATTTGTTAAAATTCCTGAACTTGGAGAGACAGCGATACCTGTTGAGGATATTGGTGATTAATTTTGCCCCTCATATTAATCATTTTATCATAAAAGAACACATACATGGCTCAATAGAGCTGTGACTCTCTGTCAGCCTGGCTACAGTGCTGAAGAGGAACCTAGGCTTATTCTTATTTTCTTCTATTAGTGCTGAATAATAGGCTCCTCTGGCATTACGGATTGCCTTTCTATATGTTTTAAGACTATCTTGCCAAACTGAACGATATTCTAATAGTTTGGAAGAGCGCCATTGCCTTTCTCTTTGCTTTAATTGGCATCTCTATAAATAACATTGCTTTTCTTTTCTCCAGATCAGTTATTCATCGACCGCTGTCATTCTGAGCGATAAGAGCCGCTTCCCCACCTTCATGAGGACCATTCCTAATGATGAGCATCAGACAGCTGCCATGGTCAGTCTGCTCAGCACCTATGGCTGGAACTGGGTGGGAATAGTTACCACAGATGGAAATTACGGCAGGTCAGCGCTTGACCACTTTGTGTCCCACGCTTCTGAAAAGGGGATGTGTGTGGCCTTCAAATCAATCCTACCTCAATCTGTAAGCAACCCTGATGTCTGCTCTGCTGTCATGCAGACTGCCAAAACCATTTACAGGAACCCCAAGGTACAGCTGGTTGTGTCCTTTGCCACGGCAACTCACATGATGTACCTATACCAGGAGCTTAAGAATCAGACGCTGAAAGCAGGACAGAACATGAGGTCAATGAGAAGAGTCTGGGTGGCCAGTGACAGCTGGTCCTCCTCCAGCTCTGTGACAGGTAACTTAACTCTGGACGACATAGGACACATTGTGGGCTTTACCTTCAAAAGGGGAGACATGTCATCATTCAGTGAGTACCTGAGCAGGCTGGAGGCGGCTGGACAGGACTACACTGAGAATAACTCCTTCATGCAGGAGTTCTACAGGCAGCTAAATGCTACTGAAGGTTCTGGATACACTGAGCTGGTGTCTAAAGCTGTGAACACCCTCAGAGAACACTCTCATGCTGCTTCTGTCTTCAGTATTGAGATGGCTGTGAGTGCTATCGCTCAGGCTGTGGCATCTATCTGCAAGAGCAGAGACTGCAAAACACCAGGCACCGTGCAACCCTGGGAGGTAATGACATACATGAGTGTGTGTTTGCATGTGTGTGCCCTTGTGTTGCATTCATAAGGTCCACATGGATTAATTTTAGGATGCGGATAAGGGTTTAGGGTTACAGGCAGCTAGGATTATGGGTAAGGTTAGATTCAGATAACAGTTGAGGGGTTAGGTTTTGGCTGTTGAGAGAGATTATTGTCACATTAAATATGATACCTCAGTATACTTACCGTAAACACAGGGTTGAGACAGCAGCCTCTTTCTCACACCTGTGGAAATGTTGGAAAGTGTTTTTCTATAGCCTATTATTACCACATTTCCCATGAAACCTGTTACTATCCAGGTCCACCTTATCTCCAAATATCCAGACTCACAGGCTTCCCAGATGATTAATTGGATTTGGACAGCTACTTTCTATAATATAACATGGGTACCAGCACTCACAAACTTGTGATGGAGAAACAGCTTAGTCTTGGTTAGGATTAGCACCCTAAAGGGCAGTTGACCATGTTTTGGCCGTTGGAAGGCCACCCAAGGGGACAATTTATTGAGTTTTATCTAGCATAGAGATATAAAAGAGGGCATTTGTCTGGTGTTTTTTTAAAACTTTTTATCCAGTTTCAAGCCACTTTTTTACCATCCACTGTTTAGATCTTGGGGGGTTTTAACTATTTTTTAACTCTAACTTTTTAACACTAACCGGGAGAAGCTAACTGCAATGACAGCAACGGTGGTGAAGACTCCCATGATCACTCTTCAGCTGTCACTATCAATTAAGATAAAAAGATCTATCTTTGTTCAGCTTTGTTGTCTTTGTTTTTAACTGTATTCTATCTTCCAGTAAATTATTCTCGGAATTGTGTATAAGTACTTCGAGAACAACTTAAAACTGGAGTCAGAACCCTTGTTGTGTACACATACCTGGCCAATAAAGCTAGTAATAAATTCTGATTAACTGATAGTGTTCTCAAGTATAGTTGTGCAGTATATACAACAGTATGCAAGTAGTGTGGTTTAATAGACTTATCCAAGGCACTGACTTGATAAATGAAATGTCTCCTGTAGGTGCTGAAAGCTCTGTGGATGCAGAAGTTTAAACTTCGAGGACAGGGCTATACGTTTGACAGCAGGGGAGACATCAACCTGGGCTATGATGTTACAATGTGGAAGTCAGATGGAGGAAGCATCTACGTCCATGATGTTGTAGCTCAGTATCACCTACACAACAACACCTTCACCTACACCAACTACAGCACCACCCGACATTTCCAGGGCCTAAAGGTAGCCCCTCATTCTGCTGCCCTGATGTCATTTTGTATAAATACAGAAACCAACACACATACTGCAGTGTCTGTTTACTGAAAACATTCAGACCGTTAAAGCTAACCTAAGCAATACTAAAAAAATATGATTTCAGTTTAAATGGACAGTATATTCAGTGTTGGTCCTATAAAAGAAGAAGTTATGTAGGATACAGTAAAACTGTAAAACATTTAATTAAATAAATAAAATAATGAATAGTCTTTAATCATTGTCTCTCCTCGTTTCCCTCAGCACATCATCTCAAAATGCTCCAATAGCTGTGTCCCTGGAGAGTTCAAGAAAACGGCTGAGGGTCAACACACCTGTTGTTATGAATGCATCAACTGCACTGAGAACTACTACTCTAATAATACAGGTAAGGCCACTCATACACACATTCCATGCACAACAGTTAATACCCATGCTTTGGTTAAAGGACCAGTGTTTAGTGGCCTCTAGAGGTGAAGTGAAGTTGCATATAGCCATATCTCAGCCAACTATCAGTATGACGATAGCTGGTCCTATTCTGGCCCAATGTTAAACCAGAGGAGAGGAAGAGAGATTGTCTGACAAATAATATTTTACAGTTTTCAAATGGTGTGATGTGAAAATCAGTCATCCGGGCCAAATATGGCCAGTGTGTGCATTAATGAAGTGGCTTGGTTAAGGTTGAGTCAAAGTTGACATCTAGAACCAGTGCTGCAACTTGTCTAGTCCAACATACAGTTGAGATATGGCTATATCATGGGCTATTTGTGGCTACCACATCTGGACCACCCGTGGACCATAACTCATTGCTGTATCTGGGCCAAATGTAAGTGGGATGTCACTGTACCAGACTAATTTTGCTATGTGGATTAAGAGAAGAAACATCTTCAAGACTAAAACAATCCAGTTGACTTCTAGCTTACCTGGGTTATTCTCATCAAGCTATGATGTGTATGTTAGCTGATTATCCAGATTAGGTTTGGAATTCTTTGTGCACAGAGCCTGCATGTGGTTGTTTTATTCTTTACCTGTGCTCCTTCATCCCTGCAGATATGGACCAGTGTTTGAGCTGTGACACAAACACAGAGTGGTCTCCAAAGGGCAGTTCCAGCTGCATCCCCAAAACCCTGCTCTTCTTCTCCTGGCAGAACGGCTTTGCTGTGGTGCTCCTGACATTTTCTGCCCTGGGCATCCTCCTGACTGTGCTGGTGTCAGCTTTGTTCCTACATCAGCGGGACACCCCTGTAGTGAAGGCTGCCGGAGGGCCACTTAGCCAGACCATCCTGTTCTCTGTGGTCATCAGTTACATCAGTGCCATGCTGTTTGTTGGCCGGCCCAACAGCCTCCAATGCAAGGCACGACAGGTGCTCTTTGGCATCAGCTTCACTCTGTGTGTCTCCTGTATCCTGGTCAAGACCCTGCATATCCTGCTAGCCTTCCAGTTTGACCCTAAACTGCAGGAGGTTCTGCGGAGGCTCTACCAGCCTTACATCATCGTCAGCATCTGCGTGGCCTTACAGGTAACTACCTGCATCTGCTGGCTGGTCCTCAAAAGCCCATATAATCACATCATCAGGCTTCCAACCAGTCTGCTGGAGGACTGTCATGAAGGCTCATATTTGGCCTTCGGGGTGATGCTGGGCTACATAGCTGTTCTGGCTTTTGTGTGTTTCATCTGCGCCTTCAAAGGACGCAAACTGCCACAGCACTACAATGAGGCAAAGTTCATCACCTTCAGCATGCTGCTCTACCTCATCTCGTGGCTGCTCTTTGTTCCTGTCTACGTCACCACTTCAGGAGTGTACCTACCAGCTGTGGAGATGGTTGTCATTCTCATCTCCAACTTCGGCATCCTGAGCTGTCATTTTTTCCCAAAGTGCTATATAATCCTTTTTAAGAAGGAACAAAACACCAAGAGTGCTTTCAGGAAGAATCTGTATGAATACTCGAGCAAAACCACAGACTCCGTCTCTGTGTCTGGGAGCTCAGTGTCAGAGCGACAGTCCAGCACTGGTCAGCACTTTGTCATCAGTGCCTCGTCGCTCTCTGTACCTGCAGCCAATCCTTTCAAAACTGCTATGGTGACAAACTGCAGAGAGCAGACTAGCTGCACAAGTTTGCACAGAGGTTCAATCTCACGACACTGCCTCAGAAGAAGCACCAGCATATAAACTTTTCATATAAGCTTCTCAACCAAAATCCATTATATTGAACTGTACATTTTGAAAGTTCTTAATGACTATACTGTACATTTAAAAAGATGTATCTATGTTTTTCAGAAGTAAGAAGTCAAACGTATTTTCTGTTTTGTGCTCTATTTGTCATTGTGAGAATATATATCCTAAAATAAAACAAAGCAAAAACTACAGCGGCAGAATCATTTACCTGGGGCGTTTCAGCAAATCAAATGTAATGTGTATCCCAGTGGCTTTGACATGGTCAGATTACATAAATGAGGTCTGGGATAATCCCATCATTATATAAATAACTACTAAAAAATAATGAGGCTCATGAGAAAACACCAAAAGAATTAGGGTGTGGATTATTTTGAATAATCTTGTGTATCTTGGTCATGATTTCTGATGATGAGACATTGTTGTTGTATGTCTGTAATGTAGTTTTCGGGCGCTTTAAGTACCACAAGTTGAGTGTGTCTGGTACCATTAAATTGTAGAGAAGGCCTCTATAGCGTATATGTCCAAACCTCGACAACTCACACCAAAACAATCAATAGAATAGATGAATAAATAGCACCACAGATAAGAGAAAAAATGTGTATTGTCCTGTCCCTTTAACTTGAAAGTTTGTACATGCACACATACATGATCAATAAAATCTGGATGTATGTCATGTCAGGATGAGAATGGATACAGCAGACATCAGTGCTAACACAGGGATCAGTGTCTGCAGACTGTTAGTGTGTGTTTACTGACTCCAACCAATCACCCAGCGCCTTGGCTTCAGGCCTGTGATGGTAACAACTGAATAGTTGCCATTTTGAGACACGGTCAATGAGCCACAATTGTCTGAAGCACTGAGGGGATTTGACCACAATTGCCACCCAGCATCAATCATGTCTGCGTGACAGCAAGTCAGGAAGGTTGAGAAACTTTCCTCTCACTTAAATGCTTTCTGTGATGATTGATGCTGAAGTTTAAGGACATGTAAGAATGAGGAAGAACTAACAAAACCTGCACAACAGTTGAGACACACAATCAATAGTGGATTCTATTAATACCCACTGCTCAAGTCAGTCATCAAAGGTGCTTAACATACATACATCACTTTTGTCAGATCTTATGATATCTAACCTTGCTGATAGTGTCAATAACATGCGATCCATAAGATATACCTCTGAAAAACCATCCTCCATGGAGGTCAATGGAACTTTTTAGTGCTGCTCAGAACATTGAATCTTTATTCAACAGCAACGGGTCATGTTACTGGGTTGTAAGACAATATCAATACACTGGAGTATTGCAATATTTTGTTTTGTTATATTGTATTGATTCTCAGAAACACTATCGATTTGTGTGTTTAAACCCCCAACTGTTATGTAACTGTTAAAACTGAGGGCTATGACGTTGGATGTTACAGTGACTACACAACTATTTTTAATGCATATGGTGGCGTGTTCTTTATATGACAGTTTTCTAAAAAATTAAATGTTATATATTTTGCAATATATCACCTTGCTAACAATATCGCAGTATATCACAATATATATCATCGTAAACCCTGTATCGTGATACGTATCGTATCGCTGGATTCCTGCCAATACACAGCCCCTAGATAGATTCAGCCCCCTGGCATCACCCTCTTTGATGCTGCTTCCCTAGCATACCACTACGAACAGCAGCTTGAAGGTAGTTTATTGTTGAGTGTCATTCCCAAAGCATTGATATTGGAGAACCTGGGAATGAGACTCCACAATAAACTGTCTTTCTTGTCTCTGATTGGTTACAGCAAAACAATCTTAACTTCTGAAAGAATAAAAAACACTACGTTTTGTCTGGTCTGGTCTGGTCTAACCAGTAGTTTATAGTGACTTCTGCCAGCCAATTTGAGCAAACTTAATATAGACGGTGGTAATAAGGTGGTTCAATTCACTGATTTTATGACTACTTTATTTTTAGCATTCATTCCTAATGCGATAACTCTACTCAATTCATAAGCACCTCTTACACTGGAACCATGTCCATTATTGTTCTTTGTATTGTGCATGTTGTGTTATTTATTATTGTCTACATTGTGATTTACAATTATATGTTTTAACCTACCTGTGAAGCAAAAGGCAACTTTCAACATTTGTGGACAATAAAGATTATTATTATTATTATTATTATTATTATTATTATTATTTTATTATTATTATAAATATCCTGTAATGGTGTCTTAAGGGGAGAGCTACAGTTGAATATGGTAAAAATGTTAAACTAATAGCTATCAATATGAAATTCTACTCCAGTTTACATACATTCCCAGAACAGAATCCAGGTTCCAAATGTGTGTGTTTCACTTGTTGACGTATTAGAGCCATTAGTCTGAAAAAACATGTATCTTAAATCTCAAAACTGACCAGTGAATAAAAAAGTTTTTGCCTGTGGTGTCTATAAGGCCACACTGGCTGTTGCACAATAAAAGTTATCAAGTTGTCAAGACAAGTTCTTCAGGGTGATAGAGAATGTTGGGTAAACTCCAAAACCTGACCTCCATCCAACTTAGCATGTGTTTCACCTGCCCAAGGGCAAAAACCCTGCAAAACAAGCAAGTAGTGAAGGTGACAGCAGTACAGGCTTGTCTGCAGCTAAATGGACGAAATATACAGTGGGTACGGAAAGTATTCAGACCCCTTTAAAATGTTCACTCTTTGTTTCATTGCAGCCATTTGCTAAAATCAAAAAAGTTCATTTTATTTCTCATTAATGTACACTCAGCACCCCATCTTGACAGAAAAAAACAGAAATGTAGAATTTTTTGCAAATTTATTAAAAAAGAAAAACTGAAATATCACATGGTCATAAGTATTCAGACCCTTTGCTGTGACACTCATATTTAACTCACATGCTGTCCATTTCTTCTGATCCTCCTTGAGATGGTCCTGCTCCTTCATTGGAGTCTAGCTGTGTTTAATTAAACTGATTGGACTTGATTAGGAAAGGCACACACCTGTCTATATAAGACCTTACAGCTCACAGTGCATGTCAGAGCAAATGAGAATCATGAGGTCGAAGGAACTGCCCAAGGAGCTCAGAGACAGAATTGTGGCAAGGCACAGATCTGGCCAAGGTTACAAAAGAATTTCTGCAGCACTCAAGGTTCCTAAGAGCACCGTGGCCTCCATAATCCTTAAATGGAAGAAGTTTGGGACGACCAGAACTCTTCCTAGACCTGGCCGTCCAGCCAAACTGAGCAATCGTGGGAGAAGAGCCTTGGTGAGAGAGGTAAAGAAGAACCCAAAGATCACTGTGGCTGAGCTCCAGAGATGCAGTAGGGAGATGGGAGAAAGTTCCACAAAGTCAACTATCACTGCAGCCCTGCACCAGTCGGGGCTTTATGGCAGAGTGGCCCGACGGAAGCCTCTCCTCAGTGCAAGACATATGAAAGCCTGCATAGAGTTTGCCAAAAAACACATGAAGGACTCCCAGACTATGAGAAATAAGATTCTCTGGTCTGATGAGACCAAGATTGAACTTTTTGGCGTTAATTCTAAGCGGTATGTGTGGAGAAAACCAGGCACTGCTCATCACCTGCCCAATACAATCCCAACAGTGAAACATGGTGGTGGCAGCATCAGGCTATGGGGATGTTTTTCAGCTGCAGGGACAGGACGACTGGTTGCAATTGAAGGAAAGATGAATGCGGCCAAGTACAGAGATATCCTGGAAGAAAACCTCTTCCAGAGTGCTCAGGACCTCAGACTGGGCCGAAGGTTCACCTTCCAACAAGACAATAACCCTAAGCACACAGCTAAAAAAGGAGTGGCTTCGGAACAACTCTGTGACCATTCTTGACTGGCCCAGCCAGAGCCCTGACCTAAACCCAATTGAGCATCTCTGGAGAGATCTGAAAATGGCTGTCCACCAACAATCACCATCCAACCTGACAGAACTGGAGAGGATCTGCAAGGAAGAATGGAAGAGGATCCCTAAATCCAGGTGTGAAAAACTTGTTGCATCATTCCCAAGAAGACTCATGGCTGTAGTAGCTCAAAAGGGTGCTTCTACTCAATACTGAGCAAAGGGTCTGAATACTTATGACCATGTGATATTTCAGTTTTTCTTTTTTAATAAATTTGCAAAAATTTCTACATTTCTGTTTTTTTTTTTTTTTCTGTCAAGATGGGGTGCTGAGTGTATATTAATGAGAAATAAAATGAACTTTTTTGATTTTAGCAAATGGCTGCAATGAAACAAAGAGTGAAAAAGGTCTGAATACTTTCCGTACCCACTGTATATGTCTGATGGTGGCTGACAGTCTCACTGCGTTCAGTCTGAATGTTTCACAGCAATCGGATTAACATTTACAATAAAAGTGATTCCTCCTTACCTTAAGTGATACTCCACATGCAATACGTAACTTTTTTTGCAGTGGCCAGTAGCTCCTAAGTTGTTTTAATGTGTTTTGGGGGTTTTTTCAGCTTGATTGCTGAAACCTCATTAAATGATGTCTCATTGGGTTTAATTTTTTAGGGCCAAAATTGTTCAAATGGACTGGATCAGGAGATTGTGACCATGGTAACAGATGTATATACAGATGCTGACAGAGTGCAGGATGAGAGTGTGTTTGTGTTTACATGGATGATGCTTGATACTCAAACTCAGTCAAAGTGGATGACACTGACATAAATTCAAAAAATACACTGCAGAATTATTTCCTGGACATATATGTGTATGTATATAAATAACTTTATTTTGGTTTATTTTATTTTATGTTATTCTAATAGAAATGTAATTATCTGTTATATGTGTAGCATGAAGTGACTATAAACTTTTATTTTGTTGTACAGCCTTGTGTTGCATAATGATAAATGCATTTCCTTGCTTGATTTAAATAGATGCTGTTCACTCAGCAACGGATATATGGCTTCTGTTGGGAAAGCAACCTTCTGCCGAACACTTCTGCATCTTTAAAACAGAGACAGAAAGCAGGAGGTAATGGCCTCATATCTACTGGGTGCTCTCATGGAAGTGAATCCTGCGGGTTTTAACAGCTCACTTCCAAGAATATGATGTCTCTGTTTTGACAGCTACACACGCTCAGTTTGTTTTCTCTTCTAGACTTGTTTGCTCTGCTTTATCAGTCAGTGAAGATTATTTGATCTGCTAACACAGTAATGTACACGCATTCAAAAATGAAGTATCCTTAATAAGGAGGTTCATACACCACACAACTTAAAATGACGTTGGAGACAATGAATCCACTGTATGAAAGCAACCGTGTCAGCCTTTTATGAGAGGGTAAACAGCCTCAGGCTTGCTAGTCATTCAGTTTCATCCAAGCTGAAAATCCCCAGCTCTAAACTGGTCAGTCTGGTTGTGCAACCAAAATAAGACTATAGGAAGGAAGAGGAGAACCATAACAACTTTAAATATTAGATGGCACACCAGCTTCCCGTAAACCCTTTTCAATGTGGCAGTATCTTTGTTATTTTAGTAGGTGGGCCTTTATGAAAACTGGGTCTCCATTTGTTGCACAAAATAAGGCCCCAAGACCACAATCGAATGACTGCGGGCAGAACAGGAGCCTGAGAGCTCAACAGAAACTTGAAATTCTCTCATAGCTGTGAGGAATGCAAAATGCTCCCAGCAACAAATACCACTCTGTAATGGGATATATGTGAGCTGAGATTCCACCGTCTTGTAATCGTCACTGATACTGAAGGACATATTCACTTTCAACAATAGACAGACTGACATTGTCCCATTGATTCTTCTGACGTGTGTAGAGATGACAGGAGGACTGTTTGTATTATTTAATGTTAGTTCATATGCTCATATTTATATTCATAGATGAGTCCCAAAATGTTTTGCCCTCTTAATTGTAAAGACAAAATCACAAAAATTATTTTACATAATTTATACCATTCCTATTAGTTCTTTTGATTATTTTGTTATCACTTTGTAATATCCTTTCTATATTATTACTAATGGCTTATTAGTGGTTATTAAAGTGGTTCAAGATACTGAACCTGTGCACCTGTCTGTCTGTCTCTCGCTCTCTCTCTCTCTCTCTCACCCCAACTGGTCGAGACAGACGACCACCCACCTAGAGCCTGAGGATCTGTCCTAGGTTTCTGCCTTTTAACAGGTAGTGTTTCCTTGCCCTTGTCTCCAAGTGCTTGCTCATGGTGGTACTGTTGGGTCTCTGTAATTAATGTTATAAAGAGTTCGGTCTAGACCTGCTCTATTTGAAAAGTGTCCTGAGATAACTTCTGTTATGAATTGGCGCTATACAAATAAAATTGAATTGAATTGAACCCCAAATTGCTCCTGATGCTGCGTCATCGGTGTTGGACTGTGAATGAGTGAGTTAGTTCTTTGCCATCACTGTGTGAATGTGAGAATGTGGCATGTAGTTTAAAAGCGCTTTGAGAGGTCGGAAGACTAGAAAGGCGCTATACAGGTCCATTTACCATTCATGGACAATTCATTCAAAGTGAAAATGTAGAAAGAACAGCAGAGGTGAACAGTTTATGGTAGATCTCTGAATGTTATGTTATGACAAATGCCACATATTAAACATGTTTCTCTGGCACTTGACATTTATCCAATAAAATTGTGTGCAAATCATATCATACAGTAACATCATACAGTAACAACTGACAGGGTATTATAAGTAGAAATTGCATAATTGTGCTGTTGTTAAATTGCACAAACTTCATATCTCAGGATCACGTAATGCACAACATTCACTGCAAACACACTACCATTCATAGGAGGGGGGCCTTTTAGACAGAGTACTTTAATATTTATATACTTTATTTAAAGGTCCAGTGTGTTGTGGCTATTATCGTCTTCGTCATCATTTTTACTAGTATTGTTGTTGCTGTGCACCCTTGTCTGTCTCTGTCCATTCTCTCTTTACCACCCATCCCCTCTCCCTCTCTCCCTAAACCCAACTGGTCGAGGTTGGGTCGAGAACAGAACAGAACTCATCTCATTCAATGTAACCCGGTTCAATGGATGAAGTATGTATATCTGTTTCCAATGACTTCATGATCTCTGTTTATGTAATTATCCTGTCAGAGGTTTCTGCCTCTTAAAAGGCAGTGTTTCCTTGCCCTTGTCGCCAAGTGCTTGCTCATTGTGGTACTGTTGGGTTTCTGTAAATAATGTTATAAAGAGTTCGGTCTAGACCTGCTCTATTTGAAAAGTGTCCTGAGATAACTTCTGTTATGAATTGGCGCTATACAAATAAAATTGAATTGAATACATAAAAACATCAATACTAAACATCAAACTAAAAACAAATACAATGAAAACGTACCTTTTAATTATATTATTGTATACCTCTTTTATTTATCTATACAGTTTAAAGTTTCAGGAACAGTGCACATCAATAGATATTTCTTTAAATGTGCCAATTTAGTCATTTTCATTTAGAGGTCTTACAAAGGTCCAGTGTGTGACATTTAGGAGGATCTATTGGCAGAAATGGAATATAATATTCATAGGTATGTTTTCATTGGTGTATAACATGAAAATAAGATTTGTGTTTTTGTTACCTTAGAATTTCTATCTACAGACACTCCACCACTGTTTCTACAGTAGCCCAGAACAGACAAACCAAACACTGGCTGTAGATAGGGGCATTCACAGTGACCTTAGCTTCTCCTTTACACACTTGGAAGAGGAGGGTGAAACATTTCAGTTGCAATCTGCCACTCCATTAGTTGCCGCTAAATCCACACACTGGACCTTAAATATCCAGTTAATCATTTGATAAACGGATTATGTGTTTTGGGTAAAAACAGTTGATCTGGAAACCAACAGGTAACTGAAGTGGACATACAAGTACCTCAACTGTACTTAAGTATAATGTTTGAGTAAATGTACTTCAATCCGACAACAGCAAAACATTCAGTCAGTTCAACAGCGAATGGGACAGTCAATCAGTATGAGAACCTTCCTAAAGAAAAGACAAATAAGCTGTAATGCAAGTGTGTATGTTTGTATCCAACAGGTCAATTTATTAACTCTTGTTACACAATATACGTGTGCATCCCCACCCAGAAGAACCAGGCATCATTACAGACAGTCTAACCCGGCTTCACTGTCGGACCTCTGTGATCCGTGTTAGGAAGCGCAGACTGTGGCTGCATACAGTAATTCACTCTGTACACAGGCTGCTGGAGCTCTAATACACAATGTCTACTGAGAGCCACAAGAACACAGCAAATTAATTCCCAAACAAGAGAAAACAAAAACACTACCAAAACCTAAAAAATGATATACAATCATACAAACCAGAAATATTAGAAAACTATACACGATTGAATGTGCTTGATGTAATTTCTGCATTACAAATATTTTTCATTTCACGTAAATATAGATTAATTTCATGTTCGGTTCTCCACCAATTACTGTACTCAAATGTGCACGCACTGAAACAAAAACTCATGGTTCAGGGGAAAACAAAACACTGTGCTTCCATCGTAAGACTTCAAACCACAAAATCGGGACACGAAAAAAAAATGTAGGAGACAAACTTCCTCAAAATAAATCAGAAACTTTCAGGGGTGCATAAAGGAGAAGCAGTGATGGACTGGAAATGGTACAACTGCACACCAGTCCCAAAACGTAATTGCATATCACACCTTCCCACAGCCACTTAAATACTTTCTTTACACTTTCTTATATGTATATATAATATACAAACCCTCCAGTTAGTTGACGAATCCCATCACATCAAAGAAGTGAGTGCAGGCAGAAAAAATAATTTAAGATATATTACGGTGCTAGTTCAGTGAGAAATTAGAAAACAGAACATTTAACTAGCAAGATTGTTGCACACACTGCATCATGTAACAGACAGCACCTGTCTTGCCCTGATACTGCTCTCTGAAAACATTTAAAATAAGCAGCGAAACACTAGCAAAGAGCCAACACTGTTAGAGATTTCAAACTAACTTACATAATCCAGGAAGCAGTTGCCTTTGGTCAGAGCTAAGGGGTGGAGAAGAGAAAGAGGAGGTTCTCCACAGCTCCTAAAAGACAAATAAATAAAAGACCCGGAGGGTGCTTCAGGTGCTCATCGAGTCCTTTGAAATATACAGGAGAAGAGAAAGAGCCCAGAGACCATGTGCAGCTGCTTCAGACTGACAGTATGGCAACACCAGGACATACAGTAGTACTGTATTTACATCCACTACATGCCTATAGACTTCTGACAGGGGAGCCACCACACCACCAATCTGAACACCCAGGATTTTATTCAAGATTGGATCATAATAAAAGAAAAAAAATCAGTCTGATGCTTTATCTGTTCATTTAGGGCTTTTCTTCTTTCCTTCCTTCCTTCCTTCCTTCTGGTTCCTTTCTGAAGACTGAGAGGTAGTTTCACATTGAAAAAGGGATATGGATGCTGATTTGGAGACACCAGGTTCTAATTGTAACACAAATATCATTAACATCATTCAGAATGACAGAATCACAGGTAGTCAAAGGAAAAGCATACTGTATCACTAAGGAAAAAACTGAACTATTTCTTCAACATGAATTGGCTTTCCATGACAGACATCTCATGAGTGGGATGGGAACCAGCATTAGGTTCCTGAAGTCTCAAACAGCCTCAGCGAGCCAAATGTGCTCTCACCTTTCGTCTCCATATTCACAAATCTCTCTCCCTATCTCTCTGAGTAGGTGTTGTTGTGAAGACATAGTAGAAGTGAAGGTCTTGGGAGGAGCTGGTGGAGCTGGCCGCCCAGCAGAGATAAGGGGAGGAACCAGGAGAGTTTGCAGACCAGTAGGCCGCCGTCTCTGGCAGAGATTTAGAGACCAGGAAGAAGAAGCAGCTGTGGAGTTAAGGCGGGGTTAAAGCTGGAAACCCTCCATGGGTCCTTCCTGTTGCTGGAAGACGAACTGGCCTTGACTCTGGTCCACCTGTGGAGCCAGGCTGGCGTCCTCCTCCTCCACCCCGAAGTAGTGTTCGATCAGGTCGAAGGCCTTCTGGTAGATCTCCTGGTTCTCATGGCTCTGCAGGAACTCAATCTTGTCCAGGCCTGAAGGAGTGACCCAAATATACACAGCTCATTTCTAACTATAATTCACAAAGCTAAAGTTTAACAGGATCAACTGTAGAGTGAGTAATGCTACAACTGTCTTTAGCAACAAGTTTCAAAACCTGTACCCCTTTGAGATATTTCCTGAATTACATTAACATTTTGTTCATTTTAAAGGCAAAGTTTTCTCACTCTCATACTCCTTCTGTCTGTGTTACTATCACTGCCTTTCTGAACTGTGTGTGCATATTAGTGCATGCAAGTCCCTCCATGTGTAACTGAGTAGAGCAACTGAAACTGCAGTTTTTAAATCACCTATGTCTGTGAATTAAGGATTTATTTCCACCAAACCAGAGTTGGTGATTGTTGGAACAGATTAACAGACTGTTTCGGTGAGTTTCATTTTATTTCTGTCCACTTTGAATAAAGTTAGGATGTTACAATTATACACAGGTGAGTGATAGTGATAATACGGCTGTTTGTGGTTAAACTAAAAGGTCTATCTCTGTAGGGATCCTTTCATAATGCTGTCAGACACTGACAATAACAATCAAAAACAACAACTTTTAGTGGATGGACTCGTGTCCCATTAGTTTAGCTGTAGCTCACACGTTTATCCGAGGTAGAATTACTGGTTTTCTCAATGGAGTCTGGTTAGCCGTAGCACCCATTGTTTTGGTCTGAGATGCTGGTGCTCTTGTGAATTATTATTTATTATTTTATTATTATATAATTATTAGTCAGCCATTCAACTATGTCTTTATTAATTAACAATTTCATTACTCAATGTCTCACCCACACACAATATAAATGTATTGTACAAAGAAACCTAATCAGATTATAAAAGCTGAGTGTAACTGCAGAATTGTTGGCACACGGATGTATTTCTGGTAAAAATGTAGATTCTTGTCATGTGTCTAAGAAGTGAATGGAAGTGTTTATTTTGTTATGTGAGTTGTTTCAGAACTGTACCATAAGCCTCTTCAATGAGAGCGCAGTATGGGTTGATGCCGGTTCCATTCTGTTTGGCCTCCTGTTCTCCCAGTCTGAGGATGTTCTCCAGGCCATTCAGAGACACCTGTACGATCTTTGAGTCCATTACTGTTAGCAGGTCACACATGGGTTTGATGGCATTCAGAGACACCAGATACCTGTTCACACAAAGAAAAACGTTCATTTCAAATAGTAAACTATCATTGCTGCATTCCTATAATGCCTGCTAATGTTGAGGGACGTGTCAAATTCTCAGTGTTCTTCTGCTTTAAGTACATCGCAGAGAACCCGTGTTGAAGTCTGGTAAACGTACCTTATCTGTGCAGGAGTGCCACCCGAGGTGGCATTAGTAATGGCCCACGCTGCCTCCTTCCTCGTGCGGAACTCTGCCTTCTGAAGGATCTCAATCAGTACTGGGAAGATGTTGGCATCAATCACATTCTGACAAGAGAAGAAATAGTGTCAGCTACACAGACATACAGCAGCAGCCCTTCTCTCCAGACGACCCTCTATACCAGTGGTTCTCAAACTTTTTCCTGGAGTGGTTAATGTTGCTTGAAATACGATTAATGCGTTTTGACTGCAGCTTATGTTAAGTTTTAAAAACAAGTGCAGGTTACAGCATCGTCTGAAACCTCTCTAAAATGTATCCTAATAGAAATCCCTTCTGCAATCAGATCCATATAACCTCAGTACTATCCATATAACAGTATGTAGAAATTAGGCAATAAATATCATCTTTAAAAGTAACTTTGTACCTTGGTTAATGTTTATACTGTATATGTATTGCACAGGTTCTATTTATTTTTCTGTGTCCGTATTGTAATAACTTATGTAATTTATATTCAGTTCACTACTGTTTGTTAAATAAAATATCAATAAATGGTAAATGGACCAACAACCTTCCGATTAGTGGACGACCCGCTCTGCCTCTGAGCCACAGCCACCCCAATAAACAGACATAATAAAAAAAAAAACAAGTGCAGTCTCTGGGATTTTGTGCTTCTGTTCCTAGGATAGGAAATGCCTAACTTTTTAGAAAAATAAGAATTCCTACAGTGCACTATACGCAGATGAGGCAGCCTTTACCTGAATCTGAGCTCTGTTTCCTGCTGTGATGTTGGACACAGTCCAGCACGCCTCCTTCTTGATGGACTCCTTGGGACTGCTGAGGAGGTGGAGTAAACATGGCAGTGCTGAACAGTTCAAGATTACCTGAGATGACACATACATGATACAAACAGACATCAACGTTAAATTCTGTAAGTGAACCCTTACAAATAAATCCATAAAGACATAAAGTGAGGGAACCAGTAGCTGCTGTGAGTAAGTGAGCCTCTACCTGAGTCTGGATGTCATCTCCTGTTACAATGTTGCCCACCGCTCGCAGAGCAGGAGAAACAACCTTATAGTCACTGTGCCTAGAAAAAACACAAAGAAACATTTACACATTGGACAGCAAAAGCTATTGATAGTGAAGATTTTATGTTAAAATGTTTTGGCAAATCTTACATTTTCAGACATTAAGAGACAAACCATTCAATAAAAAGATGTTCAGTTTGTGCAGTAATGAACAACATCATGTGTCTCTACATGAATCAGCTCAAAATAGTGCAAAACTATGTCCAAATATGGACATTTACTAGTTTTCTTGATTGATCCAGGTTCAAATCTGGACATTTCAGTGCAAAGTATTTAAATTCTACATATTGTGTTAGAAATATGCAGAGCAAACTGCATATTTGCAAGTGATAGTTGACAGTTCAGCTTGGTCAGTTCTTCCTCTAATGAATCAGGAAATGACTACTCCCCTATAATGTGGAACTGCCAGTTCCTTACATGAGTAGCTCCACTAGTCTGCGGCAGACCCCGGAGTCAATGACCGTCTGGATCTTCTCATTGGGGCCGTCAGACAGGTAGGACAAAGCCCAGCAAGCATCAGCAAGAACATCTGGATCACTGCTGAACAGAAGCCTGGACAGCACGCTGAGACAAGGAGACACCTGACACACACCACACACAAGGACAACAAAGACACAGTTTAATACCAAAGGTGGATGAACGCTGCAGGCGAATGGGCAAATAGGCTATGACATGTAGATTCACCTTGGCAAAATCCGGTGGGGGGTTCTTCCCTCTGCAGAGGTTGGACAGAGCCCACACTGCATTGCGGGTTGTTGTGAGGCGGTTGGATTTAGCGAGCAGCCTGGACGTGAAAACACAGGATCCAGTTGTTATCACATAGTATCCTACGCATTCAGACAGAGAGAGGAAGGACACTTACTGTTGTAGAGACGGCAGGATGCCACAGTTGAGCACGTAGTCTCTGCACTCAGCATTATCTCCCGCTATGTTGCCCAAAGCCCACACCGCCTGAAACACAAGACACACTCAGTGTCCCAGTGGACTATGAGGGCTGAACGATGATTATGTCTTAAACTGCAGATCCCATCATGTAGACTACTAAAACTAAACACTATAGATGTAAAATTAAATGTTTATTCAACTGCACAAACTGTTTCTCACTGACAAATGATAGCCCGGGGATTTATTAAGAAGAACTGGATATGATGTTAGAGCCCTCTGTTAACTTGGATGGAGATAAAAAGAATGATGAATTGTTTGGCTACTCTAGACTTTCCACGTTATCGGACCAAATGAATGACATTCTGTATCTTTAGAATTGCTAAAGTTTAATGCTGGAGTTTGTAGAATACCAACTGTTAAAATAATTTTAGGTTTTATTTTTTTATGTGAATTTGTATGGTGGCTGACAAGGGCAAACGCACTTCGAACGGCAAAACGCTGCAAACACGGCAATGATTAAAAACCCAAAACACACAAAACAAATAAAACTGAAAAATGCTGCAATCACAGCAACGAAGCAGAAGCAAAAACTTACTAACCCACAAAATCAATGCCAGAGAGAAACGCTGCAAATTCACTTGACAAAACGGAAGTGCGGCAGGCCACTAGGGGGACCCGACCTGAGGGATGGACCAGTCCTGTGGGACCAGACCCAAAAGAAGAAGAAGAAGAAGAAGAAGAAGAAGAAGAAGAAGAAGAAGAAGAAGAAGAAGAAGAAGAAGAAGAAGAAGAAGAAGAAGAAGGTTGGCTACGTTTTGGAGAGGAAAGTAAAAAGGTACGTATGTCTTTTTTAAACACTTGGCCGTAATCCTTTATAATATTATAATATAATTATGATATTATAATAATATAACATAATTATAATAATTCTATTTTATTTTTCTAATAATATAATATTATAGAAGAATATTATAATAATATTATAAAATTCTTCTATAATATTAAATAGTATTAAATAACATAATTATAATATTATAAAAGATTACGGCCAAGGAAAATGTACCTTTTTACTCTCCTCTCCAAAACTTAGCCAACTTTCTTCCTCTTCTTCTTCTTGTCTTTTGGGTCTGGTTGCACAGGACTGGTCCATCCCTCAGGTCGGGTCCCCCTAGTGGCCTGCCGCACTTCCGATTTGTCAAGTGAATTTGCAGCGTGTCTATCTGGCAGTTGTTTTGTGGGTTTGTAAGTTTTTGCTTCTGCTTAGTTTCTGTGATTGCAGCATTTTTCTGTTGCTGCGTTTTTCTGTTGGATTTGTTTTATGTGTTTGTGGATTTGCATCATTCCATTGCAGCGTTTTGCCCTTTACGGCGCGTTTGCCCTTGTCGGCCACCGTCATGTATTGTCATGTATAATTTTTTTTTGTGTTTATTTATATTAATAATTTTAAGTAAACTTTGAACTGTTAACATTTAATATATTGTTCAATTTCAAGTTCAAATTTGCCTTAGTAATAAAAGCCTTACCTTAATGTCGCTGACCAAAACTGACAAATCACAGATCTTCATGACATTGAGAAAAAATAAATAAATGAATAAATAATCGACAAATTCCAATAATGGCATAAATTTGCCATGCTCATTGATTTACAACATGGTTTAGTACAACCAATAAAAAAAAAAAAGTGTCACTCTTTCATGGTACATATCGTTGGATCGTCCACCTATAAGTTTTGTGTTTGTACAGTCAGGTGTAGAAAGGTTTCCTGAGTGGGGACAGAAGTATCAGCCATCTACCTTACAACCTATATGATATCTAGCACAGGTTCATTCCTTTTCACCAGACAGCTATTACACAATACAAGCGATAACAGTAATAATGCATTTTGAGGCCAGAACTTCAACACTGCACACAGAAAGCATTACAACTGTGTTTACAATATGTCATCTTGTTGCTCTCACCTGTTCCTGGACGTCCTCGTACTCAGAGTTCAGCAGCTCAATAAAGATGGGAACAGCTCCTGTTTCAATCACCACCTTGGTGTGCAGGAAAGTACCTGAGGCAATGTTGGTCAGTGCCCAGGCTGCCTCAAACTGTTGGGAACACACAAAAAAGGCATTTCAGTCAATCCACAGTCTGAAATTACCACCAGCCAAGTGACCATGTTTCCTATGCCATATTTACTTGATGATTAATTACAAATAGTTTAAGCAATATGGAACATTATGTAAAAAAAAAAAAAACATGAATTACTTTGACTGGTGCAAGTTATTCTAGGTAAGAACATTTAAGATGGTGAACCATCCCTTAGTTATGCTGCTAATAGGCCTAGACTATCGGGGGATTTCCCATGGTGCACTGAGCTCCTCTCTTCCTCTCTCTTTCTGCACTCATTCATGTCCCATTAATGCATGTTACTAACTTCACTTCTTCCCCGGAGTTCTTGTGCTTTCTTGTCTCGCAGGTTCTTATGGATCCTGGTGGAGCCTCCTGCCATGGTCCTGCTAGATTGCCATTGCCAACCAATACTTTTGTTGCTGTGTGTCTGTCTGTCTGTCTGTCTGTCCCACTGGTCGAGACAGACGACCACCCACCTAGAGCCGAAGGGTCTGTCCTAGGTTTCTACCTGTTACCAGGCAGTTTTTCCTTGCCCTTGTCGCCAAGTGCTTGCTCATGGTGGTACTGTTGGGTCTCTGTAAATGTTATAAGGAGTTCGGTCTAGACCTGCTCTATTTGAAAAGTGTCCTGAGATAACTTCTTATGAATTGGCACTATACAAATAAAATTTAATTGAATTGAATTAAATGGACCTGTACTTGTATAGCACCTTTCTAGTCTTCCAACCACTCAAAGCGCTTTTACACTACGTGCCACATTCACTCAGTGATGGCAAAGTCCATCAAACAGAAACTAACATTCATACACATTCACACACCGATGCACGGCATCGGGAGCAATTCGGGGTCTGCGCCACAAGATGCAGCATGTCTCGGAGAAACTCAATTTTGGACACCACTCATATCACATGAGGGCTTTTTTTTAGGGTGCAACTAAATGAAAAACCTTTGGGTCACAGATTATTATTTTTTAAAGAAATAAGATTAATGCATTTCTTTTTTTAAATATCAAACACACATGATGCTTAAGAAGTAGGGCCTAACTTGGAGACTTTTGTGCTGCTGTTTACATTCCCCCAGATACAAATTAAAAAGATGCACTGCACTTTTACTGCTGATGTGGATTCACATCTGGACAGGCATTTAGAGTGGGGGCTCCTGTATAAGCCAGGTCAAGTCTAATTTGCTCAATTTTATATGATATGTTTTAGTGTTAGCATTAGAATTGGGTTAGGCTGTCAGTTGTGATGGTTAAGGTTAGGGTAAGGGGTTATGGAATACATTATGTCAAGGATAGGTTCCAGTCAAGTACAGTATCACCACTGACAGTATATACAGTAGTTAGTGGACAGAGCTTTGGGGTCTGTGAAGTGAAGTGTCTTGAACTTGCATTCTTTCTAATTTCCATTAGGGGAAACTACTTCTCGTTTGATTTATGAGCTCAGTAAACATATTAGATATATTAGAAAACCATAGTGGTTATCTGACATCAAATGACTGAACATATGCCGAATATGTCGAGCTAATCATAGCTTCATTCCTATAGGTGCTGTGCTGTGCTGTGCAGCTCTCACCTGCAATGTACAGTTTTCACTCCTCTTCAGGAATTCCACAAAACGATTCACAACACCAGGAGTGGAAATGACCTCATCTATGGGCGGGTTCGGCTCTACACAGGAGAACAGAACAGAACTCATCTCATTCAATGTAACCCAGTTCAATGGATGAAGTATGTATATCTGACTTCATGATCTCCGTTTATGCAAATATCCTGTCAGAGGTTTCTGCCTCTTAAAAGGCAGTTTTTCCTTGCCGCCATCGCCAAGTGCTTGCTCATGGTGGGAACTGTTGGGTCTCTGTAAATAATGTTATAAAGGAGCACGATCTAGACCTGCTCTATTTGAAAAGCGTCCTGAGATAACTTTTGATATGAATTGGCGCTATACAAATACAAACTGAATGAATGAATGGAATTTTTCGTCAGTCTGTTCAGTTATGACGTATTGCGAATTTAAAAAGTTGGCACTCTTCTTTCATCTTTCTGAATGAATGGGCAGTACAACAGATACTTAGGTAAAGATGTGAGAGGTTATGTATAATATTTGACTTTCCAGGATGCAACACAAACCTTTAGAGAGTAATTTCCTAAATTTCTGTGTAGCAATTAGCTGCTGGTCTGGGTCTTCAGAGAAGATCATCTGAATCATATCTGGAGTTATGACCCCATCCTGCACAAATGTCAACATCGGATAAATATTACACATTAAAATCACGTTTAGATCTTAGCCAATCACAGTTATACAAAACAAACTATAACAGACACAGTTTAAAGAAAGAACACAAGAGTAAACACTTACACCGGCAACAGGTACTGTGGAGCTGATATCTGGATCTTGGATTGGACATTCTAGCATTGATTCATCACTGGAAGGTACACATACATTTCTCCTCTTGAACAGCTGTGGACACAGAGTCGAGGTTAACCTGATGTCTACATGTTAAGCACGGCTCGATGAACTGACTGTGACACCAAACAAAGCTTTAATTGTAATTCTGAGCATTTAATGTTCTGAATAACAAATAACAATGTCAAGCACTTTTAGACTTTTCACACACACTTGGTATACACACACAGTTTCATTTAAATAAATACACAAGGCTAATAATCAGTAATCAGCAATCAGTCTGATATAACTGTAATCCAATTGTAAGCTGGAGGAAATGCTTCAAGGTAAGACACTGTTTACCTGCTCTTCTCTCTTCTGTTTGCGTAGCTGGATCCCTTCCTCTTCTCTCCTTCGACGCATCTCCTGAGGATTCAGTGCTTTGTTTTTATAGCTCTTCATCCTGTAGTTGTCTTTTCCCGGACTTGCCATTGTGTCTGCAACAACAGGGACAGGCCATTAAGATCAAGGTGCACTTGCTCATCAACTGTTGAGGAACTGTGACAACATTTCAAAGTTTAATATTAAAGCTGCAGTAGGTCACTTTTATAAAATTTACTTTTTATTATATTTGCTGAAGCTCTCAGTATATACTGAAAGTAGAACATAAGCCAGATAATCTGTGAAAAAAGTCAGGTTCCTCTGGGTCCTCCATGTGCTCCTAATGCCCATTTGCAAGAATCCACTAAAACTGAACAAAAACAACCAATCAGAGGTGAGAAAGATGGGTGATTGTTGAGGCTGATTCCCAGGTGGTCAAATACCAATGATTTGGGAATGAAACAGAAACAATAAACTATCTTCAAGCCACCAACCCACAGCGTCTTTTGATCTTTCACAGCTATGAGGTTCATCCTCCACCCAACCCCAATTGTTTCTGCACATGTGAAGACAGTTTGGCTGCCATGGAACAATGTTACCTTTTTCCCCCTTGCAAGTTTTGAGAAGGTGGTGAAAAAGTTGATATAGAATATGAAATAGAACAGAATAGAATTATATCTGACTTTTCTTTTTCTGATATCGGCATTATATATTGCTATTGGCAATGGCTATTGATAAACCCATATCGGTTGGCCACTAATGTGAAATCACATTGTGTGCGTCAGTATGATATTGTCAATACTTTAAGAAAGAATGTCCAAATTAATGACAGCAAGCTGACTTAATACTAACAGACTCACATTACAATTATTCAAGACAGAGAAAACATACATATAATTCAAATAAATGAACAACAGAACTGGGCCCAAAATGGATCCCTGTGGCACTCCTTTAGTAACTGGCAGGCCATCCTGCGCCTCACACCCATTTCTGTCTGAACAGCTCTGAAACCAAGTAAAGCTGACTGAGGATAATAATGAAATAGAGATTGAGTGACTAATCTGAAACTATGATACAATGTTATATATTGTGTAAACCAGCCATTAAAACAAAGTTAAAGGCTGAGGTGCTGCAATGATCGATTCCACTAACTTTAATCCATGATTATGATTAACAACCAATTCAGAAAAAGCAGCACAAGTTGAGAAGATATTAGGGTTGTACATAATGACATATAGCTAAAGCTCTCTGCTGGTCTTAAACTAACATATCTGGGATACATTCCGTTGTGTGCATTCTAGCCGTTTCCCCGTTTATGAAGGAAGGCATGCTGGATTCCTTGCCTAAAACTAACGTTAGCTAGCTGTTAGCCAGCGCTGCACTACTGACAGCCAAGATACCAGAATCAAAGTCAGCTTTATTGACCAAGTATTGTGCACACATACATCTAGTAGGGTAATCTGTTCAAATAAATACGCACAGCTGACGTTATCTCTCCGTGCAACAGAACGACATTTATTTGGGTTATTCCTGATAATTTAGTAGCTAAGCTAGCTGCGCGGCTAGCTCCTTAGCTAATGTTGCGTTGTGTCACATATCTCAGACGTACTCAGTTGGAATGATGACGACAACAACAAACCCCATAACACATTCCCATAGCACTCATTCGTAACGGAAGAGCTAATGTAGCATACCTGAAAATGCGCACGGCTGTTTAAAATCTACAACCTTTGCTCCTCTCCCTCTCTTTCGAAGAGCAAAATGGCGTCCTATTGAATCTTTCCCAGCAAACACCTCGCGTCAACAACACCTCACGCCTTCCGTCAGCTGTGGGCCGGTTTCCGGAAGTCGGACCCTTTTTTATTTTCTATTTTTTAACTTTTTATTCAGAAAACACAACTTCGTTCATTCAACACATTAACCATAGGGGCTTACCAAAGTTCCAGACAAATGTACAATATAAAAATTACATCCACTGTATACTATATATATAAATAATATTAAAATAAATTAAATTCTACAACAAATAAAATATCTGAAAATAAAATAAAAATAATAAAAACTTATAATTAGAAAAAATAATTAAAGTAAAGTCCTTTACTTTCTATGTGCAAGCTCTATTTAAAGCAACAACATTTTAAATATGATTAAGACATTTATGCAAGATTCTCAAACATCCTTTTCTCATTTTTAACACTGTTTCTGGGTTAAGGTTAGTTTTATCTCATACACAAAAAAGATAGGGGACGCGAAACAAACAGCCAAAAAACAAACAACAGATCCCCATTTGTTTTGTTTTGTCATGGCAATTCTTTTATTGTGAAAGTTTGGACCGGAAATTTCACAGTTTATGGTGGCGGCATTAGCCTGAAAGGTTTCGAAGCTGAAGAAAGGAAAGGACAACACACCTCAAACCTCCCTGTGAATTAACCGTGAGTAGAGACAAACACACAGCAGTGGAGCCGAACTGTTACCGCCGAATGTGACTGAACACTGTATTGTCCATGGAAGGTTGCGCCATTATTCCAGTCACACATATCAGGTGTTTAATAGCGCTAATAATGTACCTGTGATTCTTATTCACGACAGTTTTGATCATGACAATGTTATCCTGCTTGTGAACATTTTTGTTAGCTGTCAGTACGAATCCTATTTCGGCATATACTCAAAACATTGTAGCACACATGTGAAAAAAGTGAATCTTTTGGACAGCAGACAAACTAAACTGACTGAACATTTCACTCTTATTCATTTGGAAGCCCCTTTCCGCCTATGTGATGAATACAAAAGGATTCTGTAAGTCATTATAATGAAAAACTTCATCAAAATAATGACATAGACATAACATAACATAACTTGACGTAAATCATTATGTTTACTCCAACAATACTATTTTCATTACCTTAATTAACTTTTCCATTTGACAAAATAACCCAGCCTTTTTTTAATGATTCATTCTGCCTCCTTTTTCTCCAAAATTAGTTTTTATTTTATTAGATTTTTTTCATACATATTTTCGACATATCTTTGGCAACGTGAAACACCACCACAACTGTAATATCTCATCACTGTGGCCCCTACTTCTCATATGGATACTATGGGGAAATGATTTGTACATGTCCTGTTTACATGAGTGACTTGAGTGGATGGGGCTTGTTTTGCTGCGTCCTTAGTGGATGAACTATTTTGGTGGAAATTGAGTTTTAAAAGTTCCACTGTGAATATATGTCTCACAACTAGAGGTGGGCGATATATATCGTTTGCGATAATATCGTCATTGTTGTTTTGACGATGTGCAAATTTCCATATCGAGTATTTAAATTACTTCGACAAAAACAATGAAACGCCCGCGGAAACTCCTCACATCCATTAATACACGGTGCAGCAGCGCTCTCTACAGCATGGCAGGATTCAGTCACACGACTAGTGGGCCTACGTGATCACATGACGTGATCACGTGACCTCTCGCTAGCATCCTCCTTGCAACAGTTTAGCAGCGCGTTGTGATGGTAGAGAGAAAATGCAAACACCTCCAGTCCCTGAAGCTACCGGTACGTCAGATGAGTTAGTGCCGAGACGTGGGTCCTATGGGCTTCAGCGTTCAGAGCGCTAAGCGCCTTCAGCGGTAAAAAGATGTCAGCGGAGACGGTTTTTTTTTGCGCAGCGCTCAGAGTGCTTCAAGTTGAAATCTGTTCAACTTTTAACACCGCTGGGCGCTCAGAAAATGAGTTTTTGAGCTCTCTCAGCGCTGCAAACGCGTTTGGTGGACACAAGTCCAGCTCAGACAATTCTAATCACATTTTAAAGGATATCGACTGATTATCGTTATCGCCAAAATCCCAAAAAATATTGAGATATTATTTTTTGCCCATATCGCCCACCCCTACTCACAACCATGTTTTTCTTCCTGGAGCAGTCACTATGCAAGACATTTTGAGATTTTGTCAACAAGAGCAAACTAAAAACAGGAAATTTTCAGCCATTACGAAACAATGCTTAAAACTGTAAATAAACCTTTTCAATTAAACACAATCTGAAGCAGTCGATGCATTTAGGTTGCCTTTAAAAATGTAAGTTTGATGTCATTGCAGCAGGTGTTACACCATATTCTGTGCCTGCATTATTCTTCTATGCTAGTAAATGATTCCCTCCTGTGAACGCACAGCAGCGACACACTCAAATGCACCAGTGCCTAGGAACAATATATCGTGAGACAGTTAAACTTCCAGTGTGTAACATTTAGGAGGGTCTATTGTCAGAAATGGAATATAATATTCATAGGTATGTTTTCATTCACCTGAATATAAGAATTGTTGTGTTTTTGTGACCTTAGAATGGGGCTTTTATATGTACAGACGCCGCGGGGTACCTTCCATGGAGTGCACGATGTTGGACCGCCATGTTTCTACAGTAGCCCAGAACTGACAAACCAAACACTGGCTGTAGATAGGGGCATCCGTGTTTGTGTGTTTTGTGGCCACCATAGTTTCTCCTTCGTGCTTGGAAAAGGAGGATGAAGCGAGGGAGTTGCAATCTGCAACTATGCTGCTAAATGCCACTAAATCCTACACCCTGGACCTTTTAAATTGTGATACAAATATGTAAAGATTCAAATCAGTGAGAGGAAGAATGAACGTGATACTCTTTTTAAACAGCAGAGGGCTCTATCTACTATTGACTTTGCTTGGTGGATGTCCTATGTCATCATCAAGGAGCACAGACATCATTTTCACTTTTCACTCAGTTTATACCCTACCTCTGAAATAAAAAGGGAAATTATGAGAGAATTTATATTTTGTAGATTTTCTCTAAGAAATAAATCAATCTTTTTCATTCATAATTTGTCATATTGTTAAAAAACAACATAAGAAAATCATATTGTGAACCTAGTATCATGAATTTTGTTGAATCATGAGTTGTTTATCATTAGATAACTTTGCCTTAATAAAATACGCCACACAATAAACTTAATGAATGATTTAAATCAGGTAATGTGAAGTAAATTGTAATAAGGTAAAGACCGGAAAAGCATTTGGTGTCAACTTTCAGAACCAAACACTTCTCTATACTTGGTGCTTCTGACTCAGTTCTGTTGGTACTCTGAGGTGTGTGAAAGTGAAAGTAACCTGTGTGTGTCTGTAGGCTGCAGCCATGCTAACCTGTGAAATCTGTGGTGAGGAGATAATGCTGGAGGAGGACATGAAGACACATCTCCTTCTCTGCCACCTGGAAAATGACATGCACTGCCCGCTCTGCTCCCTGTCTGGAGTGTCCTATGATGAACTCTGCTTCCACATTAGTTCTGCACATCCAGAGGAGCAGCACAGAGGACAGGATTCAGCCTCAGGCTCTGCTGGAACCAACACTGGTGTAACAGAGAGTGGAAAGCCCCAAACAGCCCCGGAGCTATTATTATCTCAGTCAAGCTGTGATACAGCTAGTGAAGCAACACCCACTGGTGCTTTTAGTGACGCCACAGACTCAGTGCGATCTGAACAGAATACTACACCAGACAATGGGTGTTCATCAGCTGGGGAGACTGCACCAATCACGTCCATGATGACAACACAGTGTGCTCAGACAAGACAGGAGTCTGTCCAGCACTGTACTGAGGACTATAATGGAAGTAAATCTGAGGATAACAAACCCAAACATAAGCATCTCTCATCACCAAGAAAAGGTGATTCAACTCTTTCAAACTTTATTTTACACTTTAAAGTCAGCATTGCCATTAAACATTTCTGCATTCAAATGTCTGTAAACACTAGAGCTATGTTTTATATGTAGTTGAGTTGTGTACTTACATTGTTTCCAACAGTGTTCAAACTCAGAGAAGTCAGAGAGTCATTTGTTTCGGATGAAGTATATTAGTCATCGGACATCTGGATTTTAAGTTATCAGAGAAACAAGCTGAGCTAACGTTAGCTTCAGGTCGGCTCGCAGCCCCTCCGGGACGTCCTTTGTCTGTCCAACAGCGTGGGAGGTTTTTGTAGTGGAGGAAACCTCCGTGGATAATTGGGCCCTCGGTAGATCCTGAACGATGAACACTGAAGGAATCCTAACCAAGAGAAGCCAACAACTCCCATGATCCTAGTGGCAGAAATGACTTATTGTATCTTTAAATTGTCCTGTATTTTGCGTTTTTACAGAGAAGCTGTTCTCCTGCCCCATGTGTGCACTGGTCTGCAGCAGTGCTTTCATCCTGCAGGAGCATGTCGAGTTGCATCTGCAGGAGCAGCAGTCAGTTGAAGGTAAATTTTCTGCCTCTGAGATTTGAATCTCTGCTGCCACGTACAGAACACTCCGATCTGTCACTTACCTGTTATCTGTACACAGTTAAACTGCAGGATCTAGTCAGATTTCTCAGGTGGCGCAAACAAATTCCACAAACACCAACCCAGGCAGCTGAGGTTAGAGGGGTTCATTATTACTACCACATAGTGTATGTGATGCATCTTTATTCATGGCTGATTGTTTGTCCAGTGTCAGCACTGGACAGGTGTTCACCAGCCGATTAGCCAGCAGTCTCTCAGGTATGTCACCTGCTCTCCTCTGACAGAACACATTTAGCTCATGTGGGGCGGTATTTTTGTGATCTCCCCATCCAGCAAAGGTGAATTTATCCTCATTTCTACTAGAAACCTTTTTTTATTTGGTGTGTAATCGCTACACATTTTTACAATTGGAGGATTGAGGAATCACTTTAGACCTACAACAATAATAAATGAGAATGTAAAAAAGTATATATACATATACTTTTTTGTCAAAGCCGCAGGGAGCCACTGTAGTGATTGAGTAAATGAGTAATATAAATGACATTGACGAGGGAATCAGCTGACACTGTTCTATCGCTGACTTATCAGTATTAATGTATATGTTATCTGATATGCGCCGTTATGAAAACAGTTTTTGTCTCTGTTATTATCTTGTGGTAATATATTATAGTGGTAGTACATATTGCAGAGTTTATCTAGCAGAGTGTGCTGTGATTTACAATACTGTGGCAAGCAGCTCTCAACAAAGTCAACTAGAATTGGTTGACTATCTACATCGATCATCCATAACATTGTGAGCACTGACAGGTGAAGTGAGTAACACTGATTATCTGTGTATCATGGCTCCTGTCAGTGGGTGAGATATATTAGGCAGCAAGTGAACATTTTGTCCTCAAAGTTGATGTGTTAGAAGCAGGAAAAATGGGCAGCGTGAGGATTTGAGCGACTTTGACAAGGGCCACATTGTGTTGGACGACTGGGTCAGATCTCCAAACCTGCAGCTCTTGTGGGGTGTTCCCGGTCTACAGTGGTCAGTACCTATCAAAAGTGGTCCAAGGAAGGAAAAGCAGTGAACTGGAGACAGGGTCATGGGGGGCCAAGGCTCATTGATGTACGTGGGGTAGCGAATGCTGACCCGTGTGGTCTGATCCAACAGACGAGCTACTGTAATATAAGATAAGATAAGATAAGATAAGATGTATCTTTTTTGATTCCCTGTAGGAGAAATTCAAGTTAGACACAGCAGCATAGGGGAATGTAGTGCAAAGAACAAGTACAATAAGCATCACAGAAAAGAATATTACAAAATTTAATAGAAAATATGAGACTTTAAATGAAAAATATATACTCTATATGCAATATGCAGTAAAATTTAATTTTATGTTCAATAATTGAACATAAACTGTAGCTCAAAGTGCTGAAAATGTTAATGCTGGTTCTGATGTGTCAGAACACACAGTGCAGTGTGTACAGTACGGTTTGTTGGTATGGGGCTGCATAACATTATGACCAGGTGGTCATAATGTTATGGCTGATCAGTGTTTATATTAAATTATTGAACATGTTAAAAAAAACAATTATTTAACTGGAATATTCTTCAAATTATTTGTCGAAGAAAGCAGCTTTCTGAGTACCTTTTCAGGGTAGTATCAGAGCACAATCCACATAGAAAAGAGCTGTTTTCATCCCAGCTTAATAGTTCACTATATCTGCCGCCATATCTGTTATCAATTGAAGTGAATTTTCCGCTCCAAAATCGTTATTCAGCTCAGAAATTCTATGAAAGAGAAAGCAAGAACCTGCTTCAGTGTATAATGCACTATACAAGTGTTTCAGCAACTCTTCAGTTCAAGCTTCATTCAGGCCTAACAATGCCTTGGTAACCTTAGTAACTGTTCTGTAGAATTACAGGAACACCAATAGTGAATACTGTGTGTCTCTTTGTCTCTTGTAAAATGTTTGAACACAGTGGTTTCCAACATGGGGGCCAGGACCCCCACTAGAGGTCACCAAAGCTTCATTGGTCCATTCATTGGCTTTCTTGATTTTAAGGCATGTGATAATATCTATACAGCGGTATGTGTGTTCATACACACACAGTAGGCCTACATCACAGTATTTGGTTCACTTCTGTGAATAAAATTTGCCATAAAATATGCCTTAGTCAGGGGTGGTCAGTTTACTAAATGAAAGGTTGGGAACTACTGTTTTAATTTATCCTGTAGGCTAACATAATTAATCTCATTAATAGATGACACAGAGTGAACCAGAGAAAAGACCATTAGCCCATCTGTCTCAGTCATGTGAAATAAGTTTGCAATACCTGGACTCACATGGCGTTTCCAGTCTGTTTTACAGGAGAGAAGAGATATGAGTGCCCTATGTGCTCGGTCGTCTGCAGTAACAGCTTCAGTCTGCAGGAACATGTGGAACTGCATTTAGAGCAGGGAGCAGCTGCAAACTCTGCAGGTGGGCAGATGTTCATACCTTCCTCACTCCGTTCACCACATCCTTCACTCCGTTCCCCATGTTGCACTTTTTTTCTTCTATATCTATTGATGTGGTGCACACTTAACCTGTACCTTCCTAGCCTTTGGTTGACCTGTGTTGCAGGGAGCCCTGGCTCTGACCTGAAGCTGGCCAGACAGCTTCAGCAGGAGGAGGAGCATACGAGGAAGCAGGAGGAGGCCCAGCAGGAGAAAGAAGAGTTCAAGAAGCTGCAGGTCTGGATTATACACTGCAGCACACCTACTGCGCAGACCACAAGTATTTAGATAATACAACGTTTTTGTGAACAGTGTAAAACTGTAGCGATTTTATTGTTCTGCTGCCCTGTTCGAACTTTTGGAGTACTATAAGGGCTGCAATTCCTTCCCAGTATTAAAAGTTATATGCACGAAATGCACTGCCACTAGATGTCGCAGTAGAGCACCAGCATCTCAGACCAAAACAATGGGCACTACTGCCAAGCAGTTAGACAGACTCAACAAAATTCCACTGAAAATCTGGTGTTTTAGTCTATCCACTGTCTTTCCAGCAATCACCACCTTTACTTTGGCTTCTATGGCTGCCATCTTTGGGGACAAATACACTGTCAAAGTATGTCCAAAGTTTTAGTTTCTGTGACTCACAGGCTCAGATTGTTATTCTCAGTGTCTGACAACATTAGACCTTTTGTTTAACCAGAAACAGACGTTACATCACCCGCCACCAGACTCCAGTCTTTCCACTGTTCCAACAATCCCCAAGTCTGCTTTGATAGAAATAAATCCTTAATTCACAGAGTTAGATGTAAAAATATTTGGGAAGAGGGCTGCTATGGCTGCCTTCCTTGGTATTTTGTCCTTTTGTTGTGATGATGCAGATGAAGACCCTCTTTACACCTGTCACTAATATGCATCATGGATCATTTCCTCCTGGAGACACACTGTAGATACACAAAGAACAGTTTTATGTAGCCTGAACATGTGTATTTTTTTGTCAAGCTGTGGTAGTAGAATCTGCACAGCTGCATTTAAATGACAGTGGACAGAAAACCCAGGATATTAGGAATAATGACATCATGGGCTCTCTTGCACTCAGCGCAATTGACTTTGTACACTGGCGCTTGTATAATTCCTATTTTGCACTCGACGCACATTGGAATTTTCCCTCCACCGACGCACGTCCTTAAATTAGAGAATGAACTTGCGCTCCGGGGGGCGGTTCAGTGAGAAGAGGAGGCGTGTTCTGCAGCAAACGTTCCCTGGTGCTATTTTGCTGTTTCAGAAAACAATTCCGCCACAGACCAGGAAAAACCTAGTCTAAAGTCAGTGGCGCTTATTCAGATGCTATTTTAAGGGCGCAGACTTGAGGGGATGCGCCTGAGAGGCAGCAGCAACATCGCCACCCGGTCAAGACGGGCATTAATACTTTGCCGCATCCCGGACAGCTCCTGCTCCAGCATGTCAAACCCGGTTTGCTGCAGGAACGGGTGGTCCTCCGGCGTGTAGTGGGTCTGGATCCTCTGCACCTTGGTGTTTGCACTGCTCCCTCCTCAGCTGGCCCTTGCGCACTGCTCCCGAGGCCAGGGTCTTCTTCCTGGAAGCTGTGTTACATTGTTTAATTTATTGTATGGCTAGATTTGAGATCCGCCCACAAAGCTACTTGCGTTTTGCGTTTGATACTTGTGTTTCAGATCGGCAAGATAGGGCCCCATGAGTCCTCCATTCGGCTTTTTTGGTGTTGTTTTTATTGACTGGATTGGTTAGAAATGTGACGTACGTTTTCTGTCAACCTCACCAAACTAACTGTCAGAAACATCGCTGATTAAGGCCATATACGCCACAGGGTTCAACACAGTGGAGCTGAGCTGTACATTACAAAATGTTTACCAAAACTCTCATGATCTGAACTTGTGGTTTCTCTGTGTACATGTGATGCAAGGGGGGTGTTTGTGTATCTGAGCACTGTCAGTCTTTCACAATCTCAGCCTGACCTGTGTGCTGTGTTGTCTGTGCAGAGGCAGTTTGGTCTGGATGGCAGAGGGGGCTACTGCAGGCAGATGGAGAGAACTATGGGGAGAGCTGTGGCCAGGGGCCTCATGGCCCCTGCAGAGTTCCACTTTAAAAGGGCTGAGATGATGGAGTCTCTGGCCTCAGGGGTTGATGATGGCAGAACCAGAACTCATGGTATGTTTGTGCATCTCCTGCAACCACAACTCACACATAAAAAAAGTTTCATTAAGGTTCAACTAGTCATCCATTACATTAATCTCTAAAATCTCTAAAGTGCCCCCATTAATGGATTTTTTAAATGCTAATTCTAATATTCTATTCAATTCAATTTTATTTGTATAGCGCCAATTCACATGAAATTGATTTAAGTGAGAGTAATTGTGGAAATATTTTATGTTGTCCTGGAAATTTTAAAATTCAATTTTAGCCCCTTACTCACCTGTGTAAACCAGGGTGCTTATTTTGTTTAAAACTTCACTGTTGGTAGGATAAGCTGTGTGAAGCCTGGTAAATTATATAGTCATTGGTGAGTAAAAATGTCTAAACTGAAACCTATTTAAGTTCCAGTTTGTAACAATTAGGAGGATCTGTTAACCCTTAGTAAGACTGAGCTTACCTTGTTTAATGCACTCTGTTGTCTGGCCAGGTGTGATCAGAGCCTTATATGACTACTACCAGACTGAATGCAGAGACTGCGTCCATGTGTGGCTGAGTGCTGACACTGACCACTATTGCTCCTCAGAAGGGGATAAAGGCTGGGGCTGTGGATACAGAAACTTCCAGATGCTCCTCTCATCTCTACACAGAATAGACACATATGCTCCCTTACTGCCAGGTACACAATCACACTGCACATTCTCTGACCAGCTTTGTTGTTTGTTTTTTATTATTATTATTTATTGACAAAAACAAACAGATATGGTCAACATAGGTAAGATGAAATGCTCGACATTGTATAGATAAGGAAATAAAAGGAGGCTGAGTTACATTGATGCTTACTTGTGATGCAAAGCTGAGGTGTTTTTAAGGGGATTAAGGTCTTCTACTCATTCATAACCATAGTCCATTCTGTTGGCCTTTCCACTTTGTCTCAAGGAAAAAGTAATTTGTTCCATAACATACATTTCCTGAACTATTTCTATCCATTCAAGATCTGTTGGAGACTCTTCTCTCAGCCATTTCCTGCTCATTGCTTTTTTGTTACCTGCTAGTAGTATTTCTAGTAGTTTCCCAAACTGGTCTGATCTCTGTTACCAACCTATCATGTAAGAAGAAATATATCGGCACGCCTAAAACAAAATGAACACGAGCAGCAGACATATTACCACACATTCTGCATCACTGACCATGTTCAAGTTTGTTGCTTTGTGACCTTTTTTTTTTAGGCTTTATAAAAATACCTTAAAATGTTTTTCCAGGTGAATTCCCTTCACAGGTCTGAGCTTGAGGTTGTAGACTGTGTCCTACAGATGTTTAACCATCTTCAGTTTATTTTATGTTAGCTTCTTTTTCCCACCTTTTTTAAAAAAAAATGTGGAAAGACCCCTTTCCAATTGTAAAGATGAATAAATCCTGGAAATCAATTTTCTGTCAGTATTACCCTTTTATGCGGACCGTCTTTGTTTTATGAGTCATAAGTCATTTTGTTAATGTTCGAGTGGAAACTGGAATAATTCTATTATTATGATTATTATCATTTTTATTGTTATTATTATTATTATTATTATTATTGGCATCATCGTCATGGAAAGCACTGGACAGCTGAAGATAGAGAGAACAGGGGGAGAGAGAGGGTAGCAAAGGGCCACAGGTCAGATTCTAACCCATGGCCATTGCAGCAGGGACTAAGCCTTGGTACATTTGGGCGGCTGTGGCTCAGCGGAAGAGCGGGTTACTCAAATGGTGAATGGTAAATGGACCTGTACTTGTATAGCGCCTTTCTAGTCTTCCGACCACTCAAAGCACTTTTACACTACATGCCACATTCACCCTTTCACACACGCAAAGTCCATCGAACAGAAACTAACATTCATACACATTCACACACTGAACCCAAAATGGCCCAATGCCGTGCATCGGGAGCCATTTTGACAGCAAGTCTTGTAATTCTGATGACTGAAACACTTTTTGATATCAAGCTCCGATGTAGCTGAAATATCTCTGTGTGACATCGCCTCACCCACATTTGGCCAGTTATCCATGTATAATAGGAGAGTTCACCCCCAGAAAAGCATAGTACATCAAGGTGGAAGAAAATATTTTAGGGTGGATTTCTTCCTTTAAGTGTCTATTATTTAGGGGGACCTATTGTCAGAAATTAAATAATAAATATATTCATGCTGTCATTTTTATCGACAGACGCTGCGGGTCGCCTTCCATGGAGTCCGCAATGTTGAACCATCATGTTTCTCCAGAACGGACAAACCAAACCCCAGCTCTAGACAGGGCCTTTCACATTTTGTATTTGATATGCAGTCATCATGTCACCAGTGGTGGCTGTGGCTCATAAGGTAGAGCAAGTCGTCCAGGTTGGCAGTTTGATCCCCTGCTCTTCGACATGCAGTGAGCATGTCGAAGTGTCCTTGTCCAAGATACTGAACCCCAAATTGCTCCTGATGCTATGCATCGGTGTGTGAATGCGCATTGAGTGGTTGAAAGACTAGAAAGGCGCAATATAAGTACAGTCCATTTACCATCGTAGTTCCTGTTCCAAGTGCAAATCCTAAATCCTACACACTTCAAAAGAGACAAGTGGTCACTTACTAAGGTTAAAACACTGAGAATGAGTAAAACTCTAACAGCTCTCTTAAGAATTTAGTGTTTTTGTTGTTTCCATGTCTGCACCTGTACATATTTCAGTTCTTTCCCTTTATTCAATGTTCTCTTCCTCCAGAGAAGGCAGTGCCTAGTATACCTCAGGTGCAGAGTATGATCGAGGGGGCTTGGAAAGAAGGACTGGATCCACAAGGTGCATCTCACTTCAACCAGCGGCTGCAGGGAACACAAGCCTGGATCGGAGCAACAGAGATTTTTGCCCTCCTCACCAGTCTGGGAATCAGGTGTGCACTACACTCTGTCTAATTAGACTCAACTGGGTATTATATAAGTTAAATGTAACACTAAATTGAGGATTGTGTTTTCAGTGCCCGCATTATCGACTTCCACCAGCCAACAGGCCCAGGTGACACCCACCCCCGGTTGTTTGACTGGGTGAAGCAGTACTACAGTCAGTCCAGCAGGAACAGCAGACTGCCCCCCAGACTCATCCACACCTCCCTGCCCCCACTTTACCTGCAGCACCAAGGTACACAGCATCACCACCGCCATATTGCTATCACACACTGTATAGCTGTACAGAACTGATGGCTTCATACACTTAAACTGGATGATGTTCTCAGGCCTGAACTTAATGTACATGGATCAGATCTATAGCTTGAAAGGAGCAGTTGTTTTATATTCATGGTCCTCTAGTTGTAGTTTTGAAGAAGAATTATAATTAACTATAAACTCATCTATTAATAGACATATTTATCACATATATACAATTCCTGTAAAGAAAGAAGGAACAAAGAAGGAATATTTGGAACAACAACCGATTCTAATGAAACAAAGATTGAATATTCAGTAGATTTTCAGATCTCCTCCTGCTTTTGAAGCATTTAAAACATTGTCTGGCTTTTGAAACTCTTTGAGGCTTATGAATAGTAAAATTTAATTTATTATCTGTAGTGTGTCTTGCATGTGTGTCTGTCCGCTGTTAATCTCGCATACTACTGGACCAATCAGCTTCATATTTATTGTGCACACGTATGACTATATGCTCAAGGACCTCTTGGTTGCAGTGATTCAGTATGTATTATCAAAAACCGGCATGGTACTTACTATACCTCCCTATTCACTGCTGGAGAAAACGATTTTAAATGATTGTACTGAGGAAATATCATATCTGGATTTTATGATTCACTTATATCTGGGTCCCCTGAGTCTTCCGAAGTTAAATTTAGAGTTTGGAGTGATGATTCATTACAGAAAGACATTTAATTTTATGAGTGGGAAGATACTTGCAAGAAAGCCAAAGCACAAACAGCAAATACCCATCAAAAGCTTTAACAATATAATTGGTTGATGCGCATATTTATATCACTCCAGAAAAGTTACACAATTTTAATAGTGATATCCCAGATTTTAGATGTGTGGAACATTTTCCACTGTGTTTGGGAATGTTATGAGATAACAGATGACGGCATTATCATGGAAAAATGTCCAAAGTCCAAATATTGGTAAATGGAACAAGAGCTGTTAATGTTATGGGGTCCTTTAATAAAATCCACAAACATGGAACGTGTGCTGGGTCAACAGAGTGAATTTGTGACAGTCACCAGAGTGAATATTTTTTTGATTTACTTTTTTGTATGTTTGTTTTTTTTAACATATTATCTTTCAAATGAATCTAAATTAATGTGTTAAATTTGACAGCTTTTGACCCCTAACCATTATTTTAGCCTGCCATGCCACCCCTCTAGATCCACCCCTGTTGGGAACAACTATAATGTAGGTCTCTTCACCATGTGTCCTGCTGCAGGTCACAGCCGTTCTATAGTGGGCTTAGAGCAGAAGAAGAACGGGAAACTGTGCCTACTGCTCCTGGATCCTGGTTCCTCTGTGTCGGACACCCAGAAGCTGCTGAGCAGGGACACTGTCTCCACAGCCGTCCACCACGTCAGGAAGTTCTACGGCAGCCTGAAACACAAACAGTACCAGGTGGTGGCAGTACAGGGCGTGTTGTCTGCTGAGGAGAAACAGGTGAGCTGTGATGGAACAGAGATGTGTGTGGCCTGAGGTACTCCAGGTTGTCATCATTAACCAAACAAAGACCTTGGTTGAATATCTTGGCAGTCCTTGATTTAGAGTTCTGATGAGGTGTGCAGACTATGAATAAGTGCAGCAAAAACTTGCTCTTTATCAGTATATCAGCACACTTTATTTGTTTTCACAGATTAGCATCTTGGATTCCAGGACGTTACATGCTGAAAGGATCCCATGAACAGAAATGCACCTCTTTATCTCCTGTTTGTTTTTACTGCGAACATATATTTGATGTTCCATTTCAGACTATTTGATGTAGATTTTTGCTAATAAACTCTTTATTTTTTTAAATAAACTATGTGCTCTCCATGCTGTGCATTTACAGTTTCTGGATAATGCATGAGAGAGGAAATGGAACAGAACGACCCTGTCTGCCCAATCTATCCATGTGGCTGTCACACTATTTAACTCAAAATAACACTGTGGTGTCAAATGGAACCAGAAAAAAGAATGTGTTCTCAATTGACTCATCTGGTTAAATAAAGGTAAAATAAATTAAAGATGCAAGCAGCGTTGGGCGGGACCTTGCACTCCACGGACCTCGGGGCGTGCTGCGGCTGCGTCACATGGCGTCGTAACACGTGCGGACCACAACATGACAATTTCACGTAAATCAACTCAAAATCGGAGCCAGAGCTACTGCCGCTCAGTCAGTATGTCCCAGTGCATTCATTCCAAGGGGACGGGCAGAAGGCAACCACAAAGTAATCAGATTACATTGTTTACGTGTTTTTTTTTTTTTTTTTTAGTTCCCCCACTGCAACTCTGCGACTCATGTTGCAGCTATACTCCCTGCTGACTGACTGACCCGCTGGGAGTTCCTCCCCCCTCATCCCTCCCTCTTCCCCTGTCATCACTGTATTGCCGAGGTGCGGTGAGAACGGGAAGCACTGTCTGTATTCCTTGCTGGACAACCACCGGTCGGTGACTATCTGCAGGTTTCAGCCAGCGTAAAGAGCTGGGTCCTCCTCCGAACCTATTTATAGCAGTAAACTGGGTTCATGTGAGCTGTTCAAAGGGAGTGTGTTAAACATTGTGGACGTCGGACACAAGGGTGAACAGAGCAGGTATGATAGACTATCCCACAACTTTGTACTGTATGCATACAATGATTTTTGCCCTGTAAATTAGACCAGTTATACTGACACTTTCAATATATATAAAGGGTACAGATCATATCTTTAAGTAATGCTAACAAATGATAAAGCCAGTTTGACTTTCTGTGATTAATTCCCATTTAATCGATCATCCGTTAAGGAATATTATTTACAGTTAATTGATATGCAACCAGAAACTATGTAATCATTTTGATTCAACTCTTTCCTAAATAAGTTTGACTTGATATTTTACAATTTTGACTCCGAAGTTAAAAGAAGAAAAAATCCGTGTGATGTTCTTCATGTCACAGGTCACAAAAATATTGTAGAACCAGTGTAACTGTACCACATTCATCAACTCTGTTTTATTAAACCTTCTATTACTGGTCAAAATTTTTAAAAAAAGGACCTTACATTTTCCCAGCCTCTATGATTGAAAAAAGAACTTAATATTTCTATGAGAACAGGGCAAATGGTAAATTAAAGCTGCAAGCAGCGATGGACCCGGCGCGCAACTCAGGGCGTGCTGCGGCCGCGTCACGTGCCGTCGTAACACGTGCGAACCACAACATGAAAATCTCACGTAAATCAGCTCAAAATCGCCACACAGCACTTACATCCATTTGCCACTAGGTGGCGCTCGGACTATTACCAAATATTATCACTTAGACGTGTTCAGGGCGGGACTCTTATCGAACATGTGAAGTTTCGTTGCAGTCGGATCATGTACGCAGAAGTTATGACGAATCCCTCTTACATGGCGAAGGTTTGAAATTGGATGCCACGGGACGCCACGCCACGGGCACAATGTTGGACAAAAAAAACTGACTGCACTGACCAATTTTGAAGTAGATCCAATAGAACCTGTAGGAGGAGTTAGTTAAAATAGAAGCCCTGAAATACCAAAAATTACATCACAGTATGACATTCGTTCAAAATGGCCAACTTTGACGGCACGCCATGGACACGCCCTTCAACGTACAGTCACAAATAGCACAACTTGTAATCAGCAACATTATTCAAGAGTACTGTCAAGTTTTGAAGCAGATCTGATAAATTCTCTAGGAGTTTGTTCAAATACAAGACCACAGACTTCAAAATGGCCAACTTTGACGGCACGCCACGGACACGCCCTTCAACGTACAGTGAAAAAATGAACAGCGTTCATTCAGCACCATTTTGTGACTGTACTGACCAATTTTGAAGCAGATCCCAGAAATTCCCTAGGACGAGTTCGTTCAAATGCAAGACGAAAATTCACCGAAAATGACCACGGACTTAAAAATGGCCAACTTTGACGGCACGCCACGGACACGCCCTTGAACGTACAGTTACAAATTGAACAGCGTTCATTCAGCACCATGTTTTGACTGTACTGACCAATTTTGAAGCAGATCCGATAAATTCCCTAGGAGGAGTTCGTTCAAATACAAGCCCAAAAAGTCAAAATGACCACAAAATGATGAAAATTAAAAATTGAAATTGCAGACTTCCTGTGGGTTTTGGGGCATGGGTCCAAGAGTCTATGCGTAGCAATTTTCGTACATGTGGGCCTTACGTGTCTTGGGGGCTGATTCTGGGGGGCGTGGCTTAGATGTTTGGCGGCGCCCGTGCACGGGGACAATGTCCTATCGATATTTTAGCTACGTTTGAATTTTGTGCAAATTTTCATGCGACTTTGAGGATGTTGCGGGGGTCAAATATGCGGTCAAATAGGCACCAAATAATAATAATAATTCTAACAGGAACAATAGGGTCTTGCACTTTCAGTGCTCGATCCCTAATAACACATTTAGAGCATAGTGGGTTGAACATAGGTCGTTTTTAATTGTTTTTGTGTTGTCCAAAGCAGTGGAGCTTCATGTCTGATCATTCTGCACTAATTTGTGTTAAATGTGTCCCAAATACCAATAGGTTTATTCTCATAGAAATATGAAGCTGAGCATTAAATACATGGTCCTGGAATAAGTACCCTATGGAGCTTTAAATGAAACTGTTGTTCTTTAATTGAAAAAGGCTCATTCCGCTGAATCTATGCCTTTTCTATACTGAGGACATTACTTGCATAAATATGCATATATTATTATGCAAAATGTCTTGGACTTGTTCTAAGTACAATTTGAAGATACATCATGTAAAATAAAAAAAAATACCTAGAACACCGAAAAAAAGCCCATCCCCACTCACTAACACTACACTTCATCACAAAATATAATGATTAGAATAGGCCTACATCAGAAATCTTCTCTCTATCTCCTTTTTTTTCATCGGAAAGTAATAACATCTTAAAATACCAATTCGGTAGAATGGCCCAACAGAATACATAGATCAGAACCAGTAAAGAAAAATGTAGCTGTCATTTTATTTTACTTTAGCTATCATGGATTTAAATGATAATCACATCATATGTTGTAGGCTAGTGTTTGGTAAATGGACCTGTACTTGTGTAGCGCCTTTCTAGTCTTCCGACCACTCAAAGCGCTTTTACACTACGTGCCACATTCACGCTTTCACCCACATTCACTCAGTGATGGCAAAGTCCATCGAACAGAAACTAACTCATTCATACACATTCACACACCGATGCTGCGCATCAGGAGCAATTTGGGGTTCAGTATCTTGCTCAAGGATACTTCGACACGTGGCAGGAGGAGCCGGGGATTGAACCAACAACCTTCCGATTAGGGGAACACCCGCTCTGCCTCTGAGCCACAGCCACCCGTTTGTAGGCTAGAAGTTTGTAAAAATAATTTTAAGAATAGATCTTTAGCACATTTAAGTGTTTTTCTTCAGGACCTGTAGTCAGCTGTGGAGAGAGTCACCTTGTTCCTGGGTAAAGAGCTGACTGATGAGCAGCTGGCCAATGTGGTGAAGCACAGCACCTTCAACAACATGAGGAGGATCCCTCAGGCCAACTACGAACAGGTCCCAGGTGAACTTAACTCATGAGGTAAGGTAAGAGTGTTTACTGCTTCAGTTGCATACACAGACTGTATAAAATAGACCTATTCTCCTTGGCGTCACCCATAGGTTTCTGAAGAGCCGTTTGAAGCTCAGTGTGGTGTTGTCATCCGTCCGTAAAATCTGTGATCGTACCATACTGAGAAATAAAATGCACTCAGTCTCTTACTGAATCAGTACTGTACACAATTTTCACACCCTACTTTAATACATACTCTACATTTTCACATGCTTGGAAAGAGTTTCACAAGACATAGCGGAGAAGAATTAAATCACATTTCGCAGAAGAGAATGAAAGAATCACAGGAAGTTTGTCTGTCACAGATTATCATAGTTGCCCTGCGCATGGACATTCAGACGCACCTTTTTTTTACAAAATGTAGGTGAATACCTCCATCTCAAATCCACTGGTAAAAAGAAAGGAGCTGTCTAAATAAAGATATAAGTGGCCAACAGACCACGAGTGGGTCAGCCCTTACAAATGGGAATGAGTACTAAGCAAACTGTTCAGTTTGCCATAGAGTATTTGATGTTATGGCGGGCTTTCCAAACTGAATCAACATTTAGTCAGGGACTACCATGTGCAAGTGGAGTGGAATTATTTTTGACATACCAAAAATGTCTATGATCTGATATTTTAATCCAGAATACAACTGATGCAACTGTACTTTACTAATATCAACTCTTTATTCCCTTTACATTCATGTTGAGAGTAGCAAAAGACTTTTATGAATAAAAAGCACAAATTGGTGCATAAAAAAATCTCCAGCATGCAGGAAATTAAGTGACTGACACTCAAAATTTCATGAGGGAGAACCCCAGACTCCCTGCTTGATTTGTGTCCCTCAGTATGGGGTCGCTCCCAAGGTCCCTTAATTTCCCACACAGAAGGTCGCAACCCTAGCTAGAGGTACTGCATTTTTGAGTACTCATTGTTATGTTTGGGGAACTGGGCTACTGTCTTCCATGTATTTCTGTCCCCGTCATATTAATGAATACAAATACAGCTGTCAAGTCAAGTATCTGGACAGTGACATAGTTGTTGTTAGGAATGGAACTGTATTTATCTACTGTATGTATCTAGTTATTACTGAACAACATCCTGTCAAATGCAGGGAATCTCAAACTCAAGTAAATGTAGACGTAATAGATTGGAGTAAACACAAAAAGTAGTTTATTCCAGGAAAGTCCTGCACTACACTGAATATCCAGACTAATAATACATGGCGTGGAGTGAGGATGGATGACTGCAACCTTTTTCCTTCTCCTTTCATGAACTGTGAACATCCATCGGTGACTGGAAGAATCACTTCATCGTGGCCCAAAACGAAAGGTTTGATGAGGTTTTCTGCAGAGAGATGAAGATAAAGGACTGTGCTCTGTCTTTTATCTGGGACATCTGGGACATTGAGGGTCAGTTGTTGGTCTCATGACAGCAAAAAGAAGTCGCAGCTCATGAACACAAGAAACACAAGCTGTACAGAATAACAGGATTCATGTCAGCTTCTCTTTGTGCATTTGAGCATGTGGCTACACTTCACTTTACTGCTGTTCTCCAAAGCATACGGTAGGTCTTCCTTCCTTCCAGTCAGACATTGGCTTCCATTCATTTTAATGTTTTATTCTGTTGAGGACTGAATATGTGTAATTTTGATACGGTAGACTTTATCTCCGTATCTGGCTTGTTTTCATCAAACTCCAACTATTGCCTCACTGTTGGCATCAGTCTGCAGAGAATCCTCAGGTAATCTTTCACATGTTCTCATGTCTGTTTTACAGTTACATTATTGTTTCTTGGTAATGCAGTGCATACCCTTTGAATCAATCTTCACTCAAACTATTACTACTACTACTACTACAACTGTATTACCATGGAACTGGTATTGTGGTTTAGTCTGTGCATGTTTAGTTACATGCTGCAGTGAAAAGAAAGTCTGAGTATATTTGATCTGATTTGTAGTAAATGAGTTAAAACATTGGTATGTGCCATGGTGGCTAAATATAGTCTATATTGATGGAGTTGTGACATGAAAATAATGGTGAAAGAATGTTGTCTCAGTCTGTTAGATTTTCACAATACGATGACTTTCTCAGAAAACATCACAGTTTCACAGTAGCTACACGGAAAAAAGGTTGTTTTTTGGTTGAACAAACACTTTTTATTTTTTATTAGTGCAATAGGATTCAATATTTTTGTAATTAGCTGAACTAACTCATCTTCCAAATGTCATCGTTGTGAAACATGCACAGGGTCAGTTATCTGTATTTTCTAGGAATGCAGAAATTTTGGAAACATGACCTGACCACCAAGATTTTGGAAATTCCTTTGAACATTACAGCAATATCTTTGGTAGGGAACTGGACAGGACACTAGACCACGTCTGTCAGAGGATTAGCAAAATATCATATATAGCTTAAAAGAGGATCATGCTCAACTGGAACCAGCAAAGTCCTCAAACATTTAATTTGTTCTGACAAATTGTGAAGGAAACACTACAACAGAACAGCTCACTTATACTTTAATATCTTTCTGAGAACATGAAAACCTCTTTGGACCTTTGAGTTTCCACCCAACCAGGCTGGATGTGCCTTGATTCTATGTAGAAAAGACATGTGTACTGTGATGATCATGGTTGAAAATAACCATTACTATATTATTTTATTTTATTTCCTTTAGTCTGATATTTTTGTTAATTTATTCCTAATCATTTTATTTTACTTAAGTTGCTATTTTTACTGTTCTGTCATTTGATTTTCTTTGTTAATTTAGTAAAATGAATAAAGAAATAAAAATAAAAAATCCTTCAGATCATCACCTTCAGACTCACAGCAGTGATATACTAAGTTATATCCAATCGTTTTGAATTTAAATGCTGTAAATACAGATTACATTCATTATTTCTGTAAATGTTCTATACTGTCACTCTGTTTAAATTTGATCATTATTTTTAATTTAGTGAAGGGTGCATAATAACTTAATTTGTTCTTGACAGCCATGACTTAACTTATAAAAAGCAATGACTTCCACAACCACCTCTGCAACTGATTGATTTTAACTTCTATAAGGTCCAGTGTGTAACATTAATTCAATTCAATAAAATTGTGTTTGTATAGCGCCAATTCATAACAGAAGTTATCTCAGGACACTTTTTAAATAGAGCAGGTCTAGACCGAACTCCTTATAACATTATTTACAGAGACCCAACAGTACCACCATGAGCAAGACCTTGGCGATGGGGGCAAGGAAAAACTGCCTGTTAAAAGGCAGAAACCTAGGACAGATCCTCCGGCTCTAGGTGGGTGGTCTTCTGCAGAGAGAGAGAGAGAGAGAGAGAGAGAGAGAGAGAGAGAGAGAGAGAGAGAGAGAGAGAGAGAGAGAGAGAGAGAGAGAGAGAGAGAGAGAGAGAGAGAGAGAGAGAGAGAGAGAGAGAGAGAGAGAGAGAGAGAGAGAGAGAGAGAGAGAGAGAGAGAGAGAGAGACAACAACTACACTGATAGTAGTGACTGATGATGAACATGAAGATGATGACGACGACAACAGCAACGATGGGGAACAATGAGCAGTGACAATAGTAATAATAGTAACTGTAGTAATAACAGTATCAGTGATATTAGCAATGGCAGTCAAGCAGGACCATGGCAGGAGGCTCCACCAGGATCCATGAGAACCTGCAAGACGAGAAAGCACAAGAACTCCGGGGAAGAAGTGAACTCTACTCTTAGATGTGGTGAGGGTGTCTGCCTCCCGAACCACAACTGGAAGCTGGTTCCACAGGAGAGGAGCTTCGACGTTAGGAGGCTCTATTAGCCGAACTTAAATATAATATTCATAGCTATGTGTATAATCACCTGAATTTACAGAGGGAGCGGGTCTTCTGCTACACAGGCCGCCATGATGAACTGTCATGTTTCTACAGTAACCTAGAACAAATAAACCAAACACTGGCTGTAGATAGGGCCATTTGTGTGTTCACGGCCACTGTAGTTTCTCCAACACACTTGGAAGGCAAGCAATTTTCAGTTAGTTGCAATCTGTATCTTCACCACTGGATGACACTAAATCCTATACAGTGGTCGTTTAAGACAGTATTCATGTACACTGAACAATAGTAATGATTGCCTTGATATACTCATGTAGAATACATTAAACTGTTTGAACAATCTGGAATTTTGGTGGTGTAACATTATAACATGGGAATGATGTGAGGTGACTAGCCACTGTAACTGTGGAGCACTGAAATCACTGACCTCTTGGTCAGATTCATGGTCATGTTTACTTATTCTATGATCACATACTGCCAGATGTAAGTAATATATTTTATATTTATTATACTGTATTCAATTCAGGAAAAGTTAGTTTTGTTCCTTGCCTGTTGCGTCTTTAACAACCCCTCCACACTCATGCTTTTGCACTATGGCTGATGTAACTTTCAACATTTTGTGGGATTTTTAGCAAAACATAGTATACATTTAAAATGGAGAATTTTGACCATGCAAACAGTCTACATAAAGTACAGTAGGTCAGTGGTTCCAACCTGGGGGTTAGGACCCCCACTAGGGGAGAAAGATAGTTGATTGTTGAGTCTCATTTCCACGGTGTCAAATACAGTCTTTGTATCTTTCCATCTCAGCTCTGTTTGGCTGTTTTCATTCAGAGCTGGTGGATTCTTGCAGATGCCATTAGTAGCACTAGGAGGAGCAGAGGAACCTGATTTTTTCACAGATCTGTCTCCTGTACTGCAGTCAGGATATAGTTAAAGTGTCAGCAAATATGACAAAAAGTTGAAAAATGACCTACTGCAGCTTTAAGTAGTTTTTTCTCAGGTATTTCAGATAGTATTTGTACTTTTTTACACCACCTCTGAACAAATAACATGATCAATTTATAAAATATGACGTGTGATGTTTACAGATTGTGATACTACCTAATTACAGCACCAGAGCCAAGTCTGACAATTATCAGGTCAATTTAATTGTTCAGGCATAGTAATGAACACTTAGAGGTGTTGATGTGTATATTGTATTTATGAAGAATTCCTCTCCAGCTGCTGTGAGAGTCTTTGAAAAATAAATGCAGCCGTTGATCATATTCCAGAGAAGAGCAGGTATGGTCCTGTCAGTCCTCCTGATTTAGTCCTCATCACTGCCCATCTCTAAGGGGTCAAAGTCTGGGTCGTCCTCATCCAAGTCCAAATCCTCAATCTCCTGGAACAGTGACTCGTCCACTTCAACGTTGTTTCCAGCTGCAGAAGAAGAAAGCAGGCATGTGTCAAAATAAATTAAGGTTTTCTCTTTTAGCTTAAAACATTCCTTCATTGGTGTTTCAGTTCAAAATTAAAAAAGTTTGTTGCATGTTTTCACTCTTTGTATCAAAAAAGAAGCCTAAATAACAACATTAACACCCGTTACCGTCTTCAAGGAACTGAATATCAGATGTGTCCAGGTTGTGGTCTCTCTCAAACAGCTGTTTACCTTGAAATGGAAAGGTACACATACATATTTATGCATAGGTGGATCGTTTACTTCAGTAAAACTACAAATACCATGCTGTAAAAAACGCCAATAACAACAACTTTTTGTGGATGTACTTTGATTTGTCCCCAATGATTAATGGTAACTTATGTTGCGACCATTGCAGCCCTTTTCACAAATATTTTAACATCTAACTTGGTGAATTAAGGGTTTATTTCCACCAAACCAGAGCTGGTGATTGTTGAAACAGTGGAAAGACTTCAGTTTTGGTGATTTTTGTTTTGTTTCTGTACCATTGTTTTGCTCTGAGATGCTGGTGTGACAATGCCAAGTGAATTCTGTTTATAACCTTTAAGTAAAAGTATTTAAGTATTATCAGTAAAATGTATTTCAAGTAAAAAATGTCCCTGTGACTGTTATTCTATTATTCTATTATTTATATATTAAAAATATATATATATATATATATATATATCTGCTGATTATTTTCTTTTTGTTTGTAAGAATTCTGAAAATAGTGAGAGATGCTGTCAATTGTAGTCCGAGATGTAGTGGAGTACAAGTAGGGTTGCAAAATTCCGGGAATTTTCAAAGTTGGAAACTTAACTTGGAATTAATGGGAATAAACTGAATATTTTGAATATTGCTTGTTATAATACTGTTAGTCTATAACAGGGAACTTACATGTAGTTGAAAAGAAACATCTTGCAGGACAATCTTGCTTAAAAAAACCTGATTTAATGCAACTTCAGTTGAATGTCCTCCCTATATTCGTCAATGACATGCACACGCAGTAATGGGGGGGGTTAATACATAACCCATTGCTATTAACCTATTTGGGTTAATTGTATTGTACGCATATAATCATAACTATAGCCATAATAAATCAAAGGCAGCATGCTAGCTACCATCATATGTTAAGCTAAAGGTCAATGGTTTGTGCTACTACTTATGGTGCTATCCATTTGTCTCGTAAATCCCCCGCCCGAGTTGCTCTGACGCGAGAACGTGACGTAATTGCCTGGCTTGTACCACTTATAGCGTTCCATTTGTCTTTGGGCATTACGAGTCGGAAAGAACATGGACGCCACCAGTGCAGCAGCTGTCTTATTATTGCTTGTGGCTCATCTAAACAAGCTCAATGTGAAATAATAATAATGTTTTTCTACAGAAACACTAACATTTCAAGTAATTCCAATAATTTCAATAATATTTTGCCATTTTCGCCTATTTCAATTTCAACTCGAAAACAAAACTTTACATTGTATTGCACGCACAACAACACCGTGCAATGCATAAATTGGTGACCGGACTAAAGCAGCAATGTAAACAAGTGTGTAGGAGCATTTAAAATCAACATTAAAACGACCAACGTAGTACAAATACAAAGAAAACATCTCAATATGGGCGCTGCCATCTTTGTTTTGCAAGTCGTACGTTCCCCCTCCTTCAACTCGGTGTACTCTGAGGATGTTTGTAAGATGGAGTTTGTATGAATTACCCAACTTTTCCAGTTAATTCTCCTAAATTCCCATTAATTCCCATAAAAGTTTCCAAATTGGAATGTTTCCAAAATTCCCCAGCTTATCTTTCCATGGACAGTTTCCGGAAAGTTTCCGACCCTTTGCAACCCTAAGTACAAGTAGAAAAAAAAATTCTACTTAAGGCACTTGAGTAAATGTACTTGAACATTCCACCACTGTATTTATATATTCAGAATTCCTAGTCTTTAAAGTTTACCAGTGAGTTTGGGTTTTCCTGCCTGCTCCTCCTCCTTCTGTCTTTTCCTCCGTAGCTCGGCCACCTCCAGCTCAAACTTGGCTTTCCACGCCAGGAAGTTTTCAATGGTTACCACTGTGCCCTGGAATGCTACCTGCCACACACACAGACACACAAACACTATATTACCATACTATGGTTGACCATAGGGATGTAACGATGACCGGTGTAACGGTACACCACAATAAAAATGTTGACGATAACAATTACCGTTTTCATTTCAAATATCATTATTATCACGGTGTGTGGAAACCGTGTGTTTAATCCTTCCCAGCGTCATCCGAGGTTCCTGAAGTTGCCGCGCAGGCTCACTGCGCTGACTGCAACGTGCGTGCAATTTGGAATCATGGCAGAAGGAGGAGATGACAGCGCTCAGGACATTTATCAGCCCTCTAAGAGGACTAATTCTGAAGCATGGGCATATTTTGGTTATTATAAGAATGCCGAGGGACAGTTGATTGAAGATAGTTATCCTGTCTGAAAAACGTGCTGGAAAAAAGTTGCTGCTAAAGGCAGCAATACGTCAAATCTCCTGACTCATCTCCGTGACCATCACCCACAACTTTATAGCCAATGCAAGGTAGGTTAACGTTAACTTTTTAGCTAAAATGCATGGTGTGGGGACTTCGGATTGAAGGAGAATGCAATGATCCGCCTGTCTAACTTGTTAATAACTTGTCAATAATCTAAACAAATGCCTACAGCATTATCTACCTAAAATGCACATTTTCGTTCAGTGGTGGTGTGTGGAGCAAATCAGGACACATTTTTAGCCTCAGAGCTAGACGGATACCCATTTGAGTTGCGTTTATCAAACAGTAGTAGGCTACAGTATATCATTGCATGCATTTCTTGATTTCCTTTTCATGTCTAGGTTTTTCAGTGTCCTACTACAAGAATGCATAATTTATATTTGTCCTAAGTTCAGTAAATCGTTTAATTCTAGCGAAGTTGGATAACTTTAATTGACTTAGTCACACGGTGACGGTCTGAACCACGTGTCTTTGAAAACACGAAACATTATTTGCCCTGTAAGATAATTAATTTCTAGCCAATCGTTTTCTTTTGATTTCGCAACAATAACAGCTAAAGGCAAAATTGTATGAATATTGATATGAATGGTAGCCTAATGATAATAATAATAATTAATAATAATGACATGGCTATTCTTTTTTTTTTACAGAGAGGACTTGCAGTGGGGCAGCCAAGTACTACTACAGGTTCATCAGTGACACAGACTCTTGAGCAAGCATTCCAAAGACAGTCTGCTTATGCACCTGCATCCAAAAAAGCTCAAGACCTAACTGCAGCAATCTCCTATTGCATAGCAAAAGACATTCTGTTCCATTGATTTGTTTACATATTTAGTTTTTTTATTTTAATGTCATCAACACTTGAACATTTGGATTTGATTACATATGCTTGTAGTTATTTTTGTAATTTGTTTATAGTGGCTATTTATTGTAAATGCATAATGCACTTTTGTCTTATTTTTAGTTTAGTTTAAAGTGTTCACATACACTTGCACAATGGTTCATTTTCCTGACAAATAAGCTACTAACAGTTTTACATTTGAATTTTGATGATAAAGAAAACAAGTATATAACTAGTGGTGTTTCTTTGATTTGTTTACATATTGTTCTTTATGTCTTAGCTTGAATGTTTGGATTTGTATCATTTAAACCTGCACTACTGGAAATATTCCTGACAAATAAGCTGTTTACATGCTGAACCCTTGTTCCTTTGATGTTACATTTTGATGCTTTTGATAAGGTTTTGTAATATAATAAACACTGTTACACTTTTTGAAACTATTTCAGCTTGTGTAGGCCTATCAGTGCTTTCTGAACATATTGAACACACTTTCAAAAAATACCGTGATAATACCGAAAACCGCGATAATTTTGGTCACTATAACCGTGAGGTTAAATTTTCATACCGTTACATCTAGTTGACCACAATTACTACTTAACCCAGTGGTTCCCAACCTTTTCCCCTAAGGGAGACATTTTCATTCACATCATATCATATTCTTCTCATTGAGTATCTAAGTGACATATTTTATGGATGTTTTATATTATACTCAATAACACTACACAACAACTGAAAAACTGTACAATGTAAAAGTGAAAACACGACTGCAGGAATTTTGTGTAAAACCAGAGATCAGAGATTTAGATGAATTTAAGCAGATTATTTGCTGTGAATATTGATCAGACATTATTATAGATTTTATAACAATCATACATACAGTTGCAATCAGAAATATTATAAAATATATAGTGTATCATTATGTCCTGAAACTACAGCTGAGAAATATGACTGAAATGAATGGTATATTGATTCAATACGTGGAAATGTGGTAAATGTGTGTAAAATGTGTATTTTTCCAGTATTTTTACCTTCTCTGCTTCCTCTGCCTCTCTCTCTTTTCGCCGTTTCTCCTCTTCTCGTCTGTTTTTTATCACATCCACAATTTCGTTGAGTTTCTCCTGAACGGCTGTCACCAGGGTGAAAATCATCACCATGCCCAGGTTTTCTTCTGCCTGCAGGGAAACCAAATGAAAACATTGCTGATCCTGATTAGTGACAGAGATCCAGAGATACTGTGAACTGTTGGAAAATATTATCATCAGACAGGAGCTAGTCAAACTTGCAACAATTTTGTTTGAAACTGTTGGTTTTTTTTAATACCACTTTACTGAATAACATCATTGAATGATGTCTGATTGGGTCAACTGGATTTAGCAGATTTTTACTATGACAACAAGTGCACATTCAGATGGTACAGCCGGTAGGCTAGCTCCTTCAAACTCTCTGTTTTCAGCTTTAGTGATGAAACATGTATCACATATGACAGACATTTTGATGTTATGTTAGTCTAGCATAATTTGATTATCTTTTTCTGTGTGTGTAGCATGAAGGGAAGGCAAACTTCCATTATGTCATGCAACCTTGTGTTGTACAATGATAAATACATTTCCTTAACTCCTTGAAGTATTGGTTTAAAGTTTGCTGTTTTGGCAGGTAAGCAAAAGTGACCAAAACAACACGCTGAACTAATGGTAGACAGACCACAGGCTTACAGACAGGCAATGGACAGGGCACATGGATCAGGCCAGGGACTAATATTAATGAAGGAGATCATATTCATTTCAGACAGACCGACCTGTTGCTGCAGTAAGGTGAGGACTTCCTCCACGTCACTGTCCTCCAGGTTCTCCTGGCAGTGGATCTCCCACAGTGGAGGCTCATCTGGGTATTTCTCTACATATGTGAACTTTAATGTTGCTTCCACGGCTGCAAGAAGAAAACATATTATGACCGTCTACTTAAGCTTAGCTTTTGAAGGGTGTTTACGATACAGCTTACACAACTCATATCAACTCTGGCCAGTTATTCTGATCACACTCATTGTTTCTCTCCCACCATGAATGAATCTCCTTTAAAATCACTTACAAGTTTCATTATAAACATATCTGCCATGTGTGCAATGCATGACATTTTGCAGCCACACGTCTGTATACTCACTTTCATCATTTTCCCCTGCATCTGATGTTACAGTGATGGTGAAGCTGGCGGGATCATCTGAAAGCACTACAAACACACAGGGATTAGTACAAGCATTACTACATCTTCATCAACAGGTTGTGTGCCAACAAATAGATCTGATGGCCTTGAGGAAGCTGCCATCAGGCATCAACTAAACCTTTAATGCTGTTAAGATTGTCATAAGGTATAGAAGACCACTTTGAGAAAAACAACAGCTTTATATGTCTTATTATGTTTGTCATATATGACACTCACAGGCCTACAGCTACAGTATAATGAAGTCTAAAGTTACATAATATTTGATATATGCCAAATCTAAGAGTAGCCCCCAGAATACCTACAAATACACATTTGCATTATGTACATGTCCATTTTATATGGTACTCTTAAATATGAGACCAATTATACAGGATCTGAATGGAGTTTGGCGTACTTTTCTGTCACTGTAAGACACAGTAAAGGGCCCACTGTAGCAGCTTGTCAATCACTACTGCATGGCTGACATTTAGCTCGATAACAGCCACAATAAACCTGCACCACTGCCAAAGGCAATAGTTAGCTACAGCTGGCAATAGTTAGCTACAGCTAGCAATAGTTTCTGCTAGCTTTGTCTGATTCATGCTTTAGTAAAGACCAGTCAGCTAACTAACGCTTTGTGCTAGCCTGTGAGCTAGCTCTCTGTCACTCTGCCGTCTACAAATGATGAAATTTAGACCTGTAAAAGAGTCTGGGTAGATTGACTCTATAGCTTCTAGTTCATTTCTCTGCTCCTCGGCGTAGTCTGTCATTTTCGTGTGGCTGCAGGTTATCTGGAGGTTAGAAAAATCATCATCCGCTATGTTCAAAGTGACACACTGTCTGTGTGCTGCGTGTTCCACTTGCCCAATGGCGGCCGATGATATCGGGATTCGGATTTTTTGGTCTGATACCAGTGTCGCTATCTAGATATGTATGTTTATATTTGAGGCAGATACTACTGTTTGAACATGTGGCTACTATAACGTTACATTTGTGCACTATAACTGTAGCTATTTCTGCTTTATTCAGTAACGTTAGTTCTTCAATGTGAGACCGTCGCTCTATTTTTCTGGCTGCAAGCGCATGCGCACACGCACAGAGCGATACCATGACTTCTATTATGAATTGGCGCTATACAAATCAAATCAAATTGAATTGAATATATATTAAATTCCCCCAACGTTCTCCTTGTTCTACAGTGTTATGTTTGATCTTCACCGTTTGGAAGTCAGTCCTGGTCCAGTACGCAACTTATACAAGTGTGATGCAGAAACATGAGGTCACCAGTGCACATACACTGACAATGGACTTACAGTGATGAAGGGAAAACTTTAATGAGGTAGAAGGCCTTTTTAAGGATTTTAATGAGGAAATTAGACTTTTCTGTGTGGAAAAAAAAACTGTCAGACACATTATTGTTCCAAGCAAGCTATTTGCAGAGCTGCCCTACAAACTCACTATGCAAGCTCCATAGAGTCTGCAAATTATGCATTTGTCAGTCTTACAACTTCAAGAAGAGGATGAAGCGGAACTATTCTTTGGTCACAAAAAGAGAAAAAAAACACCATGAGACTGAATTGAATGATCTCCTCCAACATGTCAACAAAGTTTGATTGATTCAATTTATTTGATGGTTTAAAAAAAATAATAAACATTGCACTGCAGATTACAGACAATAATAAAAAATCATCAAGATAAAGACAGAATAGGGATAGGGTCCACTGAGGGGGTTCCAGGGGGTCCCCAGCGAAAGGGGGAACATTTTAATTTCATTACTATTCCAATGACAAGAAGTTAAACCAATGAGAGAATTTTATGAGAATGACTATTATGTTCATATGTTTCACACTCTAAACTTAATCTGCCAATCTACACTACAGACTGTTTTGGAATACTAGATCTTATCAAATACGGGTCTGCAGCCTGATGTGTATCAATTTGGAAATCATTAACACCAAAAAGAACACAGAACAAAACAATGACAGACAAGCAAAGACAATATAGTCAAGTAGCCGGTAGTGGGGACACAATGCTCTTTTCTGTTCTTTAAAAGCAAAATTAGCTTTGAATATAATGCTACTTTAAAAGGCATGTAGCATATATATTAAAGCCCACTTTAAACATGCTGTGATATACTATATAGAGTGTGTGCACATTGATCCACTGAACTGATGCACTGTAGAGAAATGTATTATGAACCATAAGGCTGTTGAAAGGAATTCAGTCAGGCTACCTCTTTTAAAGTAGCTATGATTGTCTAATGAGCAGTAACAGTAACTCAGTAACTATTTGCTAGTAGAAATATTACTTTCTCAAGTAACTAGTAGTCTAACTAATTACAAATACTTTTTAAGTAATAATATTGTAAAATATGATTAAGGAGTAACAAATAAAGATTTTGAGTAACTAGTCAAAGACTGAGAAATAATTAATCAAGTAGAATAGAATAGAATAGAAAGCCTTTATTGCCATTATACACAGTACAATGAAAATTAAAGAGCAGCTCCGTAAAAGTGCACACATAATTAACACGATATAAAAGACTATACAATAAATACAATACAATACAATAAATACATTAGTGCAAGTTTGAGTTTAGTATGGTGACAGCTTTGGGGAAGAAGCTATTCCTGAGACTGTTTGTTCTGGCCCGTATGGACCTGAAGCGCCTACCAGAGGGCATCAGGTTAAAGAGATGGAAGCCGGGGTGGGTGGTGTCCTTCAAGATGTTTCTGGCCCTGCTGAGACAACGGGAGTCATAGATGGCAGTCAAGGAAGGGCAGGCAGCCGATGATTTTTTGTGCAGTGTTTGCCACCCTCTGCAGTCCCTTCCTGTCGGCCTCCGTGCAGCTGGAGTGTAGGTCAGCAGGCTCTCGATGGTGGAAAGGTAGAAGGTCACCAGCAGCTGAGTGTTTAGTTGCTCCTTCCTAAGCACCCTCAGGAAGTGTAGCCGCTGCTGGGCCTTCTTTACCAGCGCTGTGGTGTTGACCGACCAGGAGAGGTCTGCAGAGATGTGGATACCGAGGAATTTGAAGGACTCCACTCGCTCTACACATTCACCGTTGATGCACAGGGGGGCAGGGGCGGCTCTGTTCCGCCTGAAGTCCAGGATGAGTTCCTTGGTCTTGGTGATGTTTAGTGCCAAGTTGTTTGATGCACACCACTCACCAAGTTTCAGGACCTCATCTCTGTAGGCCGCCTCGTTTCCCCCTGTAATCAGCCCCACCACTGTTGTGTCATCAGCAAATTTGACAATGGTGTTCTCTGGGTGGGCGGGACTGCAGTCGGATGGGTAGAGGGAGTAGAGTAGTGGGCTCAGCACACAGCCCTGGGGAGAGCCAGTGCTGAGAGTGCGGGAGGAGGAGAGGTGAGGACCCAGTTTCACCTGCTGGGGTCGGTTGACCAAAAAGTCTTTTATCCAGGAGCAGGTGGGTGCCCCAGGTTGCCTAGCTTGGGGATCAGAATGTCCGGTATTATTGTATTAAAGGCTGAGCTGAAGTCAATGAAGAGCATCCTGACGTAGCTCCCCTGTTGCTCCAGGTGACTCAGCGCTGAGTGGCGAGCGATGGCTATGGCGTCTTTGGTGGATCTGTTAATCCGGTATGCAAACTGGTGCGGGTCCAGGGTTGGGGGGAGACAGGCTTTGATGTGTCTCAAAACCAGTTTCTCAAAGCACTTGGTGATGACTGGGGTGAGTGCTATGGGGTGGAAGTCATTGAGACTGGTTGTGGGTGACTTTTTAGGGATCGGGATGATTATGGCAGATTTCAAGCAGGGTGGGATGATGGCTTGTTCCAGAGATAGGTTGAAAATGTCAGTGAAGACCTGTGATAGTAGCTTGGCACATGCCTTGAGCACCTTCCCAGGTACTCCATCTGGACCTGCAGCCTTCCTAGGGTACTTTGGTACCATAATGGTAACTATTCTGTAACTTAGCAGCATCAAAATATAAACTGTTCTTTAGTAATACTTTATTGGTATAGTCGATGTACAAGTAGTTTATAAAGTATTTGTAACATTTCAACAGCTTATTAGTTGAGATTCAACAAGGGCAGCTGTGGCGGCTGTGTGCAGAGCGGGTCGTTCCCTAATCGGAAGACTAGAAAGGTGCTATACTAAAACTGCGTAATAATCAAACTGTCAATCACCATTAGTCATTGCAGAAAATGTGTTCATGCTGCAAGTTTGTTTTGTAGCATCCAAACCTGCCTTTATAGGTCCTGTGTGTAGGATTCAGTGGCAGCAAGTGCTGAAGTTGCAGATTGCAAACAACTGAATACAGCTCCCCTTCCAGGTGTGCAGAAGAAGCTACTGTGGCTGCCAAACTTGGGAAAACTTGAAAGGCCCTAGTGCCATACAATAGAACTTTTCTACTATTACGGTAAAAGTAACACACTGCACACACTTGTTCTAATGCACACCTGGGCCAGAATAAGAAACAGAAGTGGTCTCAGCCCATTTGAAATCCTATTTGGGAGACCACTAAACACTGGGATTGGTAAACTCCCTGACACTGTGTTATTGTGCAAACATGTCCCCTATGCTTTCTTATATCCACAAGTGTGAAAGAAGCCATACCAAAGGCTGCTGAGATAAACTATACGACTAACACCAGGCGATGGGATCGTGATCAAGTTACTCCTCACAATGGAAACAGCAGTAGAAGTCCCTGAGAGAGCAACTTGGATCCATGGCAGCCACTGCAGACTCAACATCAAGCGTGTATCAAAATCAGGAAAGCCAAAGAATAGGGCAAAAAGGGAGGTGCTACCAGCATCCCTGTTAGTCCTGCCAAACCTGAGACAACATGTCTGGGTAGACATGAATCAAGCAAAGAAACCAGTCCAACGAGCAAGGGGTGAAACAGCTCCCTCCTCCACCAGTAGCATGCCAAGCTCCAACAAAGTGACGTGCAGAGTGAAGTTCTGTGTCATCTACGAGGGATCAGTGATGGAACCCAGATCCTCAAGAACATTTCAGATAACACAACTCATGTTGTTTCTCACCATAATGACTTTCTGCATGAAAAGAAAAGTAAGGACTCTCAGGCTCCTGAAGGATGGAGCATATGTGCCTGACTGACCACAGGCAAATTTTATAATACACTGGTAGAAGTGTTGAGACCTTTTGATTACTATCTTTGTAATGTTTAATACTTTGAGATGTTTTAAAATCCCTTACACTAAAGCTCTAATTATCACTGTGGTTAAATCTTTGCTAGTATGTGCAAATTCCAGCAAGAATCTTCACATCTTTAGAATAGATTAGATTGTTTAAGATTTGGATGAAGTGCAATCTGATTTTTTCTTATTTATATTCCTTATTTTACTTATCTTTGTAAAAAAAAAAAAAAACACTCATGTGTTTATGATTTACAACCAAATGACTGCTGATGATAAAAACTATTTTTTCCTATCGTCCATGGATGTTTTGACTGTTTGTTTAGTTCTTAAAAAAATGTTTTGTGAGCATTAAAATGCTCAAAGGGAGGAATGTAATGGCAATTTTTAAGAACATATACAACCCTTTGACCTGGTCATTGTAAAACAATATGCAACTGTTGAAGAGGCTATTTTATGCATATAACCTTTAGCCCTGTTTCTAACTACACTCTATGCCCAAGTAAACAGCGGGATGTTGAGACTTCACTAAGAAGCCAGGACATGATCATCTCACCACACTATCTGTCTGTTTACTGAGAGTGTGTGACGGTTGTGTTGAGTCCATTCATGGATGACTTGAATAAAACCTTACAGAAAGACAAGATCATACTTTGTATGCTTTATTAAACAAGTTGCCACCACAATCCCCAACCTCTATACCACAGTGCTGTACACATTTAAAAACAATAATTTAAACAAATTATATGCATAAACAAAAAATGCAATATATTGCCTTGGTTACAATATCAATTTCTGTATGTATATATACTGGTTTACTTTATTACTTTATTTATTTTATATGTTATTCTATGAATTTAGTTATCTTTTTCTATGTGTGTAGCTTGAAGGGACTACAAATCTTCATTTGTTATACAACCTTGTGTTGTATAATGATAAATACATTTCCTTGATTCCTTCTGTGCCTTTTTACATTGCTGTTTGTTAGAGCTGTTGGATGAAACCATGGTTCAAAGATATGCTTCAAAGATTTTTTTAAAAGATCTGAGATTGTCAAATTTCTTAAAGTAGGTAATTTTACATTTTTGTCATTTGCTGAAACCTTCACTATATATAATAGTTACTCTAGATGGCATTACCTTGGCCTCTGGAACCACTGTCAGGAATCTTGGAGTTATCTTTGATCAGGACATGTCATTTAATTCCCACAGGAAGCAGACCTCTAGGACTGCCTTCTTTCATTTACAAACTGATAATGTATAATTAGTGTATGGCTCATTTCCCATGTTTACCGTGTTTCGGGGCAGCTGTGGCTCAGAGGTAGAGCGGGTCGTACACTAATTGGCGGTTCGATCCCCGGCTCCTCCAAAGTGTCCAAATTGCTCCTGATGCTGTGCATCGGTGTGTATGAATGATTAATTTCCTTTCTGGTGAGCAGTTGGCACCTTGCATGGCAGCCACTGCCATTAGTGTATGAATGTGTGTGAATGGAGTGAGTGTGGCATGTAGTGTACAGTGTACTGAGTGGTTGAAAGACTAAAAAAGGCACAATATATGTACAGTCCATTTATATAATGATTTTCAGTCGTATAAATAAAATTTTAGGTAGATTTACTTGTATTATCAAGACTGTTTATAGGCTTCATAGTTTTGAAAAGGGACTCAACCAAACTAATTACTTGTTAAGTGCTGCTTAGTTTCATCCACTGCATGTGAAACCGTTCCCACAGAAAGCTTAGTGAGGCTACAGCATGCTCTCTAACAGAAGTAGTGAATGGTAGTTTAATTACCTGAACTGAATAGAGAAGCCAGAAGCCATCTCTCTTGTTAAACAAAAACACTTTTGATTCATAATCTCATTTCATTTAATTATAACTTTGAAGACATGACCTGCAGAATATGACACATCCACTTTGGTTCCCAAGAAAAACCTATTTTTTGGTTCTAGCTGGGAACCAACTTTTCAGGTTCTGAACCAATTTAATTTTGATCGAAATGCTCAGAACGGTTCAAAACAAGGTCCTTGAACCACATGGAGCTGGTTCCCTGTTGGTGGAAAAGGCCTATTAAAAGAGCAGGCATCAGAATTTCAGTGTGGTGAAGGGGAGGAGAGAGGTTGCTGCTAATTGCAAAAATGCCAGTCCTTCCAGAAAAATGCAGAGTTTTTTTGTGATTGTTGCGGGCAAAAATCCTTGATTATGCGGCACGTTTTCTTAAAAAATGCGATGGAATATGCGGGATATTTATGTAATTTTATGCGATGAAATTGCGGGAACTTGCAAAAATTGTGGTTTGATGAAAAGGAGAAAAAAAAGTGATTCCCCCAACACCCTGTTCTCACTAGGCTACTACCTTAATGTAAAGAGTCATTTCTTATTACTTCCTATGATAAGCAAGCATCACAGAAAGTGCTGGGAATATTTAAGTTCTCATCTTGTTTTATTTCAGACCTTAATAAACACATGGCTCAAACTTACAAAACATTGATGAGTCAAACAAGTTCTGTAGCTTTACAAAAGGAATATGCTACAACTTCTGTGAAAATGAATAAATAAACTATAAAAAAATGAAATTTGTGCCTCCTGTTTTACAGAGGTAGCTATACAAAACAGACATTCTGTTAAAATAAGTGCTTCCAATGCACAAAGTGCAATCTCTTACTGTAACGTAAATTTACATACTACTAATATACTTACAACTGTACGGTTTTCATTGCGGGGTTTGCAGCTTTTCGATGATGTTCACGTCGCGTAATTACGTCACTTCATAACGTTCCCATGGCAACAGGGGAAAATGGCTGCTCGAGTGAAGTGAACGCAACATTTTTCAACTTTCTGCTAAGATATATGTGACTTTTTTGCAACCAAAATGCGGGGATTATGAAATCATGCAAGCCCCGCATATTTTGCGCGGAAATGGGCAATTTATGCGGCGAAAGTGCGGCGTATTTGAAAAAATTGAATTGATCACATTGAATTATGCGATCGCATAATCGCGTTTTTCTGGTGGGACTGGAATGGAGAGGAAGTTAGCCAAAATGCAGCATACAGCACCTTTAATAAGGTACAATAAGGTGCAAAATTCAAAAGTAGTGTTTATTTAGTAATAGAAGACCTCAAATGCATGCAGTTTTACAGAGGCCGGGAGAATTAGTGTGTATAAAATAGTGGTTATGCCCTTCATTATTTGTGCTTAGAGGAGGTTGTACCATTGTAGTTTGCAATAGCCCCATTCTTTGGAGTAACTGAAAGGGCAGCCTAGTCAATGAGGAGTCTTTTCCTGAGACACATACAATATAGTTAAATACCAACAGTGATGAGTAACTAGTCTCACCACAGCTTGGCTGTTCCACATTCTCCTCATCTAGCTCATCTCTATTCCATGCTCCAAGTCCATGACAGGTCTCTTCTCTGGCGTCAAGTCCCTCTCAGCTCTCTCCACGTAACGCTGCAGGGTGCTGTAACACTGCTCGCTCCTGGAGAAGGTATAGTGTGCAGAGATCTCCTCCCAAGCCCTGTGGTTGGGGAAGGGGAATTTCTCAGGTTCCTTATTCTCAAAGAAGCTCTGCAGGTTTCTCTCGGCCAGCTTGGTGGCGTATTCCACAGCAAAGGCATCGAATCGCTCCTTCTCTTTCTCCATGTAGCGTTTCCAGAATGTGAGCTGCAGGAAGCTGACTTTGGAGCGGCAGTTTGTGCAGCAGGTACCCAGGAGGCCTGTGACGGCAGCGATAATGATGATGCACCACCCCAGGATCTGCAGGCATGCAAGAATGATATAAACTGGTGCTCACTCAACACTATTAAACTATTAAATATCACAAGGGAATACATTATACATATTTAAATAAATGTGGATAGGTAGGTCTCCTTTTAACACTCCCTGTACTAATAACAGTGCTTGAAGGATGATGGTAATACTATTACAGTCATGCTGCTAGGCCTTATTGTCCAGTTGTTAATCATATTATTAAGATTTGACAATAAGTGGTTGTTAGAGGAACTAGCTGAACAGGTTGCCACTTGTACACGACACAGCACTAAAGAAAACGTCCTGGATTACCTTGCTTATTTTAACCCAAACAATGATCTTTTCCTAAACCTAGCCAAGTTGTTTTCAGGCCTAAACTTAACCAAACAGCAACAGTTTCTAGGGTGTGTCATGTTATACTGTGCCTAATTTAAAACATTACTGTTTTCACAGGATTCATTGGAGAACCGGGTGTGTGTCTCTTACCTGTGACTGGGCCCTGAACATCAGCAGCAGTTCCATGCGCTCATCACTGGACAGTTTGGACCGGTCACAGGGGACACGGGCCAGCTCCTCCCGACACTTCAAGGTCTTGTTTTTACAGAACAGATCCACCACCAGGTTATCATCAAGACCACTGACAGCACACTCATAAAAGGTCCCGTTGAGCAGGGCCACACAGAGCCACATTATAGGAGCCACACAAGCCCCAGTAAAGATGTTCATGAACGCTCTGAGGCAGCCAAAGCAGTTCCCACGAGGGCAAAGCTTCATGGGATCGAGGCAGCAGCCAGTGTAGAGCCTCCACAACCTGGTGCTGAAGAAAAGACCCAAGACCAGCAGAACCGCAGCCGGGCCCAGCAAGAAAGTCAGCCCATAAGCAAAGTTCTGGTCGTGATTGCAGGGGCACTGAAAGGAGACCATGGAGAAGACTCGTTCCCCACCTATCGTCAGGAGAGCCATGAAACTGTAGCCAATGGTGGCTTTCTGGTTCATGAAGAAACGCAGGACAATCTGGAAGTTATCCATAATGTCAGCGGGGAGGCTTCGGACACACTACACGAGAAATTAACCAAAGTGAAAGATAGACAAAGAAAGGTGAAAAAGTTGAGTGTCTGTACGGCATGCAGTCATTCCTCGTCCCCTGTTCTTTTACAGCTGAAGACAAAACACATCTGCCAAGCCTGTCTGTGCCCCTCCCTTTGGCTGGCTCTCTTCTCTTCAGGCTCCTCCTTCAGTCAGTCTGATGTTCCCTCCCACCCACTGTCTCTACTACTCACAGTTTCTCTAAAGGAAAGTCCCTGCTGCACTGACAGTGTTAAAAGGAAAGGTCTAGCCGGGGCTCTAACAACTTCATAACTTTATAACTTCACTCCACTTCCCGTCCTCTGTTCCTTTAAAAAAAAAAACAGTAATATTTCGGCAGCTGGGTTGCCAAAACAAATACTGTAAAATAACAGAACAAATGTCTAATGAGAACTTGATTTGTTCCTCTTCGTGCACATGCATTCGCCACACACAACAAACAAGTCTCTGTTCTGCATGTCAGCAGCTTGCATTCAACAAGGACTAAATCAACCATTTTTATCACCACATTCAAGAGTAGGCTTAAGACATTCCTCTTTGATAAAGCTTATAGTTAGGGCTGGATCAGGTGAGTCCTGAACCATCCCTTAGTTATGCTGCTATAGGCCTAGACTATCGGGGGATTTCCCATGGTGCACTGAGCTCCTCCCTTCCTCTCTCTTTATGCACTCATTCATGTCCCATTAATGCATGTTACTAACTTCACTTCTTCCCCGGAGTTCTTGTGCTTTCTCGTCTCGCAGGTTCTCATGGATCCTGGTGGAGCCTCCTGCCATGGTCCTGCTTGACTGCCATTGCCAATACTGTTGTTGCTGTGCACCTGTCTGTCTGTCTGTCTCTCGCTCTCGCTCTCTCTCTCTCTCTGCCTCTCTCTCTCTCTCTCTCTCTCTCTCTCTCTCTCTCTCTCTCTCTCTCACCCCAACTGGTCGAGACAGACGACCACCCACCTAGAGCCGGAGGATCTGTCCTAGGTTTCTGCCTTTTAACAGGCAGTTTTTCCTTGCCCTTGTCGCCAAGTGCTTGCTCATGGTGGTACTGTTGGGTCTCTGTAATTAATGTTAAAGAGTTTGGTCTAGACCTGCTCTATTTGAAAAGTGTCCTGAGATAACTTCTGTTATGAATTGGCGCTATACAAATAAAATTGAATTGAATTGAATTGAATTATCTATGACGAAGGGTGCAAAGAAGAGAAACATGAAAATTGAGAGTGTTCATTCATTCTAGTGAAAGGTCTCTATATAGAGGACATACCATTGTTGCAGAGATAGAGAATCAGTCAGTATTAGCAGCAGAGAGTTGAATGAGGAAGTGATTTCTTGGTGGTTTCTATGTTTCATTCCCACGAGAGTGTCACACTAAAACACTGTGTGTGCATTAGACAGGAAGCCGCAACGTCCTCCACACATATGAATCATTATCTGCTGCCATCAATACCATCATCCTAGTAATAGGGTCATAGGTTTCTCTTTTTGACTTTCTTTGATGACAGGGTGTCACATTTTTAAAATAAATACATACATTTCATAACTGATGCTCATATACTGAATGACTGCATGTATTGTATGTATGCAGTCTATCAGCAGTGCACAGGAAGTGGTACAGATGAAAGAAGGCCAGTTTCAACCCACACACGCAGTAAACAAGCTGTTTGATGGTCGTTGTTCATGTTTAATTGATACCAGTGATCTTTCGCAGCCACTGCTCTCTCCTATGATCCTTTATTTCTTATTTCAGTGTCCTGAGATAACTTCTGTTATGAATTGGCGCTATACAAAAAAATAAATAAAATTTAATTGAATTGAATTGAATTTCTAGATATGATTCATCTTTCTTTATTATCAGGATATGTACCACAGTCCTTTAAAGTAGCTGTAATGAAACCCCTTCTTAAAAAGTCCACTCTTGACCCAGGGGTTTTAGCTAACTATAGACCGATTTCTAACCTCCCCTTCCTCTCTAAGATTCTGGAGAAAGTAGTCGTCAAACAGTTGTGTGACTTTCTACATAATAGTTTATTTGAGGATTTTCAGTCAGGATTTAGAGTTCATCATAGCACAGAGACAGCTCTGGTTAAAGTTAATAATGACCTTTTGATTGCTTCCGACAATGGACTTGTCCCTGTACTTGTATTATTAGATCTTAGTGCTGCATTTGACACCATTGACCATAATATTCTTTTACAGAGACTTGAGCATCAAATTAGCATTAAAGGAACCGCACTAAGCTGGTTCAAGTCATACTTATCAGATCGTTCGCAGTTTGTACATGTTAACGATGAATCTTCAATCAATACTACAGTTAGTCATGGAGTTCCACAAGGTTCTGTACTTGGACCAATACTATTTACTTTATATATGCTCCCTTTAGGCAACATTATTAGGAATCACTCCATTAACTTTTATTGCTATGCAGATGACACGCAGTTATATCTATCGATCAAGCCCAATGAAATTAATCAATTATCTAAATTACAAACATGTCTTAAGGACCTAAAATCCTTGATGATCTGCAATTTTCTGATGTTAAACTCAGAAAAAAACGAAATTCTTGTACTTGTCCCCAAAAACCTTAGGACTCACTGTCTAAAGACACAGCTACTCTAAATGGCATTACCTTGGCCTCTAGCACCACTATCAGGAATCTTGGAGTTATCTTTGATCAGGACATGTCATTTAATTCCCACATAAAGCAAACCTCCAGGACTGCCTTCTTTCATTTACATAATATTACAAAAATTAGACACATCCTGTCACAGACAGATGCAGAAAAACTAATCCATGCATTTGTTACTTCTAGGCTGGATAACTGCAACTCCTTATTATCAGGCTGCCCCAATAAGTCCATTAAGATGCTCCAATTAATTCAGAACGCTGCAGCACAAGTACTGACAGGAACTAGAAAAAGAGATCACATCTCTCCTGTACTAGCTTCTCTGCACTGGCTCCCTGTATAATTTAGAATATAATTTAAAATCCTCCAGCTCACCTACAAAGCTCTTCATGGTCAGGCCCCTTCATATCTTAAAGAGCTCATATTACCCTATTACCCCACTAGAACACTGCGTACTCTGAATGCAGGGCTACTTGTGGTTCCTATAGTCTCTAAAAGTAGAACAGGAGCCAGAGCCTTCAGTTACCAAGCTCCTCTCCTGTGGAACCAGCTTCCAGTTGTGGTTTGGCAGGCAGACACCCTCTCAAAATTTTTCAAATTTCAAATTTCAAATTCAAATGGCTTTATTGGCATGATATAACACTGTACATGTGACATTTAAGAGTAGGCTTAAGACGTTCCTCTTTGATAAAGCTTATAGTTAGGGCTGGATCAGGTGAGTCCTGAACCATCCCTTAGTTATGCTGCTATAGGCCTAGACTATCGAGGGATTTCCCATGGTGCACTGAGCTCCTCTCTTCCTCTCTCTCTCTTTCTGCACTCATTCATGTCCCGTTAATGCACGTTACTCACTTCTTCTCTGGAGTTCTTGTGCTCGCAGGTTCTCATGGATCCTGGTGGTGCCTCCTGCCATGGTCTTGCTTGACTGCCATTGCTAATATCACTGATATTTAGGGACCAAGCCAGTGACCGCTGGAAGGTCCCTATTGAAATCGGTCCATTTCTTATTATTATTATTCAGAACGTTGACCGCGTTTTTGACCCCCTGAACGTATACTTCGCGTGAATTTTATTTGGCAAATTTGTCAGGCCTGGTGAAAATGTTTAAATGCTATGCGTCGCTCTGGGGTAGACCACTAGGTGGCGCTACTATTGAGAAAAGTATGTTTAGGCTAATAACTCCGCATTTTTTTCCCCGCTAGAGCGCAAAATGTCCAAAAAACTACATTTACGTGATCCATCCATGCGCTTTTGTCTGATTCACACGAAATTTTGCACGTAGCATCTGGAGACTGTCCTGGCAAAAAAAGTAATTTAAAGTATTTTGATATTTCAAAAAATAAGGAAGTTATAAAATTAGCACTTCCTGTTGATTTTTCTTCAAAAAAAGGAAGTGGGGTATTTTTCTACATTGGTATGTCCGATTTACACCAACCTTGGGTCAATAGTTTCTTATGTCTTCATTATGCATTGTGCACAATTTCAGGTCATGGTCCGTGTATGTTTTGGTCATTGGATTTTCCTTTCAGAAACGAGTATTAAAAAACAGAAAACGAGTGGTTATTTGATTTTCGTTTTAAAATACAAAAATTCAAATTGAAATACAAGGAAAATACTAGGAAATTTCTGGGATCTGCTTCAAAATTGGTCAGTACAGTCAAAAAATGGTGCTGAATGAACGCTGTTCAATTTGTGACTGTATGTTGAAGGGCGTGTCCGTGGCGTGCCGTCAAAGTTGGCCATTTTGAAGTCCGTTGTCATTTTCGGTGAATTTTCGCCTTGTATTTGAACAAACTCCTCCTAGGGAATTTCTGGGATCTGCTTCAAAATTGGTCAGTACAATCAAAAAATGGTGCTGAATGAACGCTGTTCATTTTCTGACTGTACGTTGAAGGGCGTGTCCGTGGCGTGCCGTCAAAGTTGGCCATTTTGATGTCCGTGGTCTTTTTTCGAAGTGATAAAACACAAACACCCCTCCACTCCCACTAGCCACATCTACAAACCATATTCCTACGGAGTATTGTTCGTGGAGTATTGTAGGAAACCGCTGGAAGTCGAGTATTAAATTGCAAGATAAATAGGGGACTTATCAAATCTACCTCAAAATTGGACAGTCTTATAAAAACAAACTGTAGATGAAGAGTTGAGCTATTTGTGACTGTTCGTCAAACCGCGTGCCAGTGACGACTTGTCTAATTCAGCCGATTTGCCATTAAACAGTACTCATAACTTCAGTGTGCAATGTCCAATCTCTCATATATTCTCTAACAGGCTCGCCCTGAACACGTCCTCATAACTTCAGCGTACGTGGTCCAATCTCAATGAAACTTCACGTGTTTGATAAGAGTCCTGCCCTAAACACGTCTACATGACAATATTCAGACATAGTGATAGCGACTCGCAACAGGAAGCAACCGCTGCCTGGCGATTTTGAGCTGATTTACGTGAGATTTTCATGTCGTGGTCCGCACGTGTTATGACGGCACGTGACGTGACCGCAACACGCCCCGAGTTGGGTGGAGTGCGAGGTCCCGCCCAAGGCTGCTTGCAGCTTTAATATTGTTATTATTATTATTACTACAGTTACTATTATTACTATTGTCACTGCTCATTGTTCCCCCAGTCACTACTTTTAGTATAGTTGTTGCTACTGTTGTTGCTGTGCACCTGTCTGTCTGTTTGTCTGTCTGTCTGTCTCTCTCTCTCTCTCTGTCTCTCTCTCTCTCACCCCAACTGGTCTAGGCAGAAGACCACCCACCTAGAGCCGAAGGGTGTGTCCTAGGTTTCTGCCTTTTAACAGGCAGTTTTTCCTTGCCCCCGACGCCAAGTGCTTGCTCATGGTGGTACTGTTGGGTCTCTGTAAATGTTATAAGGAGTTTGGTCTAGACCTGCTCAATTTGAAAAGTGTCCTGAGATAACTTCTGTTATGAATTGGCGCTGTACAAATAAAATTTGATTTAATATTATTTATTAACCAGGCCATCTTTGAGCCTGAAATATCACAACAGCTGTTGAATGTATTGCATTGAAACAATAAAACTGCAGACATTCATGGTTCCTAATGACTTTACTTCTTTGTGGGGTTTTTGGTGTAAAATATCTTGACAACTGTGTTGAAACAAAAATGGGATTGGGATTCTGCCCAACGCTAATCTCAGGAGTGGGCGATCAAAACTGTTGGGGCGTCCTGGTAGCTCACCTGGTGGAGCTGGTCCCCATGTACCAAGGCATAGTCCTTGCTGTAGTGGTTCGAGTCCAACCTGTGACACTTTGCTGTGTGTCATCCTCTCTCTCTCTCTCTCTCTCTCTCTTTCTCCCTCCCCTTTCCTGTCTATTATAAGCTATCCTGTAAATAAAGGCAACCCCACTCTGAAAAATACTGCATTTTCTTTTCTTTTTTACAGTGAGTTGTGAACCAAATTTTTCATTATTTGGTGCTTGAAAATTACATAGTTGCAACTAAAAGTATGACATTAAATTATAAAATACAGATTATTTTTGTTTCTAAAATTTAAAGATTCAGGTTTAGACAGTTGTTGTGAAATTATGAGTTTTCTTAACTTCATTTTTTTACTGTGTATTTACACACCTGTGTGTGTGAATGGGTGAATGAGAGGGAAACTGTAAAGCATTCTTGATACAAGCACAATATAAATCACTCTGCCATTTACTTTATATTAAGTGCTAAATAGAAAATATTTATACTTTAACATGTTCAACTAAGATGGTAAACATTATACCTGCTATACATCTGCATGTTCATATTGTTATCACAGCCTGCACCCATTGTTTTGTACATACCAGCACCATCTTGGTGCACGTCATCTGGCTGATGCACATTTACTCTCCTGACCTATTTACACATCAGCTCTTCAGAAAGGCAGCATTTTGATTCAACTCATTCTCCAGATTAACATATCTTTGCTAATGCACCCCTTATATTCTGTCTGTATGGAGCGTCTAGCATATGATATGGGCATCAACTGTTGCACACCCAGTGGGTTCATGCTATGTGATGCTGGTTTTGAGTGGTTTGATGGAATCTGAAGGCATTTTGATTCACTTCAGTTTTTATTTTCAACAATTTCTTTCTTCTTCAATATCAGCCACTAACTGTAGTCAACTATGTTCAGTTAAATACAAAGCAGCTTTCTTTTTTTTTTTAGCATTTATTCTTTCAGTGTAGTTTCACCAAATCTCATATAGGTCATTTTATATCCAGATAACGATACATATCACGATACAGCCAATTTCAATATTCTCTAAATCCAATCACTGTTTATATAAAAATTACCACATGGAAAGGTCTATATACATTTTTAATAAAATAAAAGTACTTACTTATTTTTCTCCTTTTATTTAGAACATTTGTTCATTTTATCAAGTAAGGAAGAAAATAAACATCTGAGTTTGGGGTTTGTTTGGAGCACTCCACTGTTCTTTTGTGAGTCTCGTGTGTAGACTCTCTCCATACTAGGTCGCAGGTGTTTGAGTCTGTTGTGGGGACCGCTCTGAGGCATAATTTGCAAAGTACCCATGGTTTGCATCACAAGAAAAGAAACAATAAAGCACCTACACAGCAGCTTTCCCAGGTGCTGCTCTTTCATGCAGTCAAACCTCCTCACAGTACCATCCTGCCATCATCTACAAAAGTAAGAACAGCAGGGTTGTCATCAGCAGGCTCGCTTGACTTAACCGAAGCCATCCTCATCATCCCATTATCCATCTCCTGGAACGTCTCCACGTACCGGTGCAAGGTGCTGTAGTAGTGGTCTTTGGTGCTGAACTTGTAGAGGGAGGAGATCTTCTGCCAGTCCTTGTTCAACGGGGTGATGATGTTTTCAGGCAGTGTCTGGTTGAAGAAGCTCTTCAAGTTCCTCTCAGCGAGCTCTTTGGCATGCTTAGCAGTGTATAAATCCATCATGTTGCTCTCCTCCTGAGCATACGCCCTCCAGAACTTGAGCTGCAGGTAGCTGATGGGGGACGTGCACCGAGCCACACAGGTCAGCAGCAGGTTGGACAGCATAATGGAGGCAATGAGCAGCCAACCCAGAATCTGTGGTGACCATTAAGACACAGAATTAAATAAAAGCAAAATTTTAGGAAAAAAGAACAAGAGAGCAATGTTTTATGCAATTGTTCATGTTATTATTGTTATTATTGCATTAATAAAAAGTAAGTAAATATATTCAGGTGGCTTTTTTGTTTGTTTGTTTTTTAAAATATGCCATAGTATTGTCAATGGGATTTTAATAGTCAGTCAGAGCCAAGTAAAATAGTTGATTGTTGAGTCTCATTCCCAGGGCGTCAAATACCAATGCTGAGACTCAACAATCAACTATTTTCAAGCCACCAACCCAAAGCATCTTTCTATCTTTCTCAGCTCTGATTGGTTATTTTCATTCAGGCCCATTGGATTCTTGCAAAGGAACTTGATTTTTTAACAGATTATCTATCTCATGTACTACTGTCAGGATATAGTGAAGGTTTCAGCAAATATGACAAAAAGTTATTTTCCATAAAGGTTACGGTCCGTGTATGTTTTGGTCATTCGATTTTCCTTTCAGAAACGGGTATTAAAAAACAGAAAACGAGTGGTTATTTGATTTTCATTTTAAAATACAAAAATTAAAATTGAAATACAAGGCATTTTTCTTTTTCATGGTCAAAAGGGACGAGGGAAATTAAAAAAAATTATTTAATTTTCATTTTCTATTTCATATAACAAAAAATAAAATCACTAGAAAACAGAAACGGAAAAAAGGCCTGTTTTTTCATATTCTGAGACCGGATGTTGTCATTTACAGGACCGTGCTGTGTAGAAGAAACAGTAGGCTAGTAAACTGCGGTCAATCCAGCCGTGAGTCCGGTCTCCTCGGTCAAATCAGCCGCACTTAAATTTCGAGTGTACAAGTATTCTCAGCATTATGGTAAATGCGAAGAAACTAGTGATGGGTCGGTCGCGAACGATCCGGCTCTAAGAGTGTTCACTTTGAAGTGAGAGTGTAGACTGTGCAAAGTTAAACATTTCATATCAAGCAGCTTTTTGTCTAATTAAGATGGGTCTTGTGTTTTATAATTTATTTTTGTAGCACTCTGTTCCATGTTGAGTATATTAATAAATCCATATAAATACTAAACATTTGATATGATGCATGTATTTACATTAGATATTCATTTTACACATAATTTGGTAATAAATTAATTTAAGCAACAAAAAATATGAGGAGCCACTTGGGAGCCGAAAGAGCCGGCTCTTTTTAGTGAGCAGAGCCAAAGGAGCCGGTTCTCTAAAAAGAGCCGGAATTCCCATCACTAGAAGAAACAGTGTATTTACTTCCGGTTTTCAAAATAAAGGTATTTAGAACAGTAAGCTATAATTTGAACCTACATTTAAACTAAAATATGTTACATTAAAGTGTTTCATGCGCCCCTGATGAATAAAAAACACTTTATATCAAGTATCTTTACTGCACCAGTGTGGAGAAATGCCAAAATAAAAGTCTCATATTTATGCCTCCAGAGATTGCATATTTGACCATATTTGAGGTACTGTAAAAATATATTGCTCAGTGTTTCCTGGCTACTGATGGTATATTTGACTTTTACACATATGAGACTACAAGTATACTTAATATCAAGCATTTTTACTGCACCAATTTGGAGAAATTCAACAATAAAAGTCCATATTTGTATCTCCAAGTGATATTTTCTTATATTTGAGCTACTGTAAAAACATATTGCTCAATAATTCCTGGCACATTGCATAAACATATATCATGGATATGCCAAACTGGGTTTCACAATTTTCATGTCTTTTGGTGTGCATTGTGCAATAGAACTTTTTCACAGCAGGCATTTTGACATGAAATACACTGTAAATCCTAACAGCATATCTTAATAAAAGACGTAAGCCTGCTGTTCCTCTTTGGAATCATACTTTGCACTGTTTTTATTGCCGCCTTTGTCTGTGTTCTGCTTTTAGTGTAATTAAAGCTGCAGTAGGTAACTTAAAGATTTCGCTGAAACTTTCTCTATAGACTTGCTACGTGGCAGCCCATCACTCCATCATCTCTCACATTTATAAGCCTTGTTTAAAAGACAGAGTCAAAAAAAAAAAAAAAACACAACAATTTAGTAAAGTGAATCTTCCTCTGCTTTTTCTTCTTCTTCTTTACCCACAGAAAGAACAACAAATTGTGGGCCTATAAACATGTATTAAAACAGTACATAGAGAAGCTGAGAGCTGCTGCTTGCCACAACATGTTACTTTATTTTATCCTTCACAACCATTTGGCAACCCCCAGAAATCCCTTTTGGGGTTCCAACCCACAGGTTGAGAACCACTGGTTCAATCCACCATTGATTACTCAAGTCTACTGCAAGTTCCTTTTACTGTAGTTTTATTATTGTGCAAGTATATTGTATGTATTGTACAGCAGTGGTTCCTAAACTTTCCACTTAAGGAACCCCTTTTCTATAATTTAGTAAACTGACTAAGTGACTAAGTATTTTATGGATATTTCATATGATATTATATATACTGGGGTGGCTGTGGCTCAGAGGTAGAGCGGGTTGTCCACTAATCGGAAAGGTTCAATCACAGGCTCCTCTCGCTGCATGTGTGTGTCCTTGAGCAAGATACTGGTGTATGACTGTTTCTTTACAGAAATGAACCAAGATAGCTTCTAAGATATAAGCTTTGGCGTATGACTGTTAAAAAATATTAAAAATATATATAATTTATAATAATTATACAGACAGAATTTTACAACATGTTACCTAAAAATGAAATTACTAATGAATTATTAAGTTACTAAGTTCACTGTTTGGGTTCATTGTACAGTTTTGAATATAATATGAAATATTATATATGTCACTTAGTCTACTAAATGATAGAAAAGGGGCCTCTTGAGGAAAAAGGTTGGGAACCACTGTAATGCAGTATAATGTCTCTATACACACTCTGCTAGGATCAACTGATCAGAAAGTTAAAGAATTTGAACTTCTTTATTAACAAATAAAATAAAGTTGGAAGAGTTGAGCACTGACCTGAGACTCAGCTCTCAGGATGAGCACGACATCTTGTCTCTCTGCCTGGGGAACTTTGCTGCTCCCACAGGGAAACGTGTACAGCTCCTCCTGACACTGGACCACGGAGCTCCTACCTGCGCACACATGCTCGCTGTACGCGCTCACGTTGATGCCGGTCATCGCACACTCGTAGTAGTTCCCGTTGAGCAAAGCCACAGCGACCCAGCTGGAAGGCGCCACCAGCGCGGTGGTGCTGATCTGGAATAAGACTGTCCCGGCGGCCACCAGCCTCTTCCAACGGCACAGCTTGGCCCTGCGCTGGCACAGACCCGTGAACAGCTTCCACGTCTTCTTGCTGAGGATGTAGCCCAGCAGCAGCAGAGCCAGAGCGGGTACCAGCAGGAACACCATGCCGTACAGGAAGTTGAGCTGATTGCAGGGACATTTGAAGACCACTGAGGAGAAGATCTGCTCCCCCCCAGCTGTCAGCAGGGCAACCAGCCCGAAACCAAGATTGGTCTGTTTACTGGCAATGTTCAGAACCGTCTTGAACTTGTCCATCTTTGCTGCTGTGCTAACAAACACTCGGTCACTTTCACTTCCACCTTTATATTTCTGTCTGTTTCCGTCAGCACCCCTACCTTCCTCCAAACAAACACATTACAACGTTCAACGTTTCCAGAATACGGTTTAAAAATAAACCCCTTTACATAACCATAACCTTTAGAGATCCTTCACTGAAGGTTATTATTGTAAAGCTGACATGTATACTGTAGCAAACTACTTAAGATTGAAATGGGGAAAAAACTGTAATGCCATAAGTTATTTTAACTAAAAGAATTGTTTAAACAGATTACATTGAAAATTGTGAAAAAATGGACAGACTTTTATCTAAATCTTAATTAAGCAGCTTTTACTAGTAATTGTAATTGAGAGTTTTGTAAGTTACAGAAACTTTCCTGATGAATTACTGTATTTTGTACAAATAAAAATGACAAAGTTAAAGTCAGTGTCACTTAAAATTACTAAAGCAACTTGCTCAAGAATGTGTTTTTAACTTACAAAACTGAGTTAGTTGTACTCAAAAATTGAAATGTAATCAGTTTCAACAATTGTTTTATTTAGATTAACTTAATTAACTCTGTTTTTACATTGTTTTGGGCAGTAGTTCCCAACCTTCTTCCCTAGGGTCCCCTTTTCTATTATTTAATAAACTGATGACCCTGACTAAGTGACATATTTTATAGATATTTAATATTATATTCGATCCTGTACAGTGAACCCAAACAGCGAACTCAGTAACTAACAGTTTATGTAAAAAAGTGATTTGGATGAATTTTGAGCACATTATTTCTTGTTTAGGGAACCCATTATCCAATTCTCTGTCTGTATTTTAATATATAATTTTTAACAATCATACATATTTAATTAGTTTCTTTTTTTATTATTTCCGTCTCACTGGCACCCCCTGGCGGCCCTCACTTTAAAAAACACTGCTTTAGTATAGGATTGCTGGAGTAACTTGAGAGTGGTTAGGGGGAATGTCCAGGGGTTGATAATTTGATCACTAGGCTACAGTATATCAAAAATTATATTTTTACAAAAAATGTATTAATGTTTTTAATTCTTTAAATGTCAGTCCCAATTAGAAATGTACTGTGATGAATATAGGCTGCTACATATTGAAGTGACCCTAGTGTGATTTACTTCCACTTAGCAAGCCTAAGACAAGATAAGATCACTTGTTACAGCAGCTCCAGATATAACATAGAAGATAAGAAAAAGAGAAATACACATTAAATGGCGTAACACATGACAATTGAAAACAACATGAAAATTTCACATAAATCAGATCAAAATCGCCACGCAGCTCTTAATTCCTGCTGCCAGTAGGGGGCGCTATGATTATATCTGAATATTGTCACATAGATGTGTTCAGGGCGGGACTCTTATTCAATTCAATTCAATTCAATTTTATTTGTATAGCGCCAATTCATAACAGAAGTTATCTCAGGACACTTTTCAAATAGAGCAGGTCTAGACCGAACTCTTTAACATTAATTACAGAGACCCAACAGTACCACCATGAGCAAGCACTTGGCGACAAGGGCAAGGAAAAACTGCCTGTTAAAAGGCAGAAACCTAGGACAGATCCTCCGGCTCTAGGTGGGTGGTCGTCTGTCTCTACCAGTTGGGGTGAGAGAGAGAGAGAGAGAGAGAGAGAGAGAGCGAGAGACAGACAGACAGACAGACAGACAGACAGACAGGTGCACAGCAACAACAGTATTGGCAATGGCAGTCAAGCAGGACCATGGCAGGAGGCTCCACCAGGAGCCATGAGAACCTGCGAGACGAGAAAGCACAAGAACTCCGGGGAAGAAGTGAAGTTAGTAACATGCATTAATGGAACATGAATGAGTGCAGAAAGAGAGAGGAAGAGAGTAGCTCAGTGCACCATGGGAAATCCCCCGATAGTCTAGGCCTATAGCAGCATAACTAAGGGATGGTTCAGGACTCACCTGATCCAGCCCTAACTATAAGCTTTATCAAAGAGGAATGTCTTAAGCCTACTCTTGAATGTGGAGAGGGTGTCTGCCTCCCGAACCACAACTGGAAGCTGGTGGAAGCTTATCAGTCAAGTGAAGTTTAGAGCCGAATTGTGAGCAGATTATTTCTTGTTTAGGGAACTTTTTATCCAATTCTCTGTCTGTATTATGTTTTTTTTAAATATTTTTAAACAATCATACATATTTAAGTAGCTTCTTTTTTATTCAACGTTATTCCTTCATATTAGGAGACATAGTCTTGTTTTTAAATTGTAATATTGACTTACAGCCCACTACCAATGCTTGTTTGCAAATATTATATCCATAACCATTACTTCAAACCACACCTAATATTAATCTATTTTGAGTTTAACTACAATATATGTATATATTGTATATTTACATTTACGTCTCTCTTGTACAATGTGTTCAGGGCAGGACTCTTATCAAACATATGAAGTTTCATTGAGATTGGACCATATACACTGAAGTTGTGAGGACGTGTTCAGGGTGGGACTGTTACAGAATATATGAAGTTTGGTGAGATACATTAAAATTAAACACCACCTCAAGACATACTGTTGAATGAAAAGTCACCAGATTCATAACACATCATCAACATCTTAAGCATCTTCTGACCAAATGAATTTTATAGAACGCAAAAAAATTGGATTTTTGACACCACGCCACGGGCATGCCGTTTGATGCACAGTCAAACATAGCATATTTAATTGTGAATGTCTTTAGATTGCAGTGTCCAAATGTGAAGTCAGTTTCCTAGGAGGAGTCTGTTAATATACAATGTGAAAAATCGACCACTAAATCCAAAATGGCCGAACTTCCTGTTGGGTTTGGGATATGTCTCCAGGGAGGTTATTACCTATTATATTATTAAGCATATTGGTGAAACAGGCCCCTGGGGGTTCAGTTTATGGGCCCCTGAGGGGCCAATTGTAATGATTCCTTGAAATACAATAGGTCCTTGCACTGGTCAGTGCTCCGACCCTAATAACTTAGTAAAATAGAAAAATACAAGACATCAAGAAAAAATAGGTTGTTTGTATGTACAAACTATATACAGTATTTTTATACAGATGTGATTTAAGTTAGAATACAATAATGCACAGGTTACAGAAGTAGGTAGTGGCATGTTGTCGAAATAAATAGATAATTTCACCGGACAAAGTATATACATATATACATCAATGATTTAGCAAAGAAGGACTATACAGTGCTGGTATCAAGAAGTGCCAGCAAAATAAAGTGACTATGGTATAAAAGTGACTGTGGTATTGTTGCTGAGTTAAAAAGTCTGACAGCTGCTGGGATGAAGGACCTGCAGTAGCGCTCCTTCCTGCACTGAGGTTGCAGCAGTCTGCTGCTGTAGGAGTTGCTCAGGGACCCCACAGTTTCATGCAGGGGGTGAGAGGTGTTGTCCATGATTGATGTTAGCTTAGCTAACATTTGCCTCTCACCCACCTCATCTGTGGGCTCTAGAGGGCAGTCCAAGACAGAACTAGCCCTCCTGACCAGTTTATTCAGCCTCTTCCTGTCTCTCTCTGTGCTTCCAGCTCCCCATGAGACTACTGGATAAAGGATGGCAGATGCCACCACAGTGTCGAGTCCTGCACACACCAAAGGACCTCAATCTCCTCAGCAGGTGAAGACGACTTTGGCCCTTCTTGTATAAGCCATCTGTGATGTTCGACCAGTCCAGTTTATTGTTGAATAAACAAGACTGGTGACCACCCAGGTGAACAGCCAGGTATTTGTAGGTTCCCATCCTCTCAATGTCCAAACCCTGGAGGTTCACCAGTCTAGTCTGGGGTGCTTTCCTCTGGAAGATGACCACCATCTCCTTTGTCTTGCTGGCATTCATGTGAAGCTAGTTTAACTCACACAAGTTGATAAAGTCAGCGATGACCTCCCGGCATTCCTGATCGTTTCCTTCTGATACCCGTCCATCAATAGCAGTATCATCAGAGAACTTCTGCAGGTGACAGTAGCTTGTGTTGTGCCTTTAGTCCGATGTGTACAGGGTGAAGAGAAAAGCACTGTAAGTGCTCAGTTAAGGCATTATGTATATTACTGGAGATGTGCATGTGTTGAAGTAGTGGCATTTACTTTTTGCAAAATGCTCAAATCAAAGCTTCTATGTCCAAGCCGGCAGGGGGCGGTGGTGCGTTATAACGTCGCAAACTGTTTCAAAGCAGCAAAGAAGAATCTGTTTAGAGAGCGGACCAGACAGATTTTGGCTAGCCATCTTCTGTGTGAAACACTGGATATTAAGTATTCACGAATATTATTTACGTTTCTTGCGCCGGTTGCCGGAATTGAATCAAATCTAATCTAAACTGCGAATATAGGATTTGTAACTGTCGTTGAAAAACTCCCAGAAATGGCAGAAAGTACAGGTGAGTGTGTCAGCTAACGCTAGCTGGCTAGCTAGTTATGGTCATTTTGAGATAACTTTAAATCGTTGAACAGATGGATTTTAGATCCAAGTGTAAATGAATAATTACGTTAAAGTGAACCGGTCATTCAGCGTTCAGTTGGTCATTAGGTTATACTGTGCTCTGTAGCCCAACCACCCTCCCAGTTAACGTTAGCATAGCCATGATGCATGTTGCCTGTAGACACGTTCTGGCTAAACTTGATTCGGAAATGTCGCATTGAAGTGTCTTTCTTCCTGGGGAAATATAAACGACATAAACATGCCTTAAAACTTCTATCGTTAACGTCGTGAGCTCTCTTCGGCTTGCTTATAAGTTAGATATAGATCTTAAGCCTGTGAGAATATGCTAACAGTTAGCTAGTTAGCATTAACAGGGTGAAGCAGTTCTCCGGCTGAGGTGTTAACGTATCTCAACAAATTCAGTTATATTTCGAAATAAAGAGGTGTGGGTTGTAAAGTTAATTTTATATCAGAATCAATGTTTTATATCAGAGGACTGAATGAGGTTCTCAAATAATGCATCAACTGTCAGCTTACGTACACTCAGTGGACACTTTAATAGGTACAGCTCTATGGAGTTGTTAGTGCCAGCACAAAATCTGAATCTGAATTGAATAGTTTTGATTTGA